TGAGAGAGAGAGAGCTGCAACGGCTGCTGCTACTGCTGTCTAGTTAGTGTATCCCGGGCGTTGGAGCAAACATTTTTTTCCATCGTTTTTGTATACACATTTTCGCTTGGGTTTCCATATTAAAAGAAGTTTTCCAGCTGAGAAAAGACAAGGCGAAGAAACTGAGAAAAACTGGCAACTGACAGCCAAGATGGACGGGGGCTGTGATTTGATTTTTATTCTAAGCAACGATGCACAACACAACAAAGGACACAGCGGACAGCGGACAGGGCGCCACAGCGGCGCGGAGTATGAATTATTGCAAATGATGTAAACGCATTCTGTGGCTGTCTCGTGGCTGGTGCAAAAATTAATTAGCTAAATAAGATCTGCAGATGAAAGGGAAGCCAAATGGAATTATATTTTAGCCAAGAGCTAAACGTTATGAACTAAAAGTACTTGAACTAATAAAAACAAGTGAACTAATAGAAGCTTAAGGCAGGGTTTGGAAGGCCCAAAGTTGGCAGAAAGAAAAGCCAAACCTTTAAAGTATTTAAACCATTCATTCACATCATAAAACTGCATTCAATCAGACAACTTAAGTCAATAGATTGTAAATGATTGCTAAAGATCTACAGCAAAAACTCTACCCAGCACCATACATACATTCCGCGTATATATTTCAGATTGCCAGACAATGTTGATGGCAATCCGCTTGTATTTCGTTTAATTTAATGCGATTTTCTGCATATTACCAGCGACAGCTACCCCATAAGCTGCAAGGACTAAGGATTCAGCAGTGCCATGGAGGATTCTCCAGCTCCAAACAGCCAAGTCCCATTCCCCACCCGCCTGCCATTGCCAGGTGACATAAACAAGCCCTTTATTTGGCATTTTGCTGCAGTTTTTGACACGCGAAAGTAGCAAAACGTTTACACAAACGGAATGCTGAATGGCATGCTGCTGCTGCTGCTGAGGACGACAGAGAAAGAGGAATGCGGATAAGGCAATCGCGTGAGAAATATGAAAAAGAGTAGGAAGCTATAGAGAGAGAGAGAGAGAGAGAGAGGAAGAAAGAGGGCTGGTGATGTGTAGGAGCTGCTCGAAAAGGTAGAAAGGTATCATTTGTTATTTTCATTTTCTCCAAACGGAATGCAGGAATGTTGTCGGGGATTAGCCGACTGTCATTGACAGCTGGAAATCATAGACGCCAGTCAGCCCGCCGACTTGGATATCGTCGTGGGCCTGGGCCTGGGCATCGACTAAGCTATACCCGCTGCCGCATTTCATTGTTTGTCATTTAACGATTGACAGCTGGCGATAAACTAAACGAGAAACGAGAAGCAACGAAGGAAACCTGAGCAAAAGTCACAATAGGCGAAATAAGAACCAAACCCCCCCTCCCCCAACTGCCCGCAAATCAAATAGAAATGTTAATGACGCAAACACAGAGAGCAGACGGAAAAACCCAGGAAGGCAAAAAAAAAAGGTGTCCAAAATTGCTTAGTTAGTCGTGTCCTGTCCGTAGCATGGGCTTTTCGTGTTCTTATTGGTCCTTGGACAAAGTCTGTTGCCCGGGCTCTGTCTGGCTATTTATCATTATGGCATTGTTTGAGTTTCCTTTTTGGAGTGATTTGCTTAGGGAAAAGCAGATGGCACGACGACGCCTCATGGGAGGATGCTCTGTGTTTGGTCTCTCTGCGGCTGTTTCTGCGTCTCCTTCTGTGGCTGTTAATCAAAGATAACAGAAGGATAGTCCTAATGGCTGGTGTAAATTTCTACTTAAGTGCGTTCTCTGGTGGGATTCATCACTCATAATTTTGCCTATCAAATGAGTGTGCAATGAATATGGAATGAGTGGTCATGAATGTCACGTCGCGTCGTTAATTTCATAAATTTCTGCTGCATTTTTTATTCATTATTCATCGTTTATTTTTAACTGAATTAATTCGTGTATTTGCTGTCATTCGAGACGAACCCACCACCACCTCCAATCAAATACCTGTCGTAATGCTTATGCCACGCCTTAAACTCATTTCATTTTTCACTCAATTACGCCCCGTGAATGTCAGGCTTAACCCCCGGTGGGCAGGTCCAGGTCCAGGGCCATGTCTCTGTCTCTGACTCCCCCCTCAGCTGGCTGTCAGTGGGTCTGGGGTTCGGGTTACCCCCTACCCTGTCAGTGGGTCATGGGTTTATGGTTCCATGGCATTCATTCTCTTTTTTCCGTTGTGTCCAACGGTTACACGCCAACCGGTTAAGCCAATTTATTAAATAAAAAACCATTTGTCACATTTCGTTCAAGTTTTCAGCACGGCTCTCCCCGCTCTCCCGCGCTCTCTCTCTCTCTCTGTTGACCTCTTTGTTGTCTTTCTTATCTTTATGATATTTTCCAGCCAAAAAAAAAAAGCTAATAAAAGTTGAAAGGCCACACAAAAGGTGACAAAAACCAGGCAAAAAAAAAACAAACCAAAAGGAAAGAAAATAATAATAATAGAGGACAGGCTGGCATTATTCTTCATTAATATCCCACCTGGTCAACAGATAAACGGACAGCGAAAACGACAACAACGGACAGGCGAAGGGAAAACCAAAACAACGAACAAAGGAAAAACAGAGGAAAGCGATACCAATGGAAGCCCAAACCAAGCTAGAGGGAAGCGCCACAGAGAAAATGCCCACAACCAAAGAACAGATAAAACAAACAGCGGACATTGATGATCAATGACGGGCCGGCCATCATAAGCAGATAATAATAATATTAATAATGAAAATGGCAGACCCTTTTTTTTTTGTATTCCTACCCTTCGATAAGCGGTGAGTGAGTGAGAACTAGAGAGGAACTGTGGGGCTGCCTGCCGCAATTAGTTGATTGCCAGGCCACTCAATTCCATCAAGTATGGCCAAGTCCTTTTGGCCTTTCAATTTCATAAGCGATGCCGAGCGTCCAAGTCCAAGTCCCTTTTCCCAGCGATATCTCTTGGAGTATCTGTCGGGGAGACATTGCCATAGCCATCGTTTGGCCATCGCACTGGCACTTACTCTGTACGCTCGCACTCGACGGGAAATTAAACTTGTCCAAAAGTTTAAATGCCTTTCTGCCAGTTTTGCGCCTGACTTTTGTTTTCCGAGTTTTCCCTCTCGGAATTCCCCAATGGACTGGCTGTGGCTGTGTGGAGAAAGTCTTCAAGCCCTTCCCTTTGCCCTATCCTTGCCCCTTTTTCTCTCTGTGCGCTAACTGGTTGTGGAGTTTTCTAGCAATTAAACGAGGCATCCGACTTGGCTTCTTCCTCCCCCTACCCCACCTCCCCTACCCAATACAAAATGTACAAAATGATACAAAGAGTAGACGGGGGGCGCTGACTCCTTCTGCTCCCCGCACTCTCCCCCACTCTGACTCCATCTACTCTGTAACTGGAAACGAATTTGCGGTTAGCAAATGTTGCATGCTGCTTATGTGGCAAATGAAGCATGTCAAGCAGGTTACCCATACGCCTCGTTGGCCCCCAAACTCGATTGGATGTGAAAGGAGCTGGGCTACCGCCTTGCCCCCTTGATTACCATGACCCTGACTCTGGATTTCGCCACAAGTAAATACGTAAATGTATGTGCGTGTGTGTGTTTGTGTGTATGGAAAATGTGGAGGAAACCCTACAAAATTCTATGGGAAATTCTTAAGAAAATTGACTAAGAGAAAATATTTATGTGGCAGAAGCAGCCATAAATGTTGTGGAAAATGCATATAACATTCTCCATTTGTGTGAGAAGAAATTGTTGCTTTTGTTGAATACAAACCGCAACTTAATACTCACTTGATTAGGGGAATAATTAGATGAATATTTGTGTAAAAATTAACACAAGTATTTGATGGCAATCTTATACATATATTTAGTTTGGCAGCAGAGAATTTATGGATTTATATAAATTATTATTACTCAATTAAAAACAATTAAAGCTACGCTACCCCAAGTACAGGGTATTTAATAATCGAAGCATTTGACAGTAGTTTATCCTGCTTAAGTTATAATGGAAATAATTGCCATTAAGTGATTATACTTATCGGATTATAAATACCAACAGAATGTTGATTTATGCAGCGTAGTTCCTTTAAACTAAATCATCATCATCATACACGCTGAAATTGTGTTTAATGAATGCCATTTAAAATACAAAACTAATATCTTTGATAAGCTGCTTATTTCTAATTTAATATCTACTTGAATGAACTTATCTTTCTTACATCTACAAATGAATGCCACCAGACAGCACTTACTATATCTTATTTAATTTTACTACCGCCATAGAATTTCCTTGGAATTTTTTTGTTGTGTAAATTATTCATTTGATGTGTGCTGTCCATTTGGAAAATGCAGACGAAAATCCTTTTGCTGCTTTGCAAATGAAAACCAAAAATCAATTATGAAAATATAAATAGCTTAATCCTTTTAAGAATTATGATAGGAATGTGCAGGGCAGTTATAGGGTCAGCTTTTACCTGAATTTTCCACAGAGCTATTTGTCTGTTTGCCTCACTCTCTGCCCACACCTTTTGCCCCTTTTTTTTCACTCTATTTACCGCACACCCCTTTTCCCCTTTACCCTTTTACACATTTGAACAATTTGTAAACTGTTAACAGCTCCATGCCACTTGCCCCATGCCCATACCCTTAATATACAATTCTGCATAATTTATGGCCACATAGATTGAGGCAACAGAGCAGGGCGAAGCAGAGACCATGTATATGTATGTGTGGCTGCATAAATAATGAAATGATATTTAATAATGCAATGATGAAAACTTACGGCAATGCAAACTAAAATTAAAAGAATGGAAGTGGAAACCGGAGAAACGAGACAGGCGACAGGAGACAGGAGGAGGTGGTGGTCTGCAGGGAAAAGTCAGAAAAAAAACGTTGAATAAATGCGTTGAAAAATTAAAACCATTGCCATTCATTTTGTTGTTGAAATATTTAACGTTATTTTATGTATGTTGATTTTTTTCCTCTCTGCTATTTTTACAGCAACACATCCGCTGCATAGTCAAACATTGGCCCAGAGGCGACTGCAGTTATGCAATGGAAATGCCCACGTATTGCCAATCGGCCAAAGGGCCGAGCAACAAATTGATGTGCATAAATATTTGAATAACGCAGCGAATCGAAAGTGAAGGAACAGCAAAAGCCGTACAAGAAACCAAAAGAAAGTTACAGTGGATAGGAAGGAGGGAGATTACACTACAAAACAGAAAAAAACAAAAAAAAAATACATAAAAAAGAGGAATAGTCAAACGACAGCAGACAGCAGACAGAGAGGACGGAGGCATAACAAAATGAAAATTAAAATATTTCCGCTGACAGCGGAAGCAGCACTGCTGCGACAGCAACAACAGCAGCAGCGGCAGCAGCGCTGTCGGAAAATGAAATTGCAGCGGAAGCATAAAATGCCGGAAATATCCGCAAGGCTAATTGTTGCCGCCATCGCCTCGGCCATTTGCCTCTCACTTATCCTCACCGTGTGCATGCCGGTGCCTGTCCAGGCCCAGGAGCATGATATCATGCACGACCATGACCACCATCACGACCATGGGGATGACGATGATGATATGGATATGCATCATCATCTGGATATGTTGCATCATCAGCAGCATCAGGATTTTATAATAGGCGAGTCCGAGGAGCGGGATCACATAGCACATCATTTGGGTGAGTTTCATTCATGGAATTCAGCCATCAGCCTTGTTCACAAGTTCCTTTTCCACACAAATTATACGAAAATCGAGCTTGAAACAAGGCTGATAGTTATATCCTTTACCGATCACTTTATGTGCAGCTGCTACTAGCTCAGCACCTTCTATCACTTTTTCATTGCTGTGTGCGGGGTCACAAGGTCAATTCGGGGGCAGCAAAAACTTTATAGTGTCGTCTGGGACATGCCGCCTCCATTTAGCAAAGCTATCTGGATGTCATTTCAAGTGAATTATGTGACTGGCAGCCCCCAAATAACACACACAGTGGGGCTCATTGAACACACAGAGCCACACACACACAGAGAGAGAGAGAGAGAGGCAGAGTGGCAGAGTGGCAGAGAGTGAGTGAGCTATGGCGAATGGGGAAAGAGTACAGGACCCCTCAGAGCACGTGCTTGGTTAGCTTTAGTGGCTGTTTAAGTTGTCATTGTTCCATAGCATAATTAAGAGGGGGCGTATGCGTATTGTGGCTTAGTGCTGGACCTGGACACACACACAAACACAGTCTTCCCTGCCCTCCCGCTCTCTGCCACACTGTGGATCTGCCACACATGCTGTTGCTGTTGCTGCCTCCTGGCTGCTGCTCCCTGGACAGTGACCACTTAAGTTTTCTTTGTCTATGACTTGTGCGGGGCCAGCCTGCCTCCTGTTCCTGCTACGGTGTCTTCCACCTTCTGCCCTTGCTGCTGCTCCTTCTGCTTGGGCTGTTCAACAAGTGGACAAACGTTGACATTGCCACACCCACACACACACACGCCTCCCTCCCTCCCTCGCTCTGTCTCACGCCCCCCATTTGGGTCCACTGTGATGTGTGCGTCGTCCTGTGTCCTTGTTTGAGTATCTACTTATGACAAAAAGTGATTGACATTGTGATTGATGGCACTTTAGGTCGTCAGTTTCTGGTTTTATGACTTGACATGGACTTGACCGTCGGCATCCCATGAATTCTTTTTTGTGGATCCTCTCCCCAAAAAAAAAGAGTTTTTAAAGAGGGATTTGCATATGGATTTTGCACTGGGTCACTGAGCACTGCTGTGCTGCTGCTCCTGCTGCTGGGAGGGAGTCCATAGTTGTGCTTATGTTTCGGGTCCTATAGTGGCCCCACAGGGACTCATTTGTGGATTTATGGACTCCATTGCGTTTATTCCGGTTGGTTAATTATCATTTGGGGCATTCGAAATCCACTTTGCCGCTTTACAGCTTTACCTTTCCGCTTGTACAATTATCAATTATTGTTTTGCATTTTCAAATGATTGTTCATTGAATTTTCCCATACTCATAGCACAATTTTTGGTTTCTTTCTTTTCGCTTGCTGCATTTTTCCCCGCCAATTTGGATGCTCGTTTTTTGTAGCTTTTCCGCTAGTGCTGCTGCTGCTGCCGCTTTTCCTTTTCTGATGTAGCCGGCAATTGTTTGACAATTTTTCAACAATTTCCCCACTGACTGCAGAAAATTTTGTCGCTCTGCACACACACAGACACACACACAGAGAGCTACATGCACTTTGCGCATTCTATGTCATTTCCCTTTTATCCGCTGCCATTTTTTCGCTCCTCTTGTCTATGTGTGTGCGTGTATGCGTGTGTGTGTGTGCTTTTTTTCACACGCTTTCGCATTGCAACTAAAAGTATGCAAGACTGTTTTTTTTTTGTTTTTTGTGTGGCGCCTGTCGCTTGGTTAGCGGCAAGGCAACGAAGCGGATGAGCTGCCTGCCGAGTGCCGAGCGGTAATCAAAATGGGGTGGTGGCTTGTGTGTGAGTGTGTGTGCGTTGCAGGGGGTTTTGGGCTGCTGCTGGGGTGCTGACTGCAGCACAACAATCACGGTCGCTGTTGGCCTTTGAGGCCGTGTCAGCGTGTTAAAGTGTGTGGATGCGACGCGACGCGACTCTTGTTGTTTCCCCGGCTCCCCTGCCCAGCTCCTTATTTGCTTTAGTTCGTGTGATTTGTATTTTATTTTGTGTTGCTGCTGCTGCTGCGCTTTGGGCGGTCTCTTGCTCTCTCTTGTTGCTTGTTGCTACCCTGGTAATTTTCCCAGAGTCCAAAGGGTATTCTTTAAGCGTTGTAAATTTCGAGGGGTTTTTAAAAGTGGAATTCACATTTTTAAAGATATTTGGCCGTGCTTGAGTTTTGATTAGAACTTAAAATGTTTGCAATTAAATTTTAAAATGTTAAATATTAAAATATTTTTTATTTTATAATTGTTATTATACTTAAGTTTTGATGATAGTTTAAAATATTTGTTGGTCATAATTGAAATGGAAATTAAAATATTTTTTATATTATTATTAGAAATATTATTTTTGTATATTATTTTGTATGATTTTCTTTATTTTTTGTTTCTTTGTAAATTAAAATTAAAGTTGGTTCTCTCTCCTTTTAATGCCTTTTCCCTTCTCGGGGTATCCTTAAGTCGTAATTTTCAACCACTTCCTAATTTTGTTTTCCTTAACATTTGCTTTTGCCGTTGCTGTTGCGCTTTTCTTCTTTACTTATTTTGTTGTTGTTTTTCTTGGTATTGCCTCTTGGCTAATGTTTTGGCTTTAACATTATTTTCCGCTGGACCTCTCCTGCTGTTGTTCTGTGCCGTTTGAAGTTGCCTTTTGTAGTTGTGCTGCCCGACCGCAACGCACCGCTCCGCTCCTCTTAAACTCTGAGTTTAAATTTAATTTACTGACTGTTGATGTTCTGCCTGCAGCGTGGCCATTGGGGAATTTCTAATCAAACTTGTCTTGGCTGTTGCCACACATATCAAATATGGCACACAACTCAATTAGCCGCAAAGTTTTCGCTGCGCCAGTTTTCAGTTTGCAAACTGAATATGAAAATGGAGAGGGAAATGGAGATTGCAAGTGTAGAGGGAATTGGAGGCAGAGAGTGAGAGTGGGAGAATGAAAATGGAGCCAGAAAATGGTGAGGGGCAAGACCAATGCAGAGAGGTAGAAACAAAAGCGCAACTCGACACCTGATCCGTGCGATGCAAATGTTGCATTGAAATTTGAGCAGCAAAATTTCGCCTGCTGCTAATTTGAAAGTTCAGCCCAGTTCACCACCCAACCGCACCCCACCCTACACTGTTCTTGCTTGCTTTGTGCCATGAGGGAAATGCATTAAACTGGCAACAAAGTATGATCCCCCATTCACGGAGAGAGATGCACAGGACGCAGGACTCCATCACGTACGCAGCAGCAGATTGATGGCTGGAATGGAAAAAAAGAAGAAGGTGTTACTCAATGGCTATCAAGAGCCGAATCTTGGCCCTGGCTCATTTCGTAATACGCCCCCCCATTAGGCCTCGGAATCCACCCCCCAACGAACTTCTGTGTAATCTTGGGGCCCCTTCATCTAATTGGAATCATTAGCCGGGCCATGAGCAAACACTTACCAACACTTACAGGAGTCATAGACAAATTTGTACAAATTTACAGGCAGTTGTTGACACCTCTCTCTGATAATCCGGCGGCGGCTCCACGCCGGCCTGGATTCCGTTACCCGGCGGCAAGTCCTCCCTTCCTGTCTGCTGGCTAATAAATCATCCAGAGACCAGACAGTGAGTGAGTGAGCGAAGAGGCTCTGAGGCGAGAATTGGCTTAAATGCGTTAAGAAAAATCAACACCAACAGCAAAAGCAACAGCGGAAGATACACTGAGAAGGGTGGTGGGGGGGGAAGAGGAAAGAGACAACAGCACAGAGAGCAGCAGTCGCTGCCTGTCGCTGGCAGCAGGTGCTATGCTTCTCAGTCATCTTTTACCCTCCATGCCCTGTCTGCCCCTTCCCATCGGGCAGTTCTTTTTGGTGGGGGGGAAGTGCGCCACAAAAAAAAAAAAGAAAGTAAGAGAAGAGCGTAAATTAAAATCTGCCGCAGACGCAGAGCTCTTGGAGAACCTACAGCTGTCCATAGATGTGGCGCAGGCGATGCCTCTAGGCGGGGCGGCATGTTTCGAGTTTCGCTCTTGTGCGTTCTTTGTTTTTTTTTTTGCTTTGTTGCATAATTTGTCGGCGCACAACCAAAATATATTTTCGTTTGTTTGCTTTTGCTTTAAATACCCTGGAATACGCATGGGCACCGGATGGGGTATATTGTGTGTTACATTAAATGGTATAAATTATAAGTGGTGCAATTTGGCTATAAAAAATCATTGGTAAGGTAGATAATAAACTGAGCAGATTTTAGAAAGTGTTGTAAATATATTTAAATAATAAATATACATAAATATATTTAAATAATAAATATAAATAAATATTTTTAAATAATAAATATACATAAATATATTTAAATAATAAATAAAAAAAATAATAATTAATAATAAAATAATAAATAAATAAAAAATAGAAATGCCTGTGCTATAGATATAAATCGTATGATTATTATAGTCGATAGAAGGAAAACCAGTTAATGCTAAATAAATATTCTAATTGGAAGAATTATTATCATAGATTATTTTTTATATAATTTTCAAATATTAGAAAGCTTCTTTTTCAACAGTTTTTATATTGTAATTTAATTCCCCGACAGTTTGGCTGTGACTACAGGGTATTCCCCATAGTTCAAATATCACACACAAAATTTCAATTTGTTTTTTTTTCAGTTTTTTTTGGATGTTTTGTTTTGGCTACGCCTTCGTTGTGTTTGGTGTTCCTGTTCCTGTAATGGCGTGGAGCAGCAGCAGCAGCTCCCCTCTGCCGTTTCCCCGTGCACTCATGTTCGCTACCACCCCCCATACCACTCTAAACCACTCTTTTGCTGCTGTTGCTCCTCCTCCAGCTTGTCCTTCTGCTTGTTCGCTGTCGGCTGTCTCATTGTCTGCCAGCGACAATGTTTGGGATGGAAAATTTAAAGCATATTTCTTGGCGCTGTGCCGCAAGATGGAAAAATGGCATAATAAATAAATCTACTTTGAATTAGCGCCATTTACTTTACATTTATTTTGTGCCAGCGCCCGCCCGTGCAATTTATAGCCATCGCTCGTTCGCTGTTCTCCGTTCGCTGTTCGTTTGCTCGTTTTTCTTTATTTAAAGATTTCCTCTGTCGTTTTCGTTTGTTGTTTCTGTCGTTTCAATTTTTGTGTGTGTGTGTTGGGTGTGAGGCTGCGTGCGTGCTCTTTGCCTAATGAAGTTCTGAGGTTAGACAGGCAGCGATTGTGGCAGTGGCAGGGGCAGCCCCCTAAAGGTGCGCAGCAGCTAAGTGGACGCGAAAGTAGGTAAATTACAGGCTTATATTATGCTCGAGATGGATACGCTTTAATGGTGGCCAAAAAGAGAATTTCCATTTCAATGCGCGAAGTTCTTCGTTCCATTTTGAGGGGGGTGGTTGGGGGCCAAACCTTATCAAACATTTATCTGCAATTGCCACAGAATTGCTGGCAATCTGGAAATTTTTCTACATCACATTTCCCCTGCTCTACTTGAGTTTCCCTTCATTATGCCTCGTTCTACTATTTTTCACGGTCACGTCGTATTGCCTGCAAATCACGTCATGGCAAGCATAGAAAGCAGCAAAAGCCGATGAGAAGAAAGGGGGGGAACTTTTTCAAACAACTTTCACAACTCTTTTGGGGTTTTAGTGTGCTGTCTAGTTGTAGGGCACGTAGCCATAGCATAGCAGTCTCCTGGCAACATTTGTTGCCCCTCCCCCCGCATTCAGTGCGTTTTCCATGTCTGCCACATGAGCCAAAAGCCACAAGAAGCGAAAGGAATTCAAAAGCAGTGAGAGAGACAGTCAGTTGAGGCGATAGAAGATGCTTTTTGGGGATGCAATACACAGCAAAAAAAAATATTAAAAACAGCAGTGGCAGCAGGCAGACAGACAGAGAGAGAGAGAGAGAGCGAGAGAAGGAGGCATGCAGAGAGATAGAGAGAGAGCGAGAAAGAGAAACCGAAGTCGAGTACAAAAGTTCCTGATGTTTGCCTTGCCGGAGACGCAACTTTGGTTACACTGCCAATCCCAGTTCCCAGTTCCCAGTTACTTTTTCTTCTCTTCTCTTCCTTTCTCCCTCTCTGTATCTCTGCCTCTCTCTGTCGTAGCAGAAATCGAATTTATTGCATACTTTTGTGCTGCGTTGTGTGTGTGTGTGTGTTGCTGCAACCACAAAATGTATTTGCATGGCTGGCTGCTGCAGCTGCGACAAGTCGAAGAGACGACAGTCTCTCAGTCTCTCAGTCTCCATTTCCAGCTCCTTTCCGTCCAGTTAGCATGTGCCTTGCCGTTTATTAAAATGCAACAATGCCAGCAGTTTCCAAAGCTTCTACGCAGCATGAAAATTAATTGAAAATTTGTTTTGCACCAGCCTCTGTCTACAAGTCCTGCCTGCCTGGCCTGCCTGCCTGCCTGGCCTGCCGTCTTTGCCATTCAATTCGCCAGCTCAGTTGGTAGCTTGAAATGGGGAATCCATTTGGTTTATTGACTTGACTGTCTGCACGCACTGAACAGAGAGAGAACCCACACAAGTCGAGTCCAAGGTCTTTGCGCTTCTAAATAACATTATTTTATGTCAATGCCGTGGAACCACTGGCAAAAAATATAAAATATAAAAAGAAATTCTGTGGCATAGCAAAAGTGTATCGCATCAGTCGTACAATTGAAAATCAATACTGGGGGAGATGTCGGTTCTCTATGCCCAAAATTCAGAGAGAGAGATAGAGAGTTTTCTTTAATTAATTTAAGCTTCAGTTGAATTTTGGTGACTGGGGCAAATGCAGATATATGTATGCCTAAATTCTCTATGAAATGTCCAACAAATTCTAAAACTAATTTTCTGTTAATTATGTTACGGGGCTATCCATTCACATTAGCCAGAGGTTTATCCCCCACCGCCCCTTGCCGGCTCACATTCTAAACGCAAACTCATAAACGTAAATCTATTTACCCATTTTGCCAGTTTTGGGCATTCACTAAATATTTTATGATGCATTTTGTGTGTGTGTGTGTGTGTACATTTTTACCTATTTGTGGTTTTGGGGTGAAGTGAATACCCTTGGTGCCGAACCCCTAATCGATTTCATGCTGCCCCCCTGATGCTGCACAAAAGTCAAGCTGCAACTTCATTTTGCGGCTGTGAAAATTACAAGCTGCTCGACCGTAACCGAAAGGCAAAGCAAAGGAAAAGGCAGCGGCAAAAAGGCGTTGAAAATGTGACCCTCAAATATTGGAAAAATGCAAAAGGAAGAAAAGTTTTCCCAAACACACAGACTGCACAGCCTGCACAGGCTCCTCCACGGGCTCCACGGGCTCCACAGCTTCACAGCTCCACTTTCTGCTAGAGCTCTTCTTTTGTGGGCGGCCTGGATGCGGCTTGGGTTGCGGTTTTTGGGGTTTAAAGCTGCCACTTTCCCACGTTTCAAGGAAAACGAAGCCAAGGAAACGAAACGAAAGAAAATATCTGCTTATATTCCTTACACACTCCTCCTGCCGCAAATTCAATTTACACTAAGGATAACCAAGCCAATATTAACTACATCGCTAAATGTATATACTTTCTCTTTCTCCCCTCTTTCGCTTATCCACTCCCCCCACCCCCCGCACACCCGACTGGATGCACTGGATCAACTCTTTTTCATGCCTTGACTGACGATGGTATGCTGTACGCTTGAATCCCCCCTCTCTCTCTCTCTCTCTCTCTCTCTCTCTCTCTCACAGCGGAAATGCAAAATAAGGATGAGCTACTTGAAGACATACGCGAGGATACGGTCGTCAATGCGATACCAGAGAAAGGTAAGTTATTCCCTTGCCAACCCCCTCTTACCCCTCTCTGGTCCTTGTAGCATCTTCCGCAAAGCCAACAATTTCCATTTCCATATATTCCACAAGAAAAGTGGAAAGTGTACGCGAATCGTTTTGGCTGTGGGGTACATGCAGCTGGTGATTGGATTGGAATGACACCACTTGAATGAATGAGAGCAGTATGAACGGGAGCCTTCAAATATCAGAAGTGAGGGAAATACATGCCTGGGGATATTCAATTGTTGCCAGAGCAACTTTAATTTGACAGGAGATTTACTGTTTGATTGCTTCAAGTAATTTTTTATTATTTAATTTATAATTATTTAATTTATAATTTTATTTTTATTTTTATTATTTTGATTATTATCACTATTTATTATTTATTTAATTATTTATTTATTTTATATTTTTTTGCACATTTTTATAGCAATTCAAATATTTTATTTTGTTCATTTTTAATTGATTTAATCAAGGGGATCTAATTTTTTCAGTTTCGAGTTTGTACACAAGCAAATTACAGTCGAATATTTATTCAACATCAAAATGGAGTTTTAAATGAGCAAAATTCAATTAAAGAAGGAAGAAAAAATTGAATATAAATTCCTTTCACTTTCGCATTTGTTTTTCTCATTTTTTAATTATGATTCTAAGAGTATTTAATTGTCACTCCGCCGCCAGAGATAGTCGGAGTCAGAGACAGGCCCTGCACCTGAGTTCTGTGCCGTGCTTCCATATCGTTTTACTTATCCCCAGTGTCGTCACGTGCTCATTTCTTGTCTGCCAGCAGCCCCCAGCCCTACGCTTCGCCCTACCGCCTGCATCCCGCCAGGCGCCATTAAGTCAGTTGCCTGTGCGGCATGCGTCGCGTCGCGGCGCGTCCCTTTGCCTCTTAGGCTTCACATCGCATTCAACCCACCACCCCCTCTCTCTCTCTCTATCTCTCTCTACCCCTCTCTGTGTGTGTGTCTCTCTGTCTGAGAGACTTCTCTGCCTTTAGAGTTGCTTTGGCTCTTGTCGCAGTCTTTTTTCTCGCTTTTAAATTTTATTTATTGTAAATTGTATTTGAAACGTGCTGAGGTTCAGTTTTCTCCCTCTCCCTCTCCCTCTCTCACTCTCTCTCGCTAAAAAGGCGGCCCGGGAAATGCTAAGCTTGTGCCCTTGGCATGGATATCGGAGAAAGTATCGCATGTAATACGCAACGGTATGTGTGCATGTGTGTATCTGTAGCTGTAGATGTATCTGTGTCTGTGTTGGTGTGTGTCGTGCAACTTAATAGAGTTGTTTAGCATTTAAATAGCGCCATTTACTTGTTGTTGTTGCTGACTGCCTGCCACTGCCACTGCTACTGTTGCTGCCTGCCACTGCCTGCCACTGCCTCTGTCGCTGCTTATTAAGTTGGAATGCCAGTCAAGTCGAGTAGACTTAATAAACTTGGCTTTAAGCAGCAGCCAGCAGCCAGCAAAGCAGCGTAGCTTGAGAAAGTGGCCCATTAGGCACTCGTGACTAAGCCAAAAGCAGTTTATAATTTCAAGTACCTCCCCCCGCCCTGGCAAAACGTCCGGATGAGTTAAGAGCCCGCCCGCATTATCAGCATTCAAATTGCATTTGTTTTCCGGCCCCCCCGGCCGCCGCTTGAAGTTTTCCGCACAACTTAAACCGCCATAAAAGGCGCTCAAAACCGAGCACAAAAAAAATTAGCACAGCGCTTCCTGTTTATCCAGGGGATTTGGCAGCTAAGCCAACACACACACACACACACACACACACACAGACACACACAGACACACAGGGAGCGCTGAAAAGGCGCTCAGAAAACATCATAAACATTGTGTTAAGCAGCCAGGGGATGTAATGCAAGATACTCGTATCCGCAAAGCATATGCACATTAAATCCTAATTTCATCTGCCCATAAATCCACTAAACAATCACACTTTCAATCCTCCTCAAAGATGTAACAAAATTTTCACACTCGAACGCCTCAAACGAGGCGACACAAGAGAATATGAGAGGGGAATTATGCCATAAAGAGACACACACTTACACCACAATGCGTAGAAGGAGTACTCGTGTATCTGTGCGTATCAATAAGCAAACGTTGAAGGGATGTGGGCATGTGCTGTGGGGGAGGCAAAGCAAATCAAATGAGTTGGCAAAAGGCGACAGACGATGACGAAACAGTTGATGCTGTGTATGTGTGTGCTGTGTATGTGTCTGTGTGTGTGCTGTGTGTGTGGGCATGTCAGCCATTGAGGACAGTCTGCTACGGTTTGGCTTTGACACATCGAAGAGCTGCCTGTGTAATGGAGCTTATTAGTGCTGTGGGCGAGGGCTGATTCCCATTATTATTATCAAGTGAGCCATACTTCAGAGCGCACAAGTAACAAACAACACACAGAGAGAGACAGAGAGAGAGAGACAAAGAGATAGGGAAGCTGAAGCTGTGATGCTCTTTGAGTCTTTGAGCCACCTTTATGGCTATATAATTTGTTCACTGAAATGGGAAATCCTTCAGCTTATAGCCACATGAACCAGTGTTATTCCCACACAACCACAGTAAGGGTATCATGGACCACTCCAAAACGTGATGTTTAGCCAGAGATTAGACGACAATCAACCACAGGATGGGGAACACACAACAAGCTAAAAACCAAGCAAAAACAAGCAAAAACAAGCAAAAAGAGGCAAAAACGTTGCCCCATTTTGCGCACTTGTCCGCCGCGCCACAATTGAGATTTACGGCCGCATCAATAAACATCAAAAAAAAAATATTCCCCCTTCAGGACACACACACACACAGCCTGAAAGCTACAGCCTCTGGCTGCCACACCCCAAACCCCTTGCTTATCGGCTTGTTTACGCATTTTAAGTACAAGATTGTTATGTGTTGATTTGCCTTAACCGATGCGTGCCCCGCATATGAGAAAAATGTCGAGTCGAGTCGCTTTGCGTCGCGTCGCGTCGCGTCACTCGTCTTGTCGTCTCATCTGACAAGGAATTTAACCCAGCCACCCAGCCACCCACCCACCAGCCCGCTACCCGCGCTAACCGTTGTATGATTTTATTTTATTACGAGTCGAATGCGTGGGGCGCAAAACTTTGCTTTGCTCTGCTTTGCTGCTGCCTGCTGCCTGGTATGTCAGCGACAAACAAGTGCAAAAACACAAACAGTCAAGCAGTCAAACGAAAGGGTAGGGAGGCAGCTGTAGGCGCCCAAGTTTTAAGCTCGCCCCCTTCCTGACCCAACAGCTAACCACAAATCTGTTGCATACTTGCGGGCGCGCGCGTTTAAAGTCAACGCGCTTTTGGGCCGCCTCATTGAACAGGCCGCTGACGCCAGAGCCACAAGCCTGTGTAGGGGTGTAGTGGTGTGGGGGTGTAGGGGTGTGGACTTTGATTGACTGGTTGAGAACTGAGTGACAGGCCAGGACGTTGGTCTAGGCCATGATTGTGTCGGTGCGCTGCTCCGTTGATGTGGGTTTATGCTAAAACACAAAGTAAAATGGAAAATAGAAAATGGGGGGCCACTGGATATCCTGGACTTAAATCTGCGCGCACACAATGTAGATTAAATGAAATGTAATGCAATTTATTTTCATTAACCTTTAATTTGTTAGGTAATCAGAGCTGAGGGAAATGTGTGTGTGTGTGTGTGTTGCCTAGCCATACATTGAAATTAGATACAAAAGCGAAAGGTGAAGCAAAAACTCTTGCTAGAAAAAAAAACACTTTTTTACACACTTTAAAATTTTTCCTGAAGAATTTTTTTATAAAAAAAAATTGTTTGCTATGTTTTGTCTTTTCTTACTGAGTGTGAATAAATATAATATTTTTTTTTATTCCCTAAGGAAAAGTCGAAATTACAGCTTGAGCAAAAAATAAAACTCAAAGAATAATGATTATTTTTTGAGTTATAAAGTATAACTTAAAATTAATCATTATGTTCTGAGTGAGTCAATAAAACTTGAAAATTAATCATTATTGTATAATTGTTTGAATAAAACTTATAATGATTACAGTCCCTACTTTAAATGCTGCATTGATGATAGCCTTAGCTCCAGAACTATTAATTATAATTCCCTTTATCTAGCATTATTTTATGCCTAAGCTCTGCCTTTAATACGTTGGTTAATCAGAGTTAAGGTTAAGAGTTAATTTAACCAAACCAGAAAGACAATGCAAAACCTTACAAAAAAAAAACAATAACACTTTTCCATACCCTTTTTGTTGTTGCTGCATTGATGATAGCCTTAGACTAGCTTAGAGCGGAGGTTCTTAACTTACAATAAAATCGATGTGAGTCAAGAGCCCTCATTCTAAGTTAATTTTGACTTTAATTGGCAGACACTTGCACCTGCACTTAAGCATTATATTGGGCAAAATGTAGAAACTCTTACAAATTTTATTTAATTTCACTTTCCTTCTCTTTTTAGATCTTCCCAAGTTTGGTGAACTGCTGCAGAATGTCACAGTGCCCGTGAGTCGGGAGGCGATACTCCAATGCGTTGTCGATAATTTGCAGACCTATAAGGTAAGTTATTCTCACCCTCTCTCCCGCTCTCTTTTTCGCTGCCATCTCTCGCTCCTTGCAGCGTCCGCTGTCAGTCGGAACCGTTTACACTTCATCAGCTGAAAACGTGGCATACTTTGGGGCAAAACTTTTCCTTTTCCCTTTTTTTTTTTTTTGGTATTTTGTACCTTTGCGTGTCGTTCGTTAAACGCACAAAGCGATTTTGCGTTGTCCTGACCCCATCTGTGACGCCCTTTTGGGCTGGCACTGGAGGCACGTTTCGGTAGCCCACTGGCCGCTACTTTGATTTCGTGACCCATAGGCAAACAAAACATACACACAGAAAATGTATCTCTCAATGAATTGCCGAAACGAAACGAAACGAAACGAATATAGGAAATGGCAAGCGACTAAATGGAGCAACTGTGCATCTCATGGGTGACCCTTTTGTGTTAATAAAAACGATATGATCATTATCTGTGGCCTCGTTACCGGTAACTGGTAGCTGGTTGCTGTTGCTGTTGGCGGCAGACAAATTAAAAGATACGAAAATTGATGCCTAAATAGACTCCAAATTCTGTACCTTAAAACACGACTGCACCATGTGGCACCATGTGGCGGCATGTTGGGGCGTGTGGCATTCAAGTCGAGTTCATTTTAATCACTAGATTAATAAGCTATTTATAACGTCACAAAGCCCAATAACTAGAGATCAAATCAAACTCTCGACTTTCAAGCAGAATTCTCTTTTGGCTTTTGGCTTTTGGTTTGAATTTCACTTTTGATTTTGTCTTTGTCTTAGCTGTCTGCCATATTTAGAGGATTCCTAACCGTATAGTTAATATTTAAATATTCATAAACTATTCTGTTGGCAATACTCAGAATATAGCACGCACTCAAACACACACGCACACACACACACACACACTTGTATGTGTTGCATTGTTGCTGTTGCAGCCACCATTTTGTTGCGCTTTTGAGCTATGTTGCATAGTACCCGCGATGACAAAGGCTTCTCACACTACGAGTGGTCTTTATCAACCCAAGTACTAAGAACATGGCACCAAAACAAAAAAAAAAAACAGAAACAAAATCTATAAAAATTAAAATCAATTTCACTTTGAACTTTGCGACACACACACACAAACACACACAAACACACACATTTTTCACTACAAGCAGAAGAGATTTTCCACCATTTTGGGCAACTATCAGCGGGTTTTTTTTCAGAATTTTTTTCGCGACATTTTAACGCTTCGCTTACCCTTCGCTGCCCCTTTGCTGCCTCTGTTTGTTATAAATGAGCTCCGTTCACGCCACTCGGGCATTAGCATGGGAGGGTGGGGGTGGGGCTGTGCTAGTAGGAAGTAAAAATCGCTGAACGTTTTAGTTTTTTACAACAAACAAAAATCTAACCAAATATAAAACTGCCGCTCGTTTGTTACAATTTTTTTTCCTCTGCTACAGATTGCGTGGCTACGTGTCGATACACAGACCATTTTAACGATACAAAATCACGTCATAACCAAAAATCATCGAATGAGCATAACTCATGCCGAGAAACGTGCCTGGATATTGCGTATACGTGATGTTAAGGAATCCGACAAAGGATGGTAATGTATATTCACTGCTGTAAAATAAATAAAAAACTAAAACAAACAAAAACATTTTATTATTATATTTTGCATACGAATTGAAGTTGAAATTATAAATTTTAGTTCTCTTCAAGTAGCGTAAATTTCTGCCATAAATAAATTTACTTTCTGCTTCAAATCATCGACAGGTACATGTGCCAAATAAACACGGATCCAATGAAGAGTCAAGTCGGTTATCTGGATGTTGTGGGTGAGTGAGAATCGAATCAAATCGTTGCTAACTTTACGGTTGTGTAATGTGCCCCGATACAGCACCCCCTGCTGGTGCTGCACGCCCCCCACAGCTTATGCAATACAATTGATGTAGGTCTCTCCTTCTCTCTCTTTCCCTCTCTGTGTGTGTGTGTGTGTGTGAGAGTGCAACCCCACACAAATGAATTGTAATTTGTCTTGAGTGGGCGCCGGCAGCCTCCCCACTTGGCTACAAAGTTGGCTGTTGATAGTTTTTCAAATTGCACTAATTGCTTGGGCCAAGTGAGGCGATTGGAATGTGCATGGAAAGTGGAGAGAGTGGAAAATGGAAAGCGGAAAAGTGGGTTATTTCCACAGAGAGAGAACCGAAACCATTCGAAAAGTTGTACGCAACTTTCAGCCAACTTCTCTCGATTGAGCCTAATTGCCATATACACGTGGAATTGGTAGAAGTTGAGAGTTTTTTTTTTTTTTGTACAGAGAAAATTCTTTCACTTAGCCCACACACACACACACACACACGCACACGCACACACATTAGTTTCACTTGCAGATACAATCGAAAGAAAAAAAAAAAAAAAGAAGCGCTGACTAGAGGCCAAAGGTAGAGTCGTAATGAAACAATTTACATGCTACGTGCAGCACCCAGCTGACAACTGCCAACCACCCACGAACACCCACTCCCCGCTGCACCCACTCACCTGTCTTTCGGACCATGTCCGTGTCGTTCATGTCCGTCCGCCCCTGACGTTAATTATTCAGACGGCGTAGACGTTTTCTACCAGCAAAACCTCAGAGCAGACAACGGATCCGTGGGGTTCCTTCACCCGCAGGCAAATTTAAAATGAATATACTGGGGGGGGGGGGGGGGAGGAGGCGGCATACTGAGGTTTTTGGGTCTCGTGTTTCCGCCATCCGCATAAGTAACCACTTTGGTTGATTGTATTTTCATTGGATGTTGAAATTCATTAAGAACCAAACCCACAGCCTACACTGAGCGAAATGCTATTAATTTGCCTGTTGCTGGTACAGTGAGTATTGCCTTGCGGGCACCCACTCACCCAGACACTCTTCCCTTAACCGCACTAAGTCCTATAAGCAAAATGGCAAGCCGCTTTAAATCAGCGGCGACGGCTTTTCCCGCTGCCTGGCTGACAAAGTGCGCGATTTTGCGGTGTGGGTAGGGGCTACTGGGTATACATTTTACCACTCGAACCACTTTCTGCGACAGCAAAACCCGTGCTATTACTGTTGTTGTTGTCGCCGCTGTACGTTTGGACTTGCCGCACCGCAAAATAAGCAAATAGACGAGAGAGAGAGAGAGAGAGCGTGGAAAAGCTGTGAACCACGTTAAGCCAGTCAACGATAGACAGAGTGGCAGAGGAGACAGACAAACAGACAGTCAGACAGATAAACAGACAGCCAGACAGTGAGACAGTGTGGAAAAGTAGAGAGACCTAAGCTGACATAGCGACATTGATAAAGGTTGGGAGCATTGAGTGCAGGTTGAGTTGGTAATCAGTTGTTTGGTGCCACACATCTCGCACTCTGACGCTGATGGAATTAGTCGCAAGGAAATCAAATACAGATCAGCAGATACTCGTAGATCAATTTTCATCAGTGCCGGAAATTTCTGAAAAAGAGTAAAACGTTTTAAGTACACTACGAATAACACAAAATGGAACTATAAATGATTAATTTCGGCTGCAGAAATAATTAATCTACTTGGAAATATTTATGAACTCTTAACTATAATTTTAGATGTTATTTTGGGGCTGATTTTCTATTGGTGGTCCGAACACGTAAATGTGGTTAAAAATAAGAAATTCGAAGGCCATTAATTTGTGTTTAGTGTTGATAAATAATTGAGTTCTTCAGGCAAATAGATTTATGTATTTTCTCACTGTTTTTCTCCTTTATTTATGGCTTCCTCTAATGTGGAAAATGTTGAAGAAAATACTCCTGCATTTCGGCATAACTATTCTATAAATAATACACAACAGCTATAAAAGATTTTCCGTATTCAAAGCCCCTTTTTTATTTAGACCACCAAATCCTTTGAGTGTTCTACTGCCATTCAAAATCAATCATCAAATTCCGCTACCAAGCCGCGACACAAATGCAATTTTGACACTTTTTACGCTCTCTGGACAATTCCAAAACTAGTAAAAATCCATCAAATTTTTGGCATGGAAGAAAATGGGCCAAAATAAAAAATATATACATATATGGCTTTCAACCCGAAACAAATTGTGGACACATTTTCGCTTGACATTGTGTTTGTGTGTGTGTGTTGCATTTTTCTCACATTTATTTTGGCTGTACTTTTTTTTTGTTTGTTGTGTTTTTTACTTAGTTGTTGGATAGTTTGTTGGTGCCGTTTTTTATCCACCGAATTCATAGGAATTTTCTATATAGGTGGGGATATCCAGCGAGGCATTGTTTAATTTATATACCAACAATATGGTTTTGTTCTACGCTGACATTTGGCCTATGGTAGAGCGCGGGGCCCAGGCCATGCGGTTTTTTTTTGTGTGTGGCTATGCATTTGATTTGATGGGGCAAGAGCTGATTTTGGGGAGAGCTTAAAAAATGTACATACATACATACATATGTACATGCAAATGCATTTTTGAACAAATACTTTTTTAAGCGATTGTTGTGGTTTCGATGGAGAGAGAGGGGGATTTTGTTACCCAAAAATAAAAACCCAATAAAAAGCCAATAATAAAAATCAAATAAACTTGTGGGAGATTAGTTTTTTCTTTTATTGTTTTATACCTTTCTTTGGGCTCTACCTTTCCACACATTTCTGCCGCTTTAAACTTGCTTTAATGCCTTCTTTTATCTTCCATTTGCCATCATAACTGCGGGTCACAGCTCCCCCTTGAGTGCCCCCCACTGATAACTTTCATTTGCCAGCAGCTCAAACCAATTGAAATTAATTTTTGGCACATCAATTTAATCACACATCATTTCACCTGATTTCATAACTTATCAACCGACATCCGCCCTACCACTCACCCCCCCCCCCCCCCCCCCCACCCAACCACCTCCTGCTGATTCTGCCAAATGAAAAGAGATTGCCTGCCACGCCCACTTGAAGCCGCCACCCACCGATTGAGACATTTGTGTGACATGTAGCCGGGGCCATTAAAAAGAAAAGTTCGGAGGGGAAACAGGCAGCAGCGCCGCAGCCTACATTCAATTTGTACAACATGACGTATACGTAATATATTTGTGAGTGTGTTTGTGTGTGTGTGTGTGTTGAGGTACGGGTGCAAAGTCAAAGTACACTTTGTAAAACATGCACATCATTGTGTTGTGTTGTGGGGGGGGCAACCCACCCGAAAGAAGACTTTGAAGTCACATACAAGTCATAACGTGGCCTTGGCTCCGGGCTTGGCTCTCACAGAACCTCTCTCTCTCTCTCTTAGGATACTCTTATATATGAAATGGCAACGTGTGCATGTGTGTGTGTCTGTGTGTTGAGCAATCAAGGCAATCAAAAAGGAAATAAATAGAAATATATTGACGCCTTTCAATTGTAGCAAAAATGTGTCCCACCCAACTAATTGGATTTTCATGAATAGGAATAGCAACAGCAGCAAGCATCAGGCAGCAGTCAGCAGGCAGCAGGCAGCAGGCAGCAGTCAGCTGGCAGCACTCAAATTGAAATAAAACAAATGTTGGCCATAATTAAAAGCACATTTTTTGGCAAAAGACCGAGTCGAGACCGAGGCGAGTCCACTAGGATGAGCTCATTCATTTAGTGACTGGTCTGTCCGTCTGTCTGTCTGTCTGTCTCTCTCTGTGTGTCTCTGTTTTTTGGCAAGTGCAAAATTGTCAAGCGTAAAATTATAATTAATTGCAAAAGTAAGGCAGAGAGACACCACCGCACAGGCAATGCCACTGCCACTGCCACTTACATACAGAACCCTTTTTGTGGCCTGCAAATGTGAGCAGCTTTAATAAATGTCGAATGCAGACGAATGTCGTTCCTGGTTACCTGTATGGCTGCAGGGATAAGCTTTTATTTAATTAAGGCTGTGGTTTGTCAGTTGTACAATTTATTCACCACTTTTTGGAGCTTTGTTGAGGCTAAGATTTTGCTCAAAAACTATTCCCAACATTTAAATATGAATTTAAATCATAATTAATTCCGAAATCGCCCAAAAAACTTATAACAAATTGTACAATATACGCACCACTTTTTGGGGACTTTGCTGAGGCTAAGATTTGCTCAAAAAATATTCCCAAAAATGAAATAAAAATTTTAAACCTATTTAAACCTTTTTTTATATGTATTAAAATCAACAATTTGCTTATAATCTTTCACCTTTTAACACAATGTTTTTATTACATTTATCCATTTATATAACAAACAACGAATAATTGCAACAACCGCCGACAACCACACTTGCCACATCCACAAAACAACAACAACAACCACAACAACACCCACAACTGTGTGCAACTGCAACTGCAACTGTGTAACTGCTGCCAACTGCCACTGTCTGACACCTGGCGAACAATTGACGCAAACAATTTACTTGCTGCTTGCTGCTCCGGCTGGCTGGCTGGCCCACGCGGCGTATGAATAATATGTCGCTGGCAAACTTTGTCTCTGCTACGTGCCACGTAACTGACTATCTTTGTATGGTTTTGTGGTGCGCCATCCTGCAGTGCCACCCGATATACTGGACTATCCGACCAGCACCGATATGGTCATACGTGAGGGCTCCAATGTGACCCTTAAATGTGCGGCCACAGGATCGCCGACACCGACGATAACCTGGCGACGTGAGGGTGGAGAACTGATACCGCTACCCAATGGAGCAGAGGGTAAGTTGCATGCAGCTGAGTGTTCTGAAGGTTAGATTATAAGCACAGGGGGGGGAGGCACTCCACTCCCATCCGTGGCATGCAAATGATGTGCGCCAATGGCGCGTGTTTTCATTGCATTAAATTTCATTACAAAACATTTTTTGGAGTAACTTTCTCTTCGCTTTGACTGTAATTAAGAGAGGGGAAAAAACCAAAACTGAACTCTATAATTTGCCATATTAAGGTCGATGATTTGACGTGCACTTTTGGGCGTGCAAATTGCCTTGCACTTGACGCTGCTATATACGTATATCGTGAATGTGGGTTACGTCAGCTTAATTAATGTTAAGTGGGTTACAATGTTGCATAAAGATTTTCATGTTAGAAGCGCAGAATTTACATGGAAATTGAATGAATCATTGGAAATATCAAAGGCAAATGCATTTAGAGATTATTCTGATAGAAAATAAAGCAATAAGAGTTTATGCCGATACAAATAAAATGCATAACCGATTTGTTTCATTAAAATTTACTCAGAATCACAGACTAATCACTGTTAGAAATTTTAATTAAAAATCAAGTAAAATCGCATATTAGAAATATTAGAAGAGTGCCCCTCGAAGTGTGCGCCTTGCTTGTTGTCCCCTCAAAACCTGAACCTGCTTTCATTATTGTCCCAAATGATAAATTGCACGATGCAAGCTCATATTGGGGCACCTGGCAAACAATTCTCATGCAAACAAGATGGATGGAAAAAGACAAAACAAGACCCACTACTGATGCTAGTCCTAGCCCCAACTCTAGCAAAAAGGGAAACGAATGAGCAGATGCCAAAGCACAAGAAGCACTCTAACACACACCCCGAAAATTTGCAAAATTTGAATTGCACGAAACGAAACGCTGGGCCCTGACAGGCAGAGGGCTAAAGCAGGGAGGTGGGAGGGTATATGAGAGGCGGAGCAATGCGAATTGAGATTCTTGGAGAGCTGCATATGCAATGAGCGAGATGATTAGCTGCAGGAGCAGCAGCAGAAGGAACTGCAGCAGAGGCGAAAGACTGAGGAATTCCATTTGCATAGCAGTCAGTGTGTGATTGCCAGAGGATGGCATTTCTCTGTGCGGCTGGCTTATATTCTGCTTTATAAATGACAAATAAATATAGACATTTTCAACCTTCAATGCGTCGAATATTAATCTTTTATTTGGTTTGCTTTTATCTTCCCCTTTTAGCTATTGCATACAATGGCTCTTTTCTGACCATTGCCAAAGTGAATCGTTTGAATATGGGCGCCTATCTCTGCATTGCCTCCAATGGCATACCGCCAACAGTCAGCAAGCGTGTGATGCTCATTGTGCACTGTAAGTATGCAGAGAGCGGAAGGGAGCCTAGCGTCCTGCTCCGCCGAGCTGGAGTGGGGGGCGGGCCATATCAATTTTAGCATATTTAAATATTTATAGTTTTGCGCTAGAGCGGCACCACAGGAGGTGTCTGTCCTCTAGACAGCAGACCGCACCAGACACAGTCACACACAGACATACACACACACACACACACACAGACACAGACACAGACAGATAGTCACACCCATTGCCATTGCAAAAGCAAAGCTCTTTTGCCGTGCTAAATATGCTCTGCATTTTAATTTTTCACCCAAGAGGCAGCCTCCAGCAGGCAGCAGGAAAATGCTGTATACTTTTAGGTGCCATGCATAAAGCAAATAATTAAGTGTGTGCTCCATTCCGCCAGCCAGGCAGCTCCATTCTCTCTCACTCTCTCTCAGCTCCAACCCAGAGCTAGTTAGCATTTTTGTCCGAGCACTTTTCCTTTTGCAGCAGCATCAGCAGCAGCAGCAGCGGCGGCAGCAGCAGCTTCTTCTCTTGCTAATTAAATTAAAATTAAAATTGCTCAACAATTTGTTAGGTAAGTTCAGTGCACACACACACAGAAGCATAGGAAATATGTGTGCCGGCCTCCGCAGAGTGCCAAAGTGGGAGAGCAATTTGGCCCGGGGGAATAGGGGTAAAAAATCCTCTACTTCTTTTTTTTTTTTTTTTGTTTTGGTTAGCCAACCGCAGTACGCGCTACGTTTCAGCTTCAGTTGCAAAGCATTTTCTGTGGCTTTCCTATAAAATTAAAAAGCAATTAGTTGGAAACAATAAATGGCAACCGCAGCGGCAGCGGCAGTGGCAGAGGCATCCCCCAAAACGATGGCCAAACGATAAAGCACTAGAAAAACGATAACAATAACCAATGGAATTTCTCTCTATAAATGGGAAAATTCATTTCTTTTGTGCGTCTCCAGCCACACAACACACAACGCACACAAAAAACATTTTCCATTCAATCGCTCAAAATATTCCATTCCACCTGTACACCCACACACACCCCCCTTAACCACCCTGAAAACTCATTTTCTTTTCTCGATTTGATATATTTGACAGTTCCTCCAATGATTTGGATACAAAATCAATTAGTTGGCGCCGCACTCACACAGAACATTACATTGGAATGCCAATCGGAGGCATATCCCAAGTCGATCAACTATTGGATGAAGAACGATACGATTATAGTGCCAGGTAAGTGCTACAAAAAGAAGTCACCCCTTAATCCGTATTATACTTCTGCTATTGATTGTACAGCGTACAGCGTACACTTTGCTCTATTAAATTCCATTTAATTTCATCAGTGAAAAAATAGACTGCTCTTCAGAGCACTTCTCTCTCTCCTCTCTCTCTCTCTGCTGCCTAGTGCTCTTCATTTAATTTTCTAGGCACCGAACCGAACCCTTAAGGACTAACCTGACCCACCATTTGCAACTGCCCATCCATCTATTCATTCCACCACTTCAGATTTTCCCCACTCATCTTACACGACAAATGAACTGTGGACGATGACAACAGCAACAACAAAAAAGTACACTCGAAACCGCAGTCGGCATGGCATTCCCTTGAGTTGAGTTGAGTTGAGTAGAGTGTAGTGGAGTGGATTTGAGTCGCATCTTCCAGCAGCATTTCCCTCTCCGTGGGGTCAGCCCGGAAGAGGCCTCTGCCGCGTGCCAGCGAAAAAAGTCACCGCCAGTCAAGTCCATTCTCGTTTCCCTTTTTTGCCCCCCCTTTTTTTTCTAGTTATTTTCTAGCTTTTTTTGCGCTGCCATAGAAAATGGAAAAAGTGATTGAAAATGACCTCAAGTCAGATGCAGTTGTGTCTGCCAGTCGCTGAATTTTAATAGAGTTTTCTGTTTTAGTTTTTCAATGCGCGGCACAACGAAGATAAAAAGAACGGGGCAAGAGAAGACAAGAGAAGACAAGACAAGTGTCATTGGGGTGTCATGTCATATTTTAGATGAAAATAATTAATTTTTGAGTTAATTTTTGCAGACTAGAAAATAGAAAAAAAAAGAAAATAAATGTTACAGCCTCTAGGAATTTAAGAATTGTGGCTAGCAATTACTTGATAGCAGATATACAAAGATATCTTTTAACTCTTTGCCTTTACTCTAACCCAGAAAAACTCAATTATTTCTAATCAGTCTCCACATCAATTGTGGGGGCATTTTACTATAGTAACCAGTAGCCACAAAATGTGCTGCATAACAATTACCAAACCAGGGACGACATCATGTAAAACCTAGCTTAGAGCAAGTACTAAATCTAACCGACATCAAACGTAAATCAAAACCTGCATGACACAAACAAAAGCCAAGCCAAGTCCAGCAGCAGAGCGCTGGCTCCCACACATTTACAGACTTGACTTGACTTGTTTTTGTATAAATTAAAATGAACCATTTGACATGGGGTTCCACTGCTACGAGTACTGCTACGAAAAATCCCAATCCAAGCCCAAGACAAACTTGTGCCCTAAGCTTCGAATGCAAAAAGTTCTTTTCTCTATGTTTAAATTACATTGACAAGCAGAGAGCGGGCAGCAGAAGAAGGCAAAGGGTTCCATTGAGATTGAGTTCACTCTGCAAAATGGGGTTAAAGTTCAGTGGCTAAACCCCAAACCCCCATTCCCCATTCGTTTGCAGGTGAACGCTTTGTGCCGGAAACCTTTGAATCGGGCTACAAAATCACAATGCGGCTAAACATCTACGAGGTGGACATTCAGGACTTTGGGGCATATCGATGTGTGGCCAAAAACTCCCTGGGCGACACAGATGGTGCGATCAAACTGTATCGTAAGTATAAAACAATAATACAACAACAATACACGTAAATACTGGTAGTATTCAGAATTCAGAACAATGCCAAATGCCCATCATCCAATAACAATAAACACACAGCCCATACGTACAGCCCCCGTAAAGTCCCCCCCGTAAATGTGCGCATAACCATAAGCATAAGGAAACAATGGGCCATAAGTCAGACAGCCTCTGGCAATTAGGCAGCAAACTATTTGGCCAACTGTAGCTTTTAATTAATTTAAGTCAATGACTCTGCGTGAAGCCCCCCAACCCAACCCAACCCAACCCGACCGAAACGACAACAATGTGTGTGCCTGATAAATACCCAATGAGCATGAGCATGAGCAGGGCTGCTGGAATTCCATACAAGTTTTCGGGCGCCACTGCCTCTGGGTTCGAATGGGGTCGAAGGTGGCACAGTGCAGTCAGTCGGGCAGGTCTTGTGTGGAGTAGCAGCACCAGCAGCAGCAGTGTCAGTGATTGATTTACGAGCTAAAGGAATACGAGTGCGAGTTGCCAGTATCTTTGTATCTTGATGAGCAGACTGCTCGCAGCTGCTGCTGCTGCTTCTTTTTTTGGGGGAAAATGCGAGGCTTGCTAACACCATTTCGGCTGCTGTACTGTTGATATTTTTTCATAGATTTTTCCATAGATTTCTATAATAGAGTTTGCCTTTCTTCGCACACACAGACATTCCACAAACCACCACAATGACGACAATGGCGCCAACTGCTTCGATCAACACGGTGCCTGTGGTGCTCACCAAATACAATAAAGGTAACACATCTCAGATCACAGAACCCCCCAAGCAAATACTCAGCCTAATATCTCTTTTCCACGCTCTGTGTAGAACAACGTTATAGCAGCAATAGCAATCAGAATACCAACAATAATCCGTACAACTATAATCCCGGCAATAGTCAGCAGAACACAAAGCAGCAACGGAATAAGCAGCCCAAGGGCGGCGTGGATCAGTCATCGTCGGCGCTGAACAATGTCTATTTGGGCGCCACATCGAGTTTGTGGAATTCGCAGGATCATCAGACATCCTCCTCCTCCTCCTCATCCTCCTCGACATCCACAAGGCAGGGTGGCGGCAGGGATCATCAGCAGCAGCAACACCAACAGCAGCAGCAACAGCAATACCATGGTGAGTGGAGTTTCTTTTCTCTCTCTCTCTATCTCTCTGTCTCTCTGGGGGGCATCAACGCTTTAAGCCACTCCAAGTCCAAGTCGAAGGGGGGGAGGCAAACGATGTGCAGACGATACCATAAATATTTGGCCATTTATTTTATGTTTATGACAAATCATAACGACTTTAGCTGCTTGGCTTAAGGGTCTCTGGCATGTCGTTGTCGGCACTTGTTAGATATAGATACGTTTTTGGTCTCTAACCATGAACGAAAAAGGCAACTTCGACTGGGCAATTGACTGCGCGAATACCGTGGACTGGGTGATGGAATGGCTGGCATATTGTGGGGGAATAGTCGTATACAACCCTCCAGGCAATGGGCAAGGGTATAAATATTTTGCCAAAACATATGAAAGTCTCTCCCTCTCCCCGTTGCTGGCTTTGCCAATGAAAATATGACGTTCAAGCATGCAATGCCTTGCCCCCAAAAGGTTGCCTTTCCACCCGATGATACTTTTGCTGAGTTGCTGAGTTGACAATGTGTGTCGTCTGGGTCTGGGTCTGGTTCTGGTTCTGGTATAATGTGCTGCTAATGTGAACCATCGTAATGTACAATCATCATAAATAATAACGGGCTTTCGTTTCGTATTTGTTCTTAGTTCGTAGCTCGTTCTGGTGGCGTAGCGTGGCGCAGCTCGAGGTGCCAATGAAACTATAAGAACTTAAAGGTTAAAGGACAAGTCAGGCCAGGCCAGGCCACCTCCTTGGCAGGAGCTGCAGCTGTCAATCGATAAGCATAAAGTTTTATACTTGTACTTCCTGCCCTGATCTCTCCAGCTCCTCACCCCCTTTAGCACACAATTGGCCACAATGCTCTCATCCTTTTTTCTTTTTTTTGCTGCTCCCCTGCCAAAGGACGAAACGCATAAAATTTTACAGGCCCTTTGCTGCAAAAGTCGAAATTTTCTGCATACAAAGCGCGACTAGAAATCAAATGGGGAAAAATATCCCACAACTAGAATTTCAATTCAATTTTAAATCTGCGCGCACACAAGGGCTGGGAAAATGTCAGAGACTTTTCTTATAGGAAAATTATGCCAATAGGAATTTTAATTAACAATAAATACATACAAATATTGCCTTAAAAAAGCAGAAAAGGTTTCGCTGGAGACTGGAGGTTATACAAATTATTTCAATGGGAATATTTATTACAAATAAATTTAAATATTCCCTGAATAAAATCATAAAAAATTGGATACACAAACAAATATTTCAAATTAAAATTCCTGCTTACGATATAGCTACATATATTCCAGATTCGATCTGCGTCAAATCGGAAAAAGTCCTTCGACCGTTTCGCAACTTTCCTTTCGAATCAATTTTTGACACTATTTCTCTGATGAAATTTCCAAAAAATTGTCCAAAAATAAATTTCAACAAAAATCAATTCGAAGAAATTGAATATAAGAGCATCAGGCGGAAGCAAGCGTTGTGGGTGGGTGGGTGGTTGGTGCTGCTGAAAAGAGAGTCTTTCCGAGCAAAAAAAAAACCAACGCGCAATATAAAAATAGCAGACAAATTGCACACAAGGCGTCAGGGCGATAGAACCAACTCCCATCTCCTATATGTGCGCTCCTCCTCCTCCTCCTCCAGGCTCCTCCAGCGTTTCTATAAAAGGGTCCTGGTACTCGCCTTCATCTAAAGCAATTTTTTGGCAAACGCAAGCAGAAATGTTGCATCATTCAGAACGGCGGTGGGGGGGAGAGACAGATCAGGACGAGCTCCTTCAAGCTGTGGGAGCCTCTGGCCAGGCCATATGACACTGGGGGAGAGGCAGGCCAGGCAGTGTGCCTGCCGTGCAGCAGAGGGGGCCGGTTGGGGGGGGGGTGGTTGCTTCAATGACGACAACTTTCAAGCGTGGCATGCAACGTCGTAAGCGCTGCGTTTACAGTTAGATTTATTACCTGCTAGATGTTGCACATACATATCGCGGCAGCACCACACCACACCCCACACCACCCCCACCCCCCTGGGGAACGTTGAGTGTGGTGTGTGTTGCCCCGTTATCGCTGCGGAGTTTTGCATATGTCGCGACTGTTTTTGCCCCACCACCCGCCCACACCGACCACACCGCCCACACCGCCCAACGCTGCTGACACTTTAAGGCGGAACAAGCAGGCGACAACGAAAGTTTCACGACCAAAGCGTTCCGTTTCTCATGGGGGATACGTTCTTTTTTTTTTTTGCTCACTAGTCGCCCTTGGCCACGCCCTTGTGCTTTGGGTGGGTGGGGGAATTTGTGTGTTGAAGGGAAAATTATCTGCATTTCCATATGCATTTTTATGCAGAGAATTTTTGCAGAATTTTGGTAGAGGTTTTGGGTGAGTTTTCTATAGGAAATTTATTGATGGAGCGCTTGGGCTTTCAATTTATTCCAACTTTTCACTTGAAGCTTGGGATCTCTACTGCTCGTGTATGCCATAGAACGGAACCGTATACTGTACCATTAGGTACTATAACTTCTCCTCACAGCTAGGTACATATTGTAAATTCGATCGCTCAACGCAATTTGTCATTAACAAACCTTGAGCATGCCGCATGAATTTATCATTTAATGCTTACATATACATATACATATACATATACATAGGAAGCCAAACACATTCGCATTTACTCTCGTTACTCTGGCATTCAATTGAATTTCCAATTATCCTCTGGTTAGGCGGGTGCATTCAATTTGGTCGGTCAGGGCGCTTACTTTGGTCTATGCCAAAACCAACCCACAAAACTGGGGGGCTCTCTGAGCTGTGGACTCTGGACTTTGGGCTTTCGGCTGCCTGCCATTAAATGATGCTGTTGTTGCATTTGGTGCGCCACTCAAACTGTCATTAAAATGTTGCAATCAACCACAGAGAGCAAAGCAGAGCAGAGCAGTGGAGTCGTAGTTGCTGCTGTTGCTGTTGCTGTTGCTGCTGCTTCCTCTGTGCTGTCGCTTTCATATTTAATTTGTTCGGCCAACGGGCAAACAATATGGCACAAATTACAAGGAAATGCAATAAAAAGAAATTGTCCAAGGACAGTACAGGATACAGGATACAGGAGACAGCAGAAGCGGCAATGCATGCAAGTCTTCAGGCCCACAGCCGCAGCCACAGTCCGGACTCGGATACGTTTCCGTACCGGCCTCGGACTCGGTCTCGGACTGAACTGATGATTACTTCAGCATTCAGTGTCTGGGCAATAATTTGCCTATAATTTGCACCATTCCCCTGTCTGTGCTGCAGACAAATGGGCAAAGTGAAAAATGATAAAGTAAATGAAGTGCAACAGACAGCAACCGAATTGCCATCGCGTGACCAGGCGGGTTGCCCAGCCGCTGCCAAAGTGTGCCACGAGGATCAGCAAAGGGGTCTCTGCTAGAGGGCAGACTACAGGATGTTGGGTAGTCCTGCGGCTGCAGCCCGATGAACCCCTCCACTGAGCAGTGAAAGAAATATACACTTACAATAAATATAACGCATGGCAGCAAAGCCAGCAAAGGCAGCACCAGGGCCAGGACCAGCGCCAGGACCCAAGTGAGTCTCAAGTGCTGAGTGCCAGGCACTGTTTTTCCTTTCATTTGCCGCTGCTCTCCCTTCTCTGTTTTCGGTTAAGTGCAACAGGCTCTGCAATCGAGGTGTGAAAGCACACAGAGGCCTACACTTAATGGAGTAAAAGCAATGCCCCCGAGGGCATGCCCCTTTGCCATGGACAGACTGAATGAAGTTTCCATGTGTTGATAAACCAATGAAGATGCGAGCGAGGAGAGAGAGTGGGAGAGGAAGTATCATAAACAGTTGCACGTTCAAATCTATTAGCCACCAAAACTCCACACTCGACTCGATGGCACCCCTGAGAGACGCCCAGAGGCTGAGAATTATGCAGAAATTACGCTTTAAGTTTCAAGTAGTTCGAGGGAAAAACACTTATAAGAGCCATGTTTGAGCTAAAGCGTTTGCTTTGCCACACAGGGGGATGCATGGTGGAGTGGTGTCGGTGAGGGGAAAATGGAGCTTGCTTTGGCATTCAGGATGCGTTTTCTTTGCCTTTTCTTTGCTTTTCCCCGAGTTTCTTTCTTTCTATCGCTTTTTATGCTTAAGACGCTTTAAAGACACCGTTGGGACTTTCTCTTTACCCCGACACACAAACACACACACACAAACAGGACACACACAGACACACAGAACACACGCATAAACACATGCTCAAGCGTCAATAAAAATCAGCCACACAGACGCAGACACACACAAACCCTGGCAGGACCTGCTTTTTGGGTTGGTGCTAGTATTAGTGTTAGTGTTGGTGTTGCCACAGCTTTCACACATGGAAATGTTTGCAGACGCCTGCAAAACAAACCAAAAGCCATCCCCAACCCAACCCAACCCATTCTATCGCCTTCCTTCAGACAAAAACCAGGGAACCAACGTACCAAAGAGAAGTTTCCTAGGAAAAGCTGCTTATAGAAAAATAAAATACCAAACACAAACACAATCACACCTATACACACACACACACACAGAGAGAGAGAGACAGTGAGGGAGAGGGCACAACCCCCAACACAGACAGACAAATAAATTTCCAAAGCAATTTGCGCATTTCCGTTGTTAAAATAAAAAGGGTTTCTCTCGTTAAAAACAAAACGAGAATGTCCTTTTTCGATGGACTCTGCAAAATAACTACGGAAAATAAAGGATCCATCGATTCCGCTTACAATGCCATATTTCATAGTTATGATAAAGTTCCAATGAAATAAAATGCAACGGCGACTCTTTTTGGGGTTTGAACTCAGTGGCGAGGTGGTTTAATTCCTTTTTGTGTAACGAGGTAGCAAGGAAGAGCTGTAGCAGGCATTGGAAGTCTGTTAATTCTGCAGAATTAAAATGAAATTTCATATCTAAATATATGTCATTGTTATGCATCTTTTATTACGATATTTTAATCACAAATATAGCAAATTTTGCTTCACACTTGGAAAGAATTTTTATTAAGTTCAAAAGACCGAAGCCAGCCACTCCGCCGCCCATTGCCCTAAACTTCAATTATCAACAATAAAATTCTAGGAATTTCATTTCACTCTCCCTCTCTTTCTGAACACTGGCAAATTTCTCACCCACAGACAGTTCTTGTACAACTGACATAGTCCCGCAAACAATTGTTTGCAATCCACCTAATGACCAATGGCCCGTCCACGTCAAAGTCAAACAAAAACCAAAGGAAAAAATCCCAAAAAACCAAGGAAAAAAAAATTGAAAAAGCGAGAAACCGGCGCAGCACGCAAACAAATGTCCAATGAAACAGATTGCCGGACAAACAAACAATCGAGCAACAGCAGCAAACAAACAAACAAAATAAAAACAGAAAGACAAAACTCGACAGAAAAACAAACTGCAGGATAAATTGATGGCAAAAACAATACACAGCCTTTCCACTTTTCCGGCTCACCTCACACTCCCACAATCCCACACACCCCGGCATGCGATATGCCAGAGTCCCTGTCCCACACTCACACTTTCCATGTGGCACCCATAGACCCATACGTACCCGCTCCTCTTTCCGCTTCTCCCATTTACGATACGATACGATACGATACATACTCTCCTCTCTCGTCTGTTTGGAATGCATGGCGCAAGGGTTTAACGCACTTAAGCAATAAAAATCGAAACAATTTTCCGATGTTGCCAAGTGAAATTGAAACAAAATGCCAGCAAGGACTCTTGCCGAGTCAGTGGGGCAGGCAGTGTGGGTGGAATACTTTCGATTTTTTTTCGGGGCGGGGAGGGGCATGTCGCTGGGAACTGGTATAAGTGAGAATGTTATAAATAAGTGGGGCAGGCCACGGGCACGGCAGGGGCAGCGTTGTGTCCTTTTTATATGCAATACTTTCTGGTCCGCCAGTTGACAAACAGTTCGGTTCGGTTTGGGTTTGGGTTCGGGTTTGGGTGTATCCTGTGTCCTGTGTCCTTCGACTCTCTTTCTCTCTGCGGCTGACTCTTATCTGTGGCTTTATCTCTTTCGCACTGTCGCCTGCTACAAATGGCTGGCCATAAACGCATCCTGTGTCTATTGTTTATGCCCGTTGGCGTGTGGCAAGCGCATAATTGAAAAAGGACATTCAATTGATGACATTCAAGTCCTAACAATATGAAGGGCACATCATAAAGTGCCATGTGGCAGTTGATTAAGTCAGAAACAAAAGGGGGGCGCGTAGGGCACCCACAAAAGAATCTATAAATATTTCCATCAATCATTGTGACATTTCGATTTCAATTTATATTTCCAGCACCCGATCATGGTGGCAACTACAGGGCGGAGGGCAAGAGTCCGCATCTTATCAAACACGATGCCAAGTCCCTAACAGATGATCTGGATCGAATGGAGGACCTCAAGAGTGAGGCCACTCAGCCCCTGCTGTTCTCTCTGGAAGTTCTAGCCCTCCCCCTAGTCCTCTGCCTGGCGCGTCTATCAACGTGGCATGGATAATTCATCTACCGAAGTACAGTTCGAGTATTTCTGAATATTTGTACAAAAAACAAAACAACATGAAATGAAATCAGCAAAAAGGCGAAACCAAAGTTAGTTTAACTAAGAGAAAACTATAACGTAAGCAATCGATTCAGTCCCATATTTTATATGTGTACTAAGTTATGCCTGAATGTGGGAGTGTCGCTTACTGTAAAAAGTTGTTTGTATAGCATTTGAGGTGGAGTGGAGAGATGCAAGAGCTCGGATCGGAGACGGAAAGATAATGGATGGGATAACGGAAATACAAAGTATTAGAATGTAAAACATAAGATGTAGAATTAAGCCATTCAAAAGCTACATAAAAAACTGTTCTTAAGCTTGACTCCAAACCAAAAACAAAACAAAAATAATATAAAAAATTAGTGTTAAGTTACTGGGATGCCATCATTCCTATTTTTAACTCCGTTCTAGCTTAGTTCCCGAGCACTGCAAGCTGTATGATAAATAATATATACATAATAATACTATATGTATTGTAATATCATCTTAATTTAACAGAATCGAAATAAACAGAAATGCCGTCTTACAGAAAAAAAAATATTTCGTCTTTAAATCATCCTTAATAAGGACTCCAAGGAATTTTTTCCCCATTTCTATAAACCATCAAAAGCCATCTGATTGAACAAAAAGAAGGAATATCCTTGATCCTTTTTAAGGACTCCAACATGGATATTTTTCCGATCACAGGAAGCCGTCAAACATCCCGATCGGCCCACAAATGTGGGAGAAAACAAAATTTTTATAGGCTATTGATACTTGGTCCTTGATAAGGACTCCATAAAATCAGGGACATTTTTCCAATCACTGGAAGCCATCACACGCCTTGATCGGACCACAAATAGCGGAGAAAACGAAATACTTCGGCCATTTGAGCCTAGCAATTACAAAGAGTTAGTTCCAGCAGTGTCCGTCACAAATCATGGGGGAGCCACTGAGGAACCAACAATTTTTTGCACAGTGGCGCTCCCACGAGCACCGACGTCCAATGCTGGAACTAACTTTTGAAATTGCTAGGCTCAAATGGCCGAAAACCAGACAATTTTCAGACCGAGTACCAGGCGAACAGCAATCAGCAGAAGGTAGCTAGTTTTTCAATTTTACATCAGGTCAAAAGCTAGCCGATACGCAACTGGCTGCAATTTATAGCGTTTTTTAGAATGCGTATAACTCTGCCATTTCCCGTCCGATCTGGGCGTGCCACGCCTTCTCGTGATCGGGAAAAAGTTCCTTATCGTTTGACACAAAGGACAATAAGGATATTGCTTTGGAACCGCTAAAAATCCTTTATTGCTTCGCCATTTTTAGTTTGATCAGGGCGGGCCATGCCTCCACCTGATCATGAAAAAACTATAGCCGATGGACAGAATGGATCCTACCGATTCTGCAAAGGTAAGTCCTGCCCCGATCCGACCTCAATTGGCCGAGAAATAGCGTCTCAAAGTTTTGGCTGCCAAATATTTAAAATACTGGTTTTTTTAAATCACGCTATATCTCGGCCAAATAGGGGCCGATCTGGGCGTGGCATATCTTTTTGTAATCACGACAGCCCATTTTATCGATTGGCATCAAAAAAAAGGATATTCGGCAAATACTGGTTTTCGCGAAAATGATGATGGTTACATCATGATTTTTGCGAAAACCAGTATTCCTCGGATGTTCTTTTTTTGGATTGGGATCGATGGTCTAGATCCTCAGGATCCTGAAAAAGTAGGTCCTTCAAGGATGTGCCCCTATTTGGCCGAGATATAGCGTCAAAAAGAAAAAACCAGTATTTTTGTTTTGACGCTATATCTCGGCTATTAGTCGACCGATTTGGTCGGTCCACACCTTTTCGTGATCAGGATAATCCCCCCGATCGTTTCCAATCATTTTGGCATCAAGGACATTAAGGACTAACGATTAAATTTCTATAACTCCGCCATTTCTCGTCCGATTTAGGCTTGATGCATATTCTCGTAAGCGGAAGGCTCTTCTCAATTATTTGAAACCTTCAAGGACGTGAGGGTTGCAAGGATACGCCTTTTACATGCAATTTTGTAATATAATGTCATAATAAACCTGCCTGAAAGTATGCCATACTTTTTTTAATAGACCAAACCCCAAAAGTATGCCGTGGTTTTTTTTATTAAATATGACTTTATTTAATACCGTTTAATGTAATTTCGAGAATTTCTCGACCCATCAGGACGTGTCCGGACAAAAAGGACAATAACATTATATAAGTTAAAAAGAGAACATTTAAAGTTTAATTTTTATATATTAAGCCATATTAGCCGCATTGCGCATTCTGCTATAGCACCTCTAATATCCCCGAACGAGTTCCATCTTTCTCCTTTGGTCTGTTTCTTCTCTGTGGATGGATTTGCTTTGCCTTGTCGACTGCTGCTAACGGCCAGAAACGCATCCCGTGTGTATTTTCGATGCCCATGGGAATGCCTGTAAGCAAATAAAAAAATATGAGAAAAATATATGAAGGTTTAGCCCACTCACCAGCCCGATCTTGCAGATGTCTGCTCACGCAGTCTTGGATTTTTGCATATATTCTATAATCATTATTTCCCTCACCCATACATATATTCTATAAGCCTTATTTTCCTCACACCTTATTAAGGAATTTACAACTTTATATTACTGGATTTCGTTTTTCTGATTTTTGGAAATTCTTTTGGTTTTACAGCAGCCAGGCCCGAAGCGAATATTTACTGAACCGCAAAATGTACACCAACCTTCTGCCCTCGTCCCGTACTACCCACTGCAATTGTTTGCTTTTTGCCAGCGCCCCACATGGCAACAATTTCATATTTTTCATTTTCATTAAAAAAAATTTGAGCACAACAAAAAACTCCCGCGACTTTATAATTTAATTTAAAAAGCGCAGAGCAGCAGAGAGTCCAAAAGAGAAGAGCCGTGCCAGGGCGGAACACAAAAAATAATTATTAAAATAAATTAAATGTCTGCCGCTGCCCTCATAAACTTCACCGAGTGGGCAATTAAAGGAGCCGCGGAGTGAACCGAGTGCTGGAACGCGGTTAGTTCTTTTTCCCCCTCTGCTCCGAAAGTTGAAGAGTTAAGCGGGAAAAAAGAGAGAAATAGTATGTAACACAAAAAATAGAGTCCAAATTGCTGGCATGGCATTTTGACTCGAATTTCACACAACGGCATGGTAAATGGCAAAAAATTGGCATGTGAAACGATTGCAGGAGAGTCCTGCCCCAACAGCTGCACTCTCTGCCACACTACTCCCATTCCCACTCCCACTCTCTCTCTCTCTCTGTCTCTACCACGCCCCCACAAAAGGAGCAGTTAATAAAGCCCGCAGACCATGTGCTGCATGTCCAACAAAAAGAAATATAACGAAGACACATAAGAGGCAACAAAAGGAACCATTTTCTAGGGGCAAACCGAGCGAAACCGCTAAAAGAAAAGCGCTGACCAAAAATAAAATGATTGAAAATGAGTAGGGGGGAACATAAAACCATGCGAATTAAAAAATAATTGAAGTACAAATTTGATTTAAAAATTGAACAGTGAAAAATTAGCAATCTGTTGGGTTTTGTTTCCAGGAATTTTAAAAGATTTCTAAACCCTTGAAACTGAACTTGAAATACTAAACAGCTTGTGAACCGACAGCTGTTATGCTTAAAGGGCATTTTAAAAGTGCTTTTGGGCTGCAGTTCTCGCTCGCCGCATTCGGAGGATATTATATTTAACGCCCATGGAATATTTAAAAATGTTCAATATTTTATTGGGGCTGACAAATTTGTTATTATTTTATTAATATATATTTGATAATGTGAATATGCCCTGTAATCAAATATGCCCGCAGCCATTCGTCAATTTTATTGTGGCTAATGGTGTAGGTATATTTTTTTCAGAATGGTGACATTGATCGGTTTAATAATGGGGAAACCTCAATAAGTTTTTCCACATTAATATTTGACATGAATATTAAATGGTGGCAGGATGGCAATGCAAATTGCTTTAGCACGTTGAAACCAGCTTTGGCCTGGCTTCCTTTAAAAGCGAAATCCTCCCACCCAACCAGCTATATTTTTTGTGTTTTCCCTTTAGCGTACTGCCAGGAATTCATACCGCCTTTGTATCTGAAGCCTTTGCTCCTCCTTGCTTTGATATCCTATGCTTTTTGTTCATCCCAGTTTCGTATGCAGTGCGTTTCATATTTTTTTTCTTTTTTCTTCCATCTCTCCTCCATTTTCCGTTGCTTTCTTTGCCACTGAACACTTTTTGTGTGTCTGGAGCCATTCTGGCGTCATAATTATGTCTACCAGCTACCAAAACCAAGGCAATCATTGGCTAATCATATAATGAATAATTTATTTAATATGAAAACGATATGTATGACTGGTATCCCTGATCCTTGGTTCTTGCTAAAGACTCTGTCAAAGCGAAGACATTTCTCCAAGCATAGGGGGCACATAACGAAAAATAAGTAGAGCAAACATAAGCCGCAGATTTAAACTTCGCGCCTACTTTCTATTTGGAATACTTCCGTTTCCGCTTAGCACGGACTTGAACCACGCAAAACTTTACAACTGGCGGCAACTAGAGAAAACTTTGTACACTGCAGTGCACTGGCGCCCCCAGCCGGATATATGCGAAAGTAGCAAATTTTACATTCTACATTGCTGAAACAATTCCTGTAAAAATGCATGTAGCAGAATTTATTAACTAATTTATGTTCGACTCTTTTTGGTTTAAAATTGTTTAAAAATTATTGGAATAAAATTAAGCATTTAAAATTGGCCAATTCTTTAGAAAATATATTAGTTTATGTAGTAAAATTATTTGTTGTATTAAAAGCTTATTCAGGGTGTTATTACGCGGGCAGCGATGGCATCGTTAGCGAGTCGAAAAGCAACTTTAATGGTGAGTACTCTATAGTATTCTCTTTCTATTTCACTATCTGGAAATCTGGAGAATCTTACTGTTTATAAGATAGACCCCATGACAGATTTCGACTCAGTCTTATCTGAATTTTCACATGGGATTCGTGCTGATATTGTTAACATCGCTGCTCAGTGGAGTGCTGGGATACTTGCGATGCAAATACAACTACTGGCAGATAAATGGGGTGAAACAACTGCGGGCCCACTTCCTCTTCGGACACTTGTTCAAGATGAAGTCGGTGCACCTGTCGGAGCTCCTGCAGGAGACCTACGATGCCTTTAAGGGTGGCGCTTTGCTGGCAGGCACCTACATATATCTACGACCCATAGCCGTCATCTTGGACTTGGATCTAGCAAAAAGGATACTGATCGAGGACTTTGACAAGTTTGTGGACCGCCGAAACTTTCACAAGGAACCCTTGACGAACAACCTCTTCAATGCTCGGGGCGAGGAATGGTCTAAGCTGAGCAAAAAGCTGGCGCCAATATTCGGGAACGGAAATTTAAAATGTATGTTCGAAACAATCACAAAGGCTTCCCGCCAGCTAGAGGAGAGCTTTCGGGAGTTGATTGGCCCGCAGGGAAGTGTTCTCGATGTGCACGCGCTGTTGGATCGCTTCAGCATGGATGCCTCTGCCAGCTGTGCCTTTGGCGTTGATATCAACAATCTCAAGGATCCGCAGGTGGAATTGCGAGTGCATGGACGTCAGATCTTTCGCCACAGCGATGGCAATATTCGCTGGCGCATTTTCAAATTAAATTTTTGCAGCCTCTGGGCAAAACTAAAGCTGCCCATTCGGTTCTTTGCCAAAAACGTCACGGATTACTTTACACGCATCGTCAGGGAGCGGCTGGAATCACGGGAACTTGAGCATGTCAGGAGCAACGACTACATGGAGCTATTAATGGAGCGATCGAAAGACCTGACTCTGGGAGAGCTAACAGCGCAGGCCTTTGACTTCTTTGTGTCTGGCTATGAGACCAGCTCGAGCAGCCTGTCTTGTGCGCTCTTCGAGCTTGCCAAAAATCCATCGGTGCAGCAGAAGCTGAGACACGAGATTACAGTGGCTCTACGCAAACACGGACAGCTGACGTATGAGGCCATGCTGGAGATGCGCTACTTGGACCAGACGATCACGGGTAGGTTTCGGTTGTATTAAATCACAGATAAGATGAAGATAGCACGGAGATGGATCCATTATCTTATCTTGTCTGATAACAAATGAGAGGGCGAGTGTTTAATGATACATTTATTCTTTCTCTGTCGCTGAAACTCTACGCAAATACCCCGCCTTGGCCTCCCTCACACGCATCACCGCCGCGGACTATACGGTTCTTCCCACCGCCCCTGGTGACATTCCATTGGTGCTGGACAAGTGCACCATTGTGCATATACCTGTCCGTGCCATACACTACGATGCGGAGATCTATCCCCAACCAAAGATATTCCGACCGGAACGCTTTGATGCCGCCGCATTCCATCAGCGCCATTGCATGGCATTTCTTGGCTTTGGCGATGGGCCACGCCATTGCATTGGTCGGCATTTCGGCCGCATGCAGATTAAAATAGGCCTCGTCACGTTGCTAGCCAAATATCAGTTTAGTGCGGTGCCCGGCTGCCCCGACGAGCTGCCGATAAGCAAAGGGAATACGATACTCAGACCCAGCCAAGGAGGGGTTCCACTGAAATTGAATCGAGTGTCAGTGTCGGAATAAACAATAGCACCTGCACAACATTCGATTGCATTGCGAGGGGAATCTCAGCTTGAGAAAAAAAAACAAGGGTTTAATCAGAAAATTGTCGCGACAAATCTAAACAAGAGTTGCGTTGAATAAACAAACTGGCAGGCCAGCAAGCGAATTTGGAATGGGGTTTCATTAGGGTCTGGTCTGGTCTGGGGTGGAGCATCTGATGACATCTGGTGTCGTCTGTTGGGGGGCGCCTGTTGGCGTCTGATGGCACCTGTCAGCAGAAAATTGAATTTAATTCCCTCGTTTGGCGGTCGATTGAAAGCCAAACCGAAATTTATAGTTGCCGCAAAGCTGCTGCCTACGAGCCGCCGCCGCTGCCGCCGCAGCTTCATCTTCCCCGCCCTGCCCGCTGCCGCTGTAGGCAACGCCTCAGCTATCACAGAAGCCAGAATCCCGACACCATGAGGCATTAAATCAACACAAATGACTCACACACACACTCACAGAGCACAGAGCACAGAGCATGCAGTGATAAACATAGATACGGAGACACACACACACACACACACAGATGCAAAAGAGGGGATGGGGTGGGTGGCTGAAAGGAAGGTGAAAGGAAGGTAGACTTGGGCAGCCATGTGAGCTGACCAGAAACCATTGCGGTTCATTTTGATGCACTGCTCCGTTAGGCCAACACTCTCTCTCCCTCTCTCACTCTCTCACCAGCATCCCACATGTCCTTCTGCTCAACGGTGGCACACACACACACACGTACACACACCGTTGAAGTTTAAGGGGATGTGTGGGGGGATGTGCCTGTGCTCGCATAAATCCAAACATTTACAATATTTTGCTAATTAGCAAAATATGTGTGAATAATGCATATGACAAAGAGAGTGGGCGGCAGAGGCAGCGACGCACAAGTGGAGCAGTGGGGGAGTACTTAGGTTGATGCATCCTGTAGGTGTCATATTAAATTTATGATTCGTAGACCTGCCCACAGATATGGAGAGGCAGCGGCCAACATAGAGAAACAGAGCGACAGACGATGTAGAGACAGAGGTGCAGATAGAGAGGGGCAGAGACACAGAGAGGCACTGAGATACAGAGGGACACTGAGCTAAATAGGTGCAGTATCAGAGAGACCCAAAACTACAGAGGTGCAGAGATATAGAGAGATACTGAGCTACAGAAGGGCAGAGAGAGGCACTGTGTGATACAGCAGATACCCAGAGACAGTGACAAGTGGCAGGAAGGCAGAACAATCTCAACGATTTGGCCAATGATTAGTTCTGGGGGGCCAGCAAAAGTTTCAACTATCGGCAGACTGGGAATGGGTTCCATTATTAATCAATGGATGAGTGAAGCGGAAGCCTGCTGACAGATTAATATATCACAAACATCGACATCAGAACTTTAGAGGTGAATGTTCTGATTTGAATTCAAATGAAGTTAGGATCGATTAGGCTTTAAAATATCGGCAAATAAATTCAGTAAATTGACTTTAATTGTGAAAAATTATCATTTGGTTTGTCTTTAATATTAAAAGATATTTATGTGATTTTTCGCTTACGATTATGTTTGCTTAAAGAAGACAAAATTTGTGGCAAAAATTCTAATAGGGATTCACTGGCATCTTTGATACAAATAAATTGTTATAAACTACTCACCCCAAAGGCGCAACAAGATCCAAGGACACACTTTTAAAAACCAATCTAAATAATATTTGATCACAAATCGATCTACTCAAAACGTGGAAACTTTCTTGCAAGACTTTTATGCGGAAATCCCCTTCTATGCCACTTGGATCTGTTTAGAAATAAAATGGAAAACCCGAATAAAAGTCTCACAAAAATGAAATGCATTCCTTTTTTTGTTAGCTGTTTTGCTTTACAACACTTTATATATCACCAACACCAAAAAAGGCCCAAGGACACTACGACAAAAGGACATCACTAAAAGTCAACATTCAGAGAACAGAAAAAAAAATTCCAAACTTGAACTGAACACTTAAGGACGCGAAACATAAATGATCGATGGAGCTGCCAATATATCAGTCGAAAAGTTTGATCGAAGTTTGATTTACGGGGTTCCAGTGGGAGAGTGCAAGCTTTGAAGAGAGAACGAGAGAGAAGAGCGAAAGAGAGACTAAATGGCTAGAAAAATCTGACAGAAAGCTGAACTCGATCGCGAGCTTTATTTGCCTTTGATGATTCGATGATAACGGAGAACAAATTTAAAATGGGAGAGAAAATTACAAAAAAAGAAAAGCTTTAGACGTATCTTTCATTCGGATAGAGAATTTTATTATGCTGCTATTCTTTCATTTAGCTCGCTCTTTTCTTCAGCTTTCAATTTAATGAGAGAAATTATTATGAAGCATTAATTTGTTTTGTAATTTTTCTTAGGGCTCGCATTAGTTGAGAATCAGAAAACTGGAAATTACTCTTCTTCCATGGCTATTTGTATGTTTTATTCTATGCTATTTCTATTCAATTCTTTCACCTCTTTGTGCATAGCATTTAGTAGATCGCCTCATTGTGTTAATATCTCCATTTAATGGTGTTACAACTAGCATCGATTTCCCCATAATCATATACTTTTATAGACTTTTAATTGGCAATTTCCTCGGTTGGCTGGCAGCACAACCTTGAGGTTTTTGCGTCAATAACTCATCCTAACTTTTGTCTATTAAACGGGGAGTCGTAAAAGCGAGAATTTAGTCATAATTTATGGCAGTTAAGCAGCTAGCAAACAGGAATCCTGCAGATAGTCCTGGGTTCCCCTGATTCCTTTGCATGTTCAGCGATAATAAGCAGGCGGGTCGGTGGGGCGGCAGCGAAAGGCTCTGGAGTTTTTCCTTTTTTTGCTTGGTTTGAGTTTGGGGCACTGCACCTGTCGTCGTCGCATCCAACACAAAACGCGGAAGCGACTGAAAAGCAATTATCAGGTGTCAAAATTTATATTAGAGCAAAGCAGTGGGGGGTGGGGGCGGTGCGCTGCCCACACCCCAAACAAGGCTCCAAAAGGGAAGCAAAAAAGTTTCTTGAAACTTGAAAATCAACTTGCCAGGTCCTGCAGCTCCCTGGCAGTTTGCTGGCCATCCTGTTCTAGTACTAACCCTTTCGAGGGGGGGCCTTCTGAATGATTTGTGGCCCGAGTGCATTGGCACGCAATGTGCACTGTGGGCTCCCTTGGGAAAGATACTGGGGAGCAAACTCCCAGGACGCGGATATCCTTTTCAACATTTTTCGCTTTATAAAGCAATAATCGTTTTTTTTTTTGTCTGTAGCATAAAATCTGCTATGGCTGTTAGGCTGTTGGGCTGCTACTACTACTATTATTATTTATTGGCCGTGTGCGTGTGCTGTGTGAAAATGATAGGCTGACGATGATGGCAAGTGATGGGTAGGGGCCTGGCGGTCGGGGAGGGGGTTGATTAGCTACCCAAAATGGTAACTGATATACGGGAGCAATTAAGAGGGGGACTCTACGGCTGAGGACAGAGTTTTTGGTGCCTGCCACACTCTGGCACGGTTATTGAAAACCAACTTTGTGTGTGTGTGCCCCTGTGGGGGGCTGCGGGTGCCACTGCACTCTGTCGCATTGTGTTCATATCTCAAAAGAAAACAATTTCGCTGGCAGTGAAATTTAATTAATTTTTAAATCAAGTGGGGTGCCCCTTGACGCCTTCAGATTATGTTTTATAATTCACAGAAATTAAAAGGAAACTCTCCGAAGCTCAGCCATGAAATAATCTTACTTAACGGCTCTCCTGTTGATCTCAAGCAAAGAACTACGTACATTTAATAGTCTTAAATGCTTCCTTTTACATCAAAAATACACGAATACAATATAACAGACCCCCCATGGCCACCTCAAACACACACATACACACACATACAATCCAATGCCATGACCAATGACAATCAATTTTTACTTAACACGCACTCGCCACACACTAAGCCCCGCACTCGCACTCGCACTCGTACTCGTACTATGCCCATTCCAGTCGAGTCAACCCTTTTGGTACGTCACACAGAGGAATTTCATTCATAAATGCGAGCTTGTTTTGCCACGCACCCAAAAGTAGGCACTGAGAGAATTTCCCTTGCGTTCAATGCCGTTCAATCCGGAGCACGAGAGAGCGCTGCCATCGTGGTGGATTTGCTACAGCAAACCACCCATTGGGCAGCACACAGACACTCAGACACTCGCACCATGCACACACACACACAAGCGAAAACAAAGTTAGAAACAAACGAAAAAAAAAAGAAGAGGAAAGGAAAAACGAATGGAAAAGCGCCCGCCAACAAAAAAAGCAAAAATAAAATGTAGCCCAGCCAACAACAAAAATCACAGTTGTCTGATTCGTTCGCGACGCAGCTGCACACAGAGCGAAGCGCCTCCACCCACAACCCACACACACCAGTGGGAACACCCACACCACAAACGACAACGACGACGATTCGCCCAACATCATCTTCGGCTCCATGGGGTTCCCGCTGTCACTTCGTGGCTCGTTCGCCATCGTCGTACCCTTCAGTCTGTCGACAGCGTTCGTGGCGTGCGGTTCGTTCTGTCCTTCTGCCATACTTACATAGCCTTTTCCACAGTCACGGATTCCGGAATTTCTCGAGTGTTGTTTACCGCCAAGTGTTGCATTTCGTGTGGCCTGCACCTGCATGAAGAATGAATGTTTATAGTGAATAAATGAATAGTGTGCAAAGCAATTCTATATCAAAGTTAATGGTTGTTATTCTCAGTATATTATGGAATAACATTTATTGAAAGTTTTTAAAACTAAAAGAAAGCTAAAGACTCCTCCAATACTTGCAACAGAATCAACACAAAACCCATCCAAGATTGTTTGCTTGTTAGTTCTGTGTAAAAGTAATTCCAGTATTTATGGCATTTTCTAAATTTAAAATAGAGTAGCAAGCTCAAAGGTAGATTATTCCTATAGATCGTATATCAAAGCGGAATACAATGATTTATTCAAGCTAATTTTTACTACAAATCCCAACCAACCCTTTCCATTAATACTCAAAGACACAAGGAGATCACTCTGTATTTTTTTGTTGAACTAAACTATTCAAAAAATAACCAAAAAACGTATGAAATTCATGATAAAAATCCCCACCAAAAACCCTAAAAAAAACAGACACAAAAATGCTAGGAAAATGCCCCCCAAAGCAGCTCTCAAATTATTCTCTCAGTCAGTTTTGATTTCGAACTGTGTGCAGAGACATTAGTAGATAATTAGCTGGAAATTGCAAGAATGGTATTGCTGTTATAGCCCCCACTAAAATCAGTATATGTAGCACATTCGCGTGTTCGCGCTTCTTGGCAATTTAGCCGCAACTTTGGCGACATTTGCCGTCAGCTTCAGCTGCTGCGTGTTTACTGTAATTATATTTAAAATACAAGAACCAAAGCCGAGTTATTTATGAAAACGAAACGAACAGCAGGGGCAGCAATGCTACCCTCAGACAAGGGTCGTCTTCCCCTGGTGCAGCACCCGCTGCCGCCCTCTGTCACCCCCTGCCACTCTTCCTCTTGTTGGTTTCCCAGAGTCACCCTCTTAGCGGTCGGTCAATGGTCGTCACAGGATTTCCTTTTGGAGCGCTGCAATGCGTGTATTTCTGGCAAAATTTGCCTATAAATGTGTCTGGCCCACTGTCCACTGTGGCTTTGTCCTGCTGTTTATGGCCCACACCCCAGCCATAACAGTGTCTGTGTGTGGCTGAGTGTGTGTGTTGCTGAGAGTGTTGCCTGATTTTAGGCGCGCCAACAATTGCATACGAGTCCATTCCATTTATGTTTCACGACTGCCTGGTGGCAGCTGCCTGCCGCGTGGCCTGGCGGTAATTTAAAGTTCATTGATATCCATAAAATGCAGTGTAAACACACACTCACACACAGACAGACAGAACAGAACAGAACGGACAGACACACACACACACACAGACAGACAGACGGACGGACATTTTGCATGGAAATTCTATTTTCTGTCTGTTTCAAATTTGTTGCAAATATGTTGCATACTTTTCAGGGAGTTCTGGCATAATAGATTCCATTCCTGGATATTTTGGTGGCAGGGGGGGTGGAGGCCCTTTGGGGGTGGCATTCAGCCCATGTTTCTCTGGCCTGGCCCCCATGTCATTTCTCTGTCATTTGCATTTTACATAGAAAATTTGATCTATTTTTGCTGTTATCGTGTTGATTGTGATTGGAGTTTGCACTAAAGAGAATTGTGCGTTGGTGTGGGGGGTGGTGTGGTGTGGTGTGGTTTGGGCTGGTGTTATGGCAGGTGATAATGCTGAAACGAAAACATTTTGGTTACAATTTGTACCCAAAAAGGTACATGGGGAAAACATGGCTGCACTCTGGGGGCTTTGGAGTTGGAATCTGTGCATTCTGCAGTCATGAATTTTAAAGCATTTGATTCCAACGCCTAGAAACACTCCACCTGCAGTCAAAGTCAAGTTCTCCTCATCATATTGCATATCAATTGCAAATTACCTTAGCTCGGTTTGCCTCCCCCCGGGGCAACACACAAAATAATTCCATGGAAGGGCTGGAAGAGAGTAAGCTGCCGTATGGCTTTCGAGCACCCCCCCGCCTCATCAGTTTGACATAATGGCCGACATGTGAAGGCCTGCTGCAGGCCCTGCTGCTACCCTACCTCACTTTGTTACCTCGGGGCCATTGTTGTTGCTGTTGTTAATAACAAGCGATAATAATCAACTTCCGTGCTGGAGGCGCTCGTAGGAGGAGTGCAAAAAGTCTGAGCAAAACTTTGCATACTTCAAGCTGCTGCTGCTGCTGCTGCTGCCGCCCGCCAAGCAGTGGAAAATCTACTCTTTGATTTATGCTAATTTTATGCAGTGGCCCCCTGCATAAACGGCTTCACCTCAAAAGCAAAGCCTCAACTCAACTCGACTCGATTAAAAAATGTGCAAATGTGGCAGGGGGAAAAATAATTTTTGAAAAATGTCGAAGTGCCATCAGCGATAAGAGGCGAAAATATATCACGTGTTAATTAATGTTTGCGCTGAAAATTGAAAGTGCAATTTCTGTTTTCCTCAGTGATTTGTGCAGCATCAGGCACACTTAGAGGCAGGGGCACAAACGCTATATATTTTGCACATAATTTAACAGCTGATTTTATACTCGTACAAAATGTGGAATGGAGTAGAGAGAAGCACAGAAGGAGACGGAGGAACTTTGCATGTCCGAAACCATAAAAATAATATACGACTTTTGGGAGCAGGCCCCCCGAAAAAATGTGGCCACGAGCAGCCGGGCAGTGCTCTTATTGTGTCATAAATATTTTGTACTTTGTGTGTTTGGGACAAAAGGAAAAGCAGAGAGTAGAAACAGGAGCAGGAACAGGAACAGAAACCCTAATCAAAGGCTAGTTGGTAAAATCATAATTGTAGCTTCTTTTCAGCTTCAATTAAAGAACAATTCTCCGGGCGAACTCCGCTCCAATTAGTTATGCAAACAGCGGCCTCCTAACGCCATCGATACACTCATTTTCTGCACTTTTGTATGGCTTCGAGGGCTAACAAATAAGATTTGTGGCAAGGCTGTGCCGGTCTATGGCTATCACCTGTCTGTCTCCTGACATGGCCCGCATGCTCTAAATTATTAATAATATTGCCATGCCCATTTGCCAGACATTTTTAGTGCCTATCGTATGGCCTTTCCCCTCATTCCCTTAGCCATTTGCAGTGCAGGTTCTGTTCTGAGGCCTGTCCTGTCCATTGTCTGTGTTGCCAGTGTCTTTTGTAGTCTTTTTTTCAGGGCATGCCATGTGAATGTCTGCCAAAGGACACAGCACACGGCACACGGCATATGTGCCGGCAATTCAGCTTTCAATTGCGCTAAATTATGTAAAAATCAATAAGAAAGAACACAGAAAGTCCGCGGGTAGGGGGTTGAAAGGAAAAAAAAAAGAATTTTAATGAAACGTCATTTTAAAATTGTTCCTGTCAGTTTGTGGGCGCCAGAAAGTAGTCTTTTCCTACCATTTTGTGTTACCTCTGAGGAGAGACTTTGCCTTCTATTTCATTATTTCTGGCTTTGGCTTTGCCTGCATTTCGTTATTTCTGAAAGGTTTTTCCTACCATTTCTTTCCTTCTGCGATTGTGACAATCGTTTGCATGTTGTGGCTCATGGTCGAATGGAAAGTTAATAAGGGTTTTGTCTAAGGGCAAAGGTTTTTTTGGTAGGAATATTGTAGAGCTTGGAGTGCTGGAGTTTTGTGAGAGACAGACACGGATTCTTAGCAATTAAATTGCTTTTATTTCAGGCATAGGTGATCAATGCCTTTGCGTTGCTTTTGCTGGTCAATTTGGATTTTATTTAGTACATATTTTAGCTGTTAACTTTAGTAGTCGCAGTGCAGCAGAGAGCGCTGCGGAATGTTTCCCTTAACACTTGTCACATCCACGAGACGCCTAAAAGCAGGCAATAGAAACGAAGGCGAAGTGAACTTAACTTTGACATAAAGCGCAACTATTTCGGACTCATCGGAGACGAGACAAGCGGCCCTGCTGCCACACGAACGTTGCACGATTTTATGCTTTATTTACGAGCGAGCCAGCAGCACACATACGAGCAGAGCGGCAGAGCGGCAGGCAGGCAGGCAGGCAGCGAAACATTTCATTTCCGTTCCATAAACAGTTTTGGCGGCCCTCTGGCCAGCCATGCTTAAATGCCATGAAAATGGACTGCAAATGAAATGAGCAGAGAGACAGAGTGGCAGAGAGACAGAGAGAGAGAGTCGAGCACGAAGTGGGAGTGGGAGTCGGAGTCGGAGTACGTACTGGCGGAGGAGGACATGCAACACCTTTGGCAAAAAGATAGTTGCAGGTTCGTACCTAATTTCTGGCAGCTGTTCGCCAGCACAATTTACACAGCTTAAACACGCCAGCAAAATTCGAAATAAACGGCCAAAAGATATATGTAGCAAATATATATACGTTTGAACCTGACTCAACACATCCGGGGGGCGGGAAAGAGCAAGGGAAGGAAGGGAAGCGAGAGCGAGGGGCCCACACTTTAAACTTGAAACTTTTTAATTTGGCGAATTTGGCCCCCCACACCCTCTGGCATCATGATTATTGTTTACCATTGTTTCGCAGCAGTTTTGATTCTGTTTTCAAGTACTTTTTGTTGAACTTTCCCACAAAAGTTGATGCCATTAGGGAGGGGAGGAGCGACGGGCGATGGGCGCTAATGACTGCCAATTATGCGGCGCGGTCGTTGCCCACTCAGTCCTGATCCTTTCACTGTGTATTGGAGGGATTTTTCCTAGTACTCGTAGGTGTGAGGGATTTTCCCTGGCACTCGTAGGTGCGATAGGATTTTACTCGACTTACACAGTGATTTGGTTGCCCATTTATTCTGTGATGTTTGCACATTAATATTGGATCGTTTTATAACAGTTTACTGCTCTAATAACTATAACAAGTAAATGGTTTCGTGCGACTAATCGCGGACTCAATCCAAAGCAAAAGTGAACAAGAACTTGCACACAACAAAAAAAAAACATAAAATATGAATACAAAATTATCCACACAATGCCAGCGTCCAGCGAAGGCTAATGGCTGGGCTAATGCCATCAAAGTTGTGCTCGTTGTCATTCTAATGTGCCAGCCCAGTCAGCTGCAGCGAGTGGAGGTGCCACCGGAAGCTATTGGTAAGTTTCACCGATTTTTCCAACAATATTAAATGTATTCTAAAGGTAACAAACAGCTAAGCCGAATAGATATTCTATTCGTGCACTCATATTGTGCCAATTCGGCTTCTGTTTTATTATAGTTTCATCCCCTTATAAGCCCCAAGCTCCAATCTCCAATCTCCATTTCTTCCATTATATTCCAATTATGTGGCAATCAAGTCATAAACCAAACACACACACACACGCACTGACACACACACATTTGTAATACTAATTCTCACATTTCTCGATTACAGTTGATCCCAAATTTAGTTCACCGATTATGAATATGACAGCGCCCGTGGGACGTGATGCCTTTCTCACATGCGTCGTCCAGGATTTGGGACCATACAAGGTACGCAGGATATATATGTATTATCCCTATCCCTATCCCATATATACCTATACCCCCATTCCTATCTCTCCACGAACCAAAATCTGTTCATAACCGAATGACAAACAAGCAAACTTGGGGCAGATGGTCCGTTCCGGCTTGCAGTTCCTCTGCCAACTCGGACTCAATTACACACTCAATAAGCAGCCACAAAACCATCCACCCCACCCACTGGTCGCATTAATATTCATTAACATTTTACCATTTGCCAGACTCGAGTCGACTCGACTTGGTATCAGATCCCAGTCGTCCCCCTGGTCGGGGTAATCTCAAAGACCAAATCTCGACACCCGCAATGGAAGAGGAAGTGGAAATGAAAGTGAAAATAAAAACATAAATAGGGATATAGCCGGAAGGGAGCGCTGGGGTGGTGAGGGGGGGCTCTTCGTATGACAAAAGCGAAAATCACATAAAAAGTAATTGAAATATGAATGGGGACGTGTTAAGCGAGTGCCGCAGTAGCAGCAGCAGCAGGAGGAGTAGGAGTAGGAGTAAGAGTGTCCTTTATCACTGTCTGTATTTGTATTTTGCATTTGTATTTGTTTAGTCTTCCACCCCCCAAAAATAAAGGTTACAGACGTACGTACATCTCCATTGAAGTGCAGAAAGCATTATACGGGGGGCGCATGTGGCTTGGGGGCGACTCTGACTGTGAATATCCAACCCTCCAGTCAGTGGCATGCACAATTAAGCGATGTTACCGCTCAAAAGATAATTGAGCAGGCACTTGGGTGTAATTACTTATTTTATGCTGACATCGTGTGTATTGGGATTGACTTGGCTCTCTGTGTGCCTGTTCCAACCCCCACAGCCCACCAGCCACCAACCACCAGTCACAAAAACCTAAACTTAAATTCAATTTAATCGAAAATAATTCATTAGCCGTCAATACGACAAATGCTGTAAATTAGCCCCACATTTAATTTATTTATGTATATAAATTTTCCTATCCTATTATGTGACATCAGAAAATAGCTTGGAATAGCTTCACGTGTTGACATGTCAAACAGGGCAAAGTGGGAATTGGGGTTCGGTTTAGTTGCCTCATTTACACATGCAACTCGTCTGGCTCTGGCTCTTGCTCTGGCTCTGCCCCTCCTTACCCTTTGCTTAGTTGTATACAATATACAAAATATTTTCAGCTTTTCAGCTTTTTAGCTTACAAGCTGCGTGCTTTATCGCATAATAATTTACCCGGGTAATTGTACAATTACGTTGGCAAAGGGTAGGGTTAGGGTACATTTCTTGAATAGTTCTGGGAATAGAGTATTATTATTTTTTTGTAGGTTTTGTCCTATATATAATTGAACGAACGGCTTTGCATGCGCGAGACTTTGGGTACAATTTAAGCATTGTGGTTCATGTGGATTCTGATTCTGTTGGCATGCCAGATAAGTGCTATCTGATGGATGTTGCAGGAATGTCGCTTATAGCTAGTTGGCTTCCTTAATAAATATCAATTATGTGACATTATTTGCTGCAGATTAGGCTAAAGCCATTTACAACTCAGTAGGGTGTGCCCTGGCCTGCTTTTATGATGCATTAATAATGGCAAAGATGCATAATATAATCGATATTTATTTAGCATATTCGTATGCAACATAAATGTGTGACAAACAAATTTGTTTATATTACAGGCAGATCTTTAGATACAAAAGTGACAAAGAAGTGTAGCTGAAAATTCCATATTTTATAAGAGATATTGTCCGTTTTCATCGCTTGAATATTTTTGTATCTATAAGAAATAAACGAAACCAAAAATCTGTCCAAGTGGAAAGTAAAATATTATCCTCTATATATTTTATTATTCATAGTTTGAATTCCCCTCTCCATTAATCTCATTAAATCATTAAACAATTTTGTACCTACAGGTGGCGTGGCTGCGCGTAGACACCCAGACAATTCTGACCATACAAAATCATGTAATAACCAAAAACCAACGCATTGGCATTGCCAACTCGGAGCACAAGACCTGGACAATGCGCATCAGAGACATCAAAGAGTCGGACAAAGGATGGTAAGTCCAGGCCATAGGCGAAAAGAATGCCTGTGGCTCCAGTAATGATACGACTACCGACTGCAGTATTCAAACCATTCAACCAATACCCCCCCCCAGGTACATGTGCCAAATCAACACGGATCCAATGAAAAGCCAGATGGGCTACCTCGATGTTGTGGGTAAGTCTATGTGGCAGCATTTCTCAGCTATTTTTTTAAACATTTGGTTAGTCAAACAATCATACGCCCCGTTGCCAGGGACTGCTGGCTGTGCCTCCATTGTTCGAACTGTATTCAGCAACTAAAATATTAAAAAAAAAAAAAAGCAAAAACAAAAAAAACATTCTGCATCCAGGAACAACAACAAAAAATTGGCAAACAAAACGTTTTCGCTGGACGCAGCATCGTGAGGGGCTGGGGCTGGGCAACGGCATGGCCAACACCCAAATGGGTGGCGACCTCCGCTGCCAGCAGGATTCAAAAGCCGAAACGTGTACTCGCGCACAGGACCAAACGCTAGCCTAGCCCCTGGCGGCACGGAGGCTCTCAATTGTGACTGCTTAAACATGTTTAACCGTCCACTGAACCGCAGAAATTGTTGATTTTGAATTAAAACGGCGCGGCGGAGGCAGCATAAGAAATGGTCTCTCGACTTTCTCTCTCTCTCTCGCCACGAGGAAGTGGTTAAGCGGTGCGGGGGGCTGGGTGGCACACTTTTTGGGGGTTTGGTTGTCCATTTGTGGTTCATTTTCGTGCCCTGCCCACGTGGCCACTCGACTGCTGTGCCACGGCCTCAACTCAACTGCCTAAATACCTTTCGCTGGCAAAAATCTAAATCAACGCGCTAAATATTTTAGCCACCATTGCAGTCGGCGTAGCATTCACTGGCAAACACGAAAAACTATAATCAACTCTGTGTATTTGCACTGGATAATCAGTGGGCCATGGCACAGTGGCTTAATGTTCATTGGGAAAGTGATGGCAGATTTGGGAGTACTTGGAAAGATACATATAAAAAGATTATGTTGCAGAGCTATTGTTATTCATAGAATAGAAATAATCTCTGCTTTAACTCGTCTCATCTATGGGTAATTTCCCGCATTCAAAAACATTACAATTCTTCTCTTAAAAAGTGTTGTTTCTCTGCTGAATCATTTCAACAATATCTGCAGCACATTTCAATCGCTTTTTCAAACGCTTTTGCAACCACTGTGCTATATTCCGAAAGGGGTACGCGCAGCGCCAAAACAGAGGCAGGAAAAATGGCAACGGGAAACGTTCGAGTTGCGAGCCAGCGGATGGCGCGATGGCGGGATGGAGGGATGGAGGGATGGCGAACGATGGTGCACGGCGGTGTGAATGGTCGTGGACGTTGGTCGTTTCTGATGATTTTCGTGACCAAGTGCAGTTAAATAGTCGACGACAAACCGTAGAGGAAGCGACACCGCCTCTCACCTTTTGCTTTTTTTTCACTCACTCTCTGCCATACAGAAATCCACGCAAACACAGCGGCAGAGGCAGAGGCAGTCGGGCAGGATATACTCGTATGCGATAGTACGATAGAGGGAAGCACAGCACTCATATGGAGTGAAACGCGGAGTTGCCGGCATTCCTCCTGACATTTAAGCTGCTGAGATATTCATATGCAATGTCCTCGTTTCAAATTTTTGCACACAATTTCATTTGGGGGTTTTTGTTTTTCTATTTTAATGAGGAAACACAACTATTGACATGACAACTGAAATTGTTTAGAGCTCGTAACGAGCGGGGAGAGGGACGTGGGTTGTCGATTGTCGATTGGCATATCTTAAACAGTTTCATTTACCTTTTGGTTGTCTTGATTTAACTGCTGCTATTTCTTTCCCCTGGACACCACCCTTTGGCGGCTGCCCCTAACCTTGGCCACTTAATGACCCTCCAGTGGGCAACGCAAGACAGGACAGGACAGACGTTGCGTTCCATCCATGGGCTGACTCACTCTCCGTATTGCCGCGTACTTCCGCGTCCTTGCTGCCCCTCAGACACACTGGCCATACTTTAACAAGCTGTTTGTCAACACCAGCACATTTTTTGGTCATTTACCAACCACATAATTGCGGGATATTATATGCATACAGAGACCCAGAGACCACACAACAGGGGCCAGCCCAGCCCAGCCCATCCCTAGCCATCCCATTCCATTCCATTCCAGCCGTGTGGTGTGACCCTTCACGACCCCACGCTGCCCTGGCATTATTACGTTTTCATGGTTCATAGGTTGTACGCTGTGGGTGTCTGTCTCTCTCTCACACACTCACTGTACCGTCTGTCTCTCTCCCTCTCGCCCTCTCTCCTTGTATGTCCTTACCACAGTGGCCGCGGTAATAATTTGTATTTTCAGGACATGTGAAAAGTTTGTCCTTTAAACAAAGGACACATATATGTACATACTTACACATACACATGGAAATATGCATATGTATGTATATGTACTCCCTCGTTGCGGGAATACGAGTATCTTGCGCTGGGTTGCAGGCGAAAAATGAATCACGATCCACCCACCCAACAGCCAACAGCCAACAGCCAGCGGACAATCCGAGCAAATTATTTAAATGAAAAATTACAAATTTAAATCATTTAAAACGATTCCCAACTCATATTCTGTTTTATTGTTCTCTCTGTCTTTCTCTCTTCCCCATATAAATGTTTGTTGTAAACATTATCAACCACGAACGATGAACCGATGAACCAACGAACCGTCTGGCGACCTCGATTGCAACCCGATTGCAACCCGATTGCTCCTGTGGCTCTACTGCCTGCCGGCCTGCCTGCCTGCTGCTCTTGTTGCTGCTGCAGTACCGCCGGATATCCTAGATTATCCTACAAGCACGGACATGGTCGTTCGCGAGGGCAGTAACGTGACGCTCAAATGCGCTGCTACCGGTTCACCAGAGCCGACAATTACATGGCGACGTGAAAGTGGAGTGCCCATCGAGCTAGCCAGCGGAGAAGAGGGTAAGTTCTGGGGTGGGGTGTACTGGTACTGGTACAGTTACTGCGATTCGAATTTGGGTTTTACGAGTCCAGGCACTGAAAGAAATCAGTTGGCCTTTGCAGGATTCTAATGAGAGGAGTGTAGCAGTGGATTATTCATGGATGAAGGATATGATATGCAACGAAAAATTATACTAGAGGGAATATTAAATGTCTCTCGCTTATTTTTATATTTTTATATATATGTATATTATACATTATATATTTATTACTCTAAAATGATGATAGAACCCTTCCAATGTTCACTCCACTACCAGCTAATATCTGTCTATCCTTTCCCTCACTGTAATATGTATAACTTCCCCTTTCATGGACAATCCCCCCCACTCACTCGAACCCACTGCAAAAACCCGCCTCTGTTGATTTGTAAGTACTTTTGCTGTTGTTGTGGACGTCGTCATCGGCCGTCCGCCTGCATGAGGTCTGCCATCCAACATTGCGGAGTGGAGTACATGCTCCTCTTACACAAAAAAGGCAGCGGCTGCTGGCAGTCGGCAGCCGGCAGTCGACAGCCGGCAGCAGTTATCCAGCAAAAGGCTTTGAAAGCTCTGCCCAAAGCCGAGAAGTGCACCCTACCTGCAGGTGTGGGGAGGAGGCCGAGGCCGAGGCCTTCGTCCCGTACGTGGCCCTAGCACCTGCAGGATGAAAGAGGATTGCAGGATTGTGCAGTGTGGCCAGCATGCGAGCATTTTTGCCCCGTTTTGCTGTTGCCGTTGATGTTGATGATGACGACGATGATGATAACGTCTGACTGACAGAATTAGCAAACCGGTTAAGGACCACGAGAGCGTTCGGGTGGGCTCACATATCCAGGCACAGCCGCGGGATGAGAGGCTGTACGATGGGAACACGGCCAGATTTACTAATTGGCCTTGAAGTGTCTGTTCGTTCGGGTTCGACAGTCGAGAGGAGTTCGAAAATTGCAAAAAACATTTTTTTTAATATCGAAAATTCTTTTTTATCGAAATATGAAATTATTTTGTACTTATGTGCTGATTCACTGAGTCAATTCATTGCAATATTTAATTCAATATTATGTGGAATATGAATTATTAATTATAACAAGATCATCAGAAATTATTCATCGGCAGCAAATACTTTTTTTTATGAATTTGGCGAACACTTTCTAGAATTATTTTTCCATATATCACAAATCCAGATTGCATCTATACAATTCCACTGAAATGTTGATTTTTCTATGGCATTTTTGCATTGCAAAACATTTAAAATAATTTCCCAACCTGCGTAAACAATCTCCCAGTGTTTGTTAATGGCCTCGCATGAGTTATCCTTTAAAGCATCTACCAAAAAAATATATAAAAAAAAAAATAAAGGAAAAGCCACACGAAAGACCAAAAAACGATGTGAAAACAAACTCGACTCGAAATCAAAGGTGGCCTATGAAAAAGCCCATGGAAAAAAACAGAACACCCCAGAACCCGTGAACAAGAAAAAAAATAAAAACACAACCAAATGAGAGGGCAAGAGGATGGGTTTTGGGTGGGCAACAAAAAATCAGCATAAAGAGTACAAAAAGCTAGCGAAATGACCTTTTCGCCGAGGCTTAAATGCCTGCCAACCAATTCGAAACGGACCATCGTCCAAACGAGTCTGCTTCCTGTCCAAAGAGTCGACCCAATCCGCATTCATATAAAAAATACCATGTTGGGTGTAATACTGAGAGGGACAGGGAAAATTATAAACTTTGTCGGGGATGATGGTCTCTTTGAGCGCTAAATGTGTGGAGAGAGACAGCGTCTGTATAAAATATTCCCATAATATAATGGAGGGAATTTCATATGGAGAAAGTGGCTTCTGATGCATTCTACTGTGCGGATGTCTCACAAATTGTCATGGAAAAACTTACCGATATTATTTGCGTATTGTAGCCGTATTTTAAAGACATCTGAAAAAAGATAGAGGTACAAGTTTAATTTTTAAACTGGTATTGATCATTATATAATATTTTCTGTACCAATACTGGATTTATTTGAACCAACAAACGAATATAAAATATATAATTATAAATATAATAAAAAAAAAATAATTATAATATACAATATATAAAATCGAATTTAAAATATTAAATATAATTTCTTAGTAAAAATATTTCTTTCTTTCCCAGAATGGCAGGAAATAGATTTAATCTTTACTATTTCCCTCAGACATTTCTCCATAGTGTATTCCCCATTCGACATTTAATGCTGTCACCTTTTTGTATTGTTTTAAACCTCGTTCTGTTTGGTGAAAGTTTTCTTTTTCATTTGAAATTTGATTATTTGGTTTGTGTGGTGTTGTTGTTGCTGCTGTTTCGGAATGAAATCGTCTGAACAAAAGTAAACTTTTATGCTATGGCGGCGGCTATGGCGATGGCAATGACTATGGGCGGGGGGGGCTTGAACCAAATTACACGTTTTTCGTGGCTATTACGTTTAATGACCGGGCCTGAGCCAGGCACTACAGAAATAAAAATGGAACAACAACCAGAATGGGAGAGGGGTGCTGCTAATAAGCGAGTCGAAGTTCGCGGCAGGTCGAAAAGGCAAATCAATAAACGAAAAATCAGCTTATTATTATGTCTCTCCCCCCCATCCGACATTTTCCGCCTCTCTAACTACCTCTATAGCAATATCAAGCGCAAACTAGCCAGAACTTCCGCTTCCGGTGCGCCCTGTGACCGTGGCAGGGGTTGGGGCTACAGCGGTGTAGGAAATCGTATATCCTATCCATATCATCGTCTGCACTGCTGCCGGCTTCAACCTCCACACCCCTCCACCCCCGGCCACTGTGCAATTTATATAATATAAGCCCTGTTCGACTATCAGAACAGGATGTTTGTCCGGCTACCGACTACCGACTACCAACCCCCCACCCCGCCGAATGTCCCCCTGTAAAACCGGCAAACAGCATCATAAAAAGTCACCAACAGCGGGGCATGAATGGAGCATAAATGGGGCTCTGTTGCATGCAACTTTTGTTGTGCCTCGCTCGTTCGTTGAGTGCAGAGCTTAGGCAAATGTAATAACTATCATTACATGGAGGAGAACAGAAGCAGGAGCAGGAGCAGGGCAGGAGCAGAAGATACATTCGGTAGATACATTTGTAGTTATGATGTAATTACGAGGCGAGTGTAGGTGCTGGGCCATGGCTAAAAGTTGCACATAAACGTTAAAAGAGATATCTCTATCCCAGACATAAAATTTGAGTGCCACATGCAGCTCAAAAATGAAAGGTTCTCTGCTTTAAGCATTGATTTTAGGTGCAGCAAAAAAACCCCACAAATACTCAAGTGCTTGCTCTATCTTTGCAGTTCCCAGCATTGAAGGCACCGATCTGATAATACCCAATGTAAAGCGTCAGCATATGGGCGCCTATCTGTGCATCGCTTCCAATGGAGTGCCACCCTCAGTGAGCAAGAGAATAACACTCATTGTGCACTGTAAGTGCCAGATACAGCCACATAAAAATATAAAATATAATCTGTACATCCCTTTTTGCCAGTCCCACCAATGATCACCGTACAGAACCAGCTCATAGGCGCTGTCGAGGGCAAGGGCGTTACTTTGGAATGCGAATCGGAGGCCTATCCAAAGTCCATTAACTACTGGACACGCGAACGCGGCGAAATAGTTCCACCAGGTAAGCAAAACAAACAAACAAAAAAAAGAGAGACAACCTAAATTAATTGTGGAATAAAGTTTATGACATTCAATTATAAAATAAACTATAAATATGAATTAACATTAAATACGTCATAATCCGCGACAATCACATTAGCACTAAGCCTCTGGCTCTCGCCTTCAAAATCCAATGGGGAAAAATGTAGCCATTTCGCTTTCCCAGCGGATCAAAGCCGACCCCAAAAAAAAAAACTAACTAACTAACTAACGTACGGATGGATGACCGTTGAGTGCAAAACCAGACGCAACAGACAGACAGACACACACAAAAAAGTTGTTAATTAGCTGATTTAGTCACGGAAACTCACAAACACGCGGAGAGAGTGAGAGAGAGACACACACCAGACATGACCACAGTTCTGTGGTTTCCCGACTCTGTCTGGTAAAAGCTTAGAAAAAGCTAGACAAAAAATATATAGTCTGAAAAGTCGAAATAACTCTTTCTGAGTACAGTGCTTTTCGCCGCATTGTTGTCATAAATGGAAATGAAATTAATTTACAATTTGTTTGGCAGTTTTTAATTGACAACAGAAAAACAAAACCGAACCAAGCTTCAGGCCTGGGCCTGCTCTGTATCTGAATTTGTATCTGTATCTGGCCTCTGGTGTGACATGCTTTCGTGCATTAATTTTATGCCTGTCAGCAACATTGTTAAAACTTTTTGCCCCCATCAGTATACCCAGACTCGTAGACTCGTACTCTCGGGGGCTCTGTGTGCACGTGACATGCATTTAATTATTTAATAACGCAAAATTTCAATTAAATATTAATTAGTTTATTATTTTAATGAAATATTAACTGCAAAAATCAAATGAAAAAAAAAAAACACCCACCCGCTGTCAGGTGGCAAATACTCGGCAAATGTCACGGAGATTGGTGGTTACCGCAACTCGATGAAGCTGCACATAAATCCCCTCTCGCAGGCGGAATTCGGTGCCTATAGATGTGTGGCCAAGAACTCGCTGGGCGACACAGATGGCACCATCAAGCTGTACAGTGAGTATAATCCCAAATGGATGGGTTAACCCCTGTTAACCCCTATGATAACGCCCCACAGGAATACCGCCTAATGCCGTCAATTATGTGGAGAACTTTGAGGCGCGACACAAGGGTAAGTGTTAACTCCATTGACTCCAGAGACAGAGAATCCTCTTAGGCAATTTTTTAAGCAGAGACAAAGCGCGAGAAAACGAAACAAATTTAATAGCCACTTGGCATAAATTTAAGATGAGCTGAAAATATTCCACTTTGGCTGGCAATCCGGGCGGGGGAAATATAAAGCTGGGAGCCAGCGACAACAGACAGAGCAGAGAGAGAGGCAGGGAGACTAAGAAAAAAGCCCATAAATAATTCATTCGGCATGCAAATCCGTTTCAAATCGTCAACGCCACGAATCAGGTGAATGCTGGACGACTCGACACGGTGAATGGTGAATGTTGAATGCTGAATGGATGGGGCGGTGGAATATAAGACTCGAAATGGGTTGTGGCTCTGAGGTCAGAGTAAAAGAAATGGAAATTGAAAAGCAACAAACGAGCGACAAGTTTATTATGAATATGCATTAAGACCAAAACAGAGTAACTTAAAGATTTCTACTCCGACTGCTACTGCTACTGCTACCCCCATTTGATAGACTAAACCGCAATTCAATAATTCTTCTCCATTGCACAGGCAAAAAGCGAACGAAAAGCTCGGAAATGTATCATCCGGCTCGGGCACAGGAGCACAGCGGCGAGGATATGGAGAATCCAGGCAAGAGAAAAGGTAAGAGCCAACAGACAGAGAAAGGGACAGAGACAGAGGAAGAGTGAATGACTGTGGTGTGCAGGGCACCGATTAGGGTTATGGGCCATATTTCAAGTATTTTCCTTGTGGTATTTCGGTGTTCCGGCACGGGGGGGGGGCATAAAAGGCCACTTGAGACGGTACCAAAAGCCATAAAAAAAGGGTCCCCAGTTCCAGTTCTCTGTCCTTTTTCCTGTTTAACAGATTTTCACACTAATTTGCCAGGCAAAGAAAACCCCAGAAAAAAGGGAAGCAGAGAAGAGGCGAAGCTTGTGCAAATACTGGAAATCATAGCATACTTTTTGGGGCAGGTAAAACTTTCCTTGCTCTTAGAGTACCGGGGGAGGAACGGTGGAAGGTCTTTGGGGCCATAATAATTGTATATCAATAAACACGCTCGGCTTGGCTTTATGGCAATTTAATGATTTGTAAATACTTGGGGGTGGCCCACAATCAAATAATTTCTTTTGTGTGGTCGAAAAAGTTGAAAATACCCGTACTTCTTCAGGTTATTTTTATAGCTTAATTGAGTTGTAGGAGAAAGTTTTTATAGAACCTCTAGAGTGGGAGGAGTACACCACAGATGACCCATTAAATTGTGTAAGTATAGGCAGCATTTAAAGGTTTTTTTTCCTTAAGCCTTAAGGTGCTTTGGGCGACAAGCTTGTCAAAATCTCTCTGCTAATCACTTGGGCTAGCCGGCCCTCGAGTCAAAACGATTTAGCCAATTTCCGACCCGTCCGCTAGATGGCCAACCCATTTGCATACCGACTCTCATCCGATCTTCCCCATCCACACAGCCGATTTGAGTCTCAGTGCGGAGAGCATTGACAGCATGTATGGGGCGTCCTCGGCAGTGGCTCAGCACCAGACCCTCAGCCGGTTACTACTCATCCTGGTTCTGGCCCTAACAACAACGACGACGATGGCAACGACGGCGACGGGTATGATGCGAAAAACCCAGCTGCCATTGTTGCCACAAACACTGACACATGTTTGACACAGACGCGAAGTTGACAGCCCTGTGGCCCACCCGAACCCGAACATGGACTTCTTGCCGCTAAATCTGGAACTGAAGTCAAAGCTGATGATGAGGCTAAAGCTGATGCAGAAGCTGAAGCTGGTGGTGAAGTCGCAACACAAATCTGTAGCTGTGGAGTTGCGATGATGATTGAGTTTGTCAATGCCAAACGTTACTTGGTGCTGATTTATGGCTGCAATGTGGTCGGTTTGGTCTTTAGTTCATGTTTGTCAACCAGATTACATTACATATACTCGTAGCTGATATATATATATATATATATTGTGTATATGTATCAGAATGATGTTTAGCTTTTAAGTCAACCAGGCTTCCTAAATTTCCCCCGAATAAAACGCGTGCATGTTGAGCTGTTGAGAAATCTCTAAAATATTTAAGACTTTAGCCCTAATCAAATCAAAGTATCCATTGTAAAATAACTTATAATATGCAAATCAATTACTGCACATGTACATAGAGAGCAACATATTGCAAAAGGACATATGTAAGTAAAAATATCTTTAGAAGGGTGACATGGGGCTCCAAGGTTATTATTGTATGTGTATTATAAAATTTGTATAAACCAAAATGTGTGGGCATAATTAAAGAGACTGTATGTGTGCAAAGTAATAATTAATTGCAATTTAATTAAATGCTAAAAGTGTATAATTTTTGCACAAATATTCATATAGAATTAGTCTGGGGAAAGGGATAACAGCAAGGAGCAGAAGAACATACCAAAAAATAATCACAGAAAAATATCAACCAAAAGAGAGAAGAACCTCCGCCAAAATGCTCAAAAAGTTATCAATAAAAATACATACCACACACTTACAAGCTCAGCAAAAGGCTGTGTTCCAGAAAAAATCCAATGAAAAAATACTCCAAAATGAATCCATAGTTCATACTCCTTCATTGCTCCTGAAAGAACCCTATCCAAGAGTTTCAAAAACATTTAATTCATATTTAAAAAAAAAAACACACAATTTACGAGTAAATGGAAAAAAAGACGCCATACATATCATTTACTAAAACATACTTAACATATTAAATACTAATTAAAAACAAAAAAAATGTATCGATCATTTTCTTGGGCATATTTGTTTCAAACAAACAATCAATACTATTAAAAACTATTAAAAAATGAAAACGTTATTTACAAAAATATAAATATATGGAAAGAACAACAAAAAAACAAATGCTTAACAGTTAAAGTGTGCCGGAAAAAACTTAAAGAGCGTGTTAATCAGACATTTAAGTGGTAAAGAATTATAATTAAAATTAAGCAATGTGTATATTTCCAGCCGAAATTTAATTGTTAAAATACGAAAATTGTATTGTATGAGTTACATAAAGTATAAATCATATGAATATATATATACAGAATATCTAAGTAATGTAAGCATCACATGTAAATGGAAACTTGGCAAATCGACAGGAATATTTATAAAATAAATATGAAAAATAAACATTAAAACGTTAAGTCAACGGAATGTGTTTTATTTCGGTTGGGTTCTAAGGGTAGATGGTTATTTTTAAAATAGCAACGAAGCCGCGCAGCCGAGAAAGTATGTTATTAAGGATTCCATTTGGAGAGATGATTTATTGCTGCTCTATGAATAAATATACATCCATAAGCTATTGGGAATGAATTCAATTCATGAGAAGTATTTCCTGCTTTAATTTTGAGCACATTTTTCGCTGAATAATTTGATATTTGCCACAAAAAAAAACAACCAGCAAATAAGTGCTCCAAATATCACAGTAATGTTCCCACTTAACTGCAGTTTATTCTATGACTCAATTGACCCCACAATAACAACTTGTATTAAAGGTATCTGAACTGTAAATTTATATTTTATGACAGCTCGTAAGTTCTTATTTTATTTCCCAAATTTCGCCTAACGACCTGGCAAATCATTTCCAAGCCCACGCTAAATGATTATTGCTGAGATTTGATTTTGCAGAGAGCGCGCCCATCAAAAAGGCCAAAGAAGAGCAGCGCATAAATTACAAATACTCGTATGCCGCCTGGACACTAAAAAAATCAAATTAAAAGTGGCAACAAATTCGGAATAAAACCAAAACAAAAAAAAATACGAGTACCTTTCATTAGAGGGAACTTTAAGTGCGGGCCAGCACGCAAAACCAAACCCAACCAAAGCCAAACGAAACGAAAGCCCAAGCCGAATAGAACCGAAAAATACGAACAAAGCAAAACCAAAATTAGAAAACACAACCAACTCTCGGGCAGGCAACACTAGGGCAGAGAACTCTTCAAAAAGCTCAGGCTAATAAAAATCCCTGCTCTCACTTTAACCGATGTCTGAGTGTGTGTATACATATGTACACATATATATATATATATATATGTATATGTATTGGTGAGCGTGTGTATTACGAGTAGTTTTTATTACATTTGTTTCCAGGAATTTTCAAACATGCCAAAACAGGTGCAACCACAGCACCATTCCGGCTTACGTGAGCTCCTAGCTTGCTCTCCTTTTTTTTAGTGCATTTTCATGGATTTTTCACTCCTTTTGTGGAGCAAAAAAAAATATACACCACCGACCCCATAGGTAGGTAATACATCTGACAGACATTTTTGCATATAATGCATATAAATCTCAAGGTTAAAGTGTTGTAAATAAATGCACTCGTTTGGTGAATGTGAACCCAAAAGCCATCGCTCGATGGTCTGTCCCCTGTCCTTTCCCCACGATTCCCATACGTTGACCCAAATAATTTCGATTTTAATAATGCCAAACTGCTAAGGGGCATTACGAAGTTCATTGGCACGTATACAAAAAAAAAAAAACATCACCTGAATGCGGTCAAAAGAGATCAGTTTTCCGCATGTAAAATAAAACTGAAGGCCATTTAAAGCGTACATTTATGATGAAGTTGTGGTCTATATACATGGAAAGTGAGTATTTTTTTAAATTAATGAGCTTCATAAATCGCAAGAATATGTTACTTTACGGGAGTATATTAAAGAGAGTAATCAATCGAGAATTCAAAAAGATGTGCAACAGAATTATAATTAATTGGTTGTGTTTGTGTTTATTTGAGTTTAAAATTCACCTTAAATTCTGTTGCTTTCTTTTTTCCGTTAACAATTTCTTAAATTGCATACTATAATCATTTTCCAAATACTCACCTTCATTTCTCCCTTGGCAAAGCCATATCTAATTGCTTGCTTGCCTCACAATTTTCGCTGAAATTCAATTAACAGGCAACAATAATAGTAACTATAACACAGGTTTAGATACGCTACCCGAAGCGAATTTTGTATATTAGCATAATTACAAGAAAAAATTGTGTCCCGAGCAAGTGGACCGAGGACCGAGGACCCACAGGAAGAGGAAGCCAGCGCAGTGGCGCCAGCTAACGTTGGCATATGGCAGCTGCTAGCTGCCAGCAGAACCTGCACACAATTAACATTACTTAAATACACATTAAGGTTAAAGACGCGCAATTTCTTCATGTTTTGAGGCTATTTTTTCAGCGTTGAGTTGTTTATCAGAGCACCCTGGGCAGGGGGTATACGAAAAGAGCCACCAAAATTGCGTGACGCACCAAAAGAAAAGCATTTCAACGCACACAAAAAAGGGAAAGTAGAGCCAAGGGAATGCTGAGGGAGAACATAAGAGAGCGAACAACCGTTAAAGAGGAATGTCGCGACGGTGAAGTACTTTGGAATGAACGGAAAATATTGAAATGCGAAGAAAAAGGGCAGTCTATGAGAAACTTGTTTTCTCAAAATTTGTTATAAAAATAAAAAAATTAAATAATGAAAGCATATTTAATAAATTTATTTATTTAATTTAATATTTAATTCAATTGAAATATTTATTTTCGTCTATCTGTTGCATACAATATAGCCTTTCACAACAATTACAGGGTATTTCAAACTTAGGTTCAAGCAGGACACAATGCCGCACCGCACCGCACCGCACAGGAAGGGCAATGAAAATAAACACAGTAATTAAGTTAATGAGCATTTTGAGATTTATTATTAATTTTCTTTTGGTCCCTTTTTTTTGTTGTTTTGTTTTGTTCGCCTGCGTGGTGAAGGGAAAATCATTTCGAATATTCGTATTACAATTATTTGCGGCATTTTGATTTGCATTTAAAATGCTTCAAAGCCACAAATTCGCCCTAATCTGCATACATTTTTGGTTTAGTTTTCTGCGTGTGTGTGTGTTTGTGTATCCATAATTGTTATTTAAATGCTGTGCAAATGAATTTAAATGTGGTATGATGTAAAAAGTCAAACGACTTGAAATGTTTCTTTAATTTATGGCCCAGGCACAGGCCATAAAAATCTCTCATCGCATTAACATTTTGTGTCATTGCTGTGCTGTGATTATGGCATCATCGTATGAGTAGGGTTCCATTAAGAGCTAGAGTTGTGTACCCCCCTAAATTTTACGAGCTCGTATTAAAGTTTATGGCCCAGCAAAAGAAAAAATTCCAAAGTTTCTACGCTAGGGGTTGGGGAGCTAAAAATTTACCTAAAGAGGGAAAATTACTCATCGTCGAGATTCTATCTGCTCCAATCAATAGCAATTTATAGCCCCACAAAGGATTCCACTTAATTTATCAATTTACATACAATTCTGGCAAATGGTTTCGACCACAAATCCCCACTCGGAAACATTAACTGGCCCACAACAGATAATGATAATGATGAGAGAGCCCCACAAAAAGCGATTAACCAGGCCCACAAAACATGTTAACAAATTGCCAGAGCTTAGCTCAACAACAAGGCTTAATCACCTGAGCAAAAGCAACCCACACCAAGTGAGAAGAAGGACCACAACCCAAGCCTGTCATATAGCCGACATAATCATGTCGGGCACTGGCCACTGCGCTCTCTCATCGTGTAAACAAAACTACAATTAATCAAAGATTTTACCTAACCGGACTTTATTACACGAAGCTTTGGTTAATTGCATAAATAAAAGTCTAATGCCCAGCGTGGGCAGAGGAAAACACAACAACAACAACAACAAAAGGGGGAGAGCTTAATTAAGGAGAACCTCCACAGCCCGCACAGCCGACACGATGACTCCCCATGGACTTGGCAAATAAATAATAAAAACACAAATTGACTCAAACACACAACAGAATGAGCAGAGAGCATGGGTGGTGGAAAATAGAGGAAGGTAATGAAACAAACATTGGGGGTAATGGAACCAGAAAAGACAACCACATAACCACGGCAGGGATCTAGGACTATGATGGAAATGCCTGCGGCAATGTTTGATGCTTTAGTTTATATTGGAAGCTTGCGGAGATATGAGTATAAATATAACAACACACATGGAAGTAATGCGTAAAGGTTCAGTACTGACTTGGAATCAAAATTATTGACTGAAATACTCATAAAAAAAAACATTACACCTACATATGCCAAGTTTCGCTGAATGGATTGGTTATTGGCAGGCTCTTCAGACGGAAATATCCACTTATATGAGCTGTCGGTGCTTTGTAATTAAAACAATTATAATTGCCCGAGTTGAGCATGGGACAAATGCACTGACAGAAAGACAAATCCACGGAGAGAACACAAGAAAAAATAGTAGAGCATGGAAATAATTTTTCAAGCATAGCAAACATTTCTTTAAAATTCAATTTAGCCACCTACAAATGTGCTAAATATTGGCAAAATATTTTCTTACATTTATACGAATTTAATTATTACTTTTTAGTTTTTTTTTTAATGTTATTGCACAACATTGGATGCATTTTTAAAATATATAATGAACATTCTGAAACTCAAAAATTACAAATCATTGGGCGCTTTTTTTAAATGCCACGATCGTCCGAATCCGACAATGGATCCGTGCTCGAATCCCACTTGTTCGGATTTACGTAAATGTTTGAGACGGTGCCACGCAGAGTGTCCAGGCCCTGGTTGAGGGGCACCGGCATGGGACGCGACTCAATGTTCTCCATCCACTTCGAGTAGGCGGCCTCGGATAACTGCAGACGCTTCTTCTCTTCCTTTTCTTGCTCCTCGCGATGGCGGCGTAGGAGTTCGCGCTCTTGCTTCTGCTCCTCGATCTTGCGACGCTCCCATTTCCGAACGCGCTCTCTCGCCTCCTCTGGGGTCTCCTTGCTGCGAGAGGAGCTCGTCTGGTGGACTGGCGGTTTTTTCTTCGTCTCCCGCTGCTTCTGCTCCTCTTTGAGGCGACACCACTCACTAAACTTCTTCTTGGCAGTCTCCGAACGCTCGGCGAGATCTCGTGCCTGCTTCTCGCGCAGCTGCTTGGCGGCCAACAGCTTCTTCTGCTCTTGGGCGGCTTTGCGCTGCTTCCAGGCCTCAAACTTGAGGCCATCACGCTCCTTCTTCTCCTCGAGGCTCTTGTAGTAGGTGGAGGTCGAACACTCCGAGCTGTGACTGGCCAAACTTAGCGAGGGCAATACGTTTCGGCGCCCCTCCGATGTCTGAAAGGCAGCGCCATAGGCGTGGCTCCAGCTGCACGTGGACTGCGAGAGGCTGTCCATGTTGTAGGTGCGACTGCTCATCAGCTCGCGATCTGAGCTTGCCTCAAGTAACTTAATGTCCTCCTGCGTGGCATTGCTAGTGATGTAGCTCCTGCCGCTGGCCGAACCCACGCTGCAGTCGTTGTAGGAATCAAGGCTGTCTTCATCGTCAACGGGTTTGGTCTTGCCCGGAATAACAGTGGGCTTCAGGATGTCGCCCATGTCGCTCTCGTAGGAAGTCTCACTGTGCGAATCCTCCTGCTCCTCCAGTTCGCCCTCGCCATCCGGTCTTGGTGTATTCTTGTAGCAGTTCATTATGGCTTCCAAGTCATCGCCATCGATGCTTAGACCTGTCAACGCATCTCTGGCTTCCTCTGCCTCCAGCTCTTGGCAAAAGTTCATAATGTCTTCGGGATCGCTGTCCAGCAACCCATCAACATCATCTTGGTCGGCCACAATGGTGTGTTGGGATGATGATGAGTCCGTGTCCAAGTCCTCATCTTCCGTTGGTTCTGTTTCCTCTTCGATCGGCTTCTGGCTGCCCAAAAAACGTACAGTGGGTACACCAAATGAGCGATCGCTGAACCCATCGATTGACTCCTCCGAATCGCTAATAATTTCGTTTGAATTTGTGGAACGCCTTCTCGATAGCTCCTGAAAATCCACCACTTTGCCTTTCTTATTTTTTCGCGCCTGAAAAGCCATTTTGTAAAAGCTCTCTGCGTAAGATAAGTAAAAATCAAAGGGAAATACTACAATGGAAATGTACACAAATTTTACCAGAAAAAAACAACCTTAAAAATGATTTTTACAAATTTTTTTGTTAAACAAAAATATTTTTTGTTTGCCTGATTACGTTGTGTTTCTGTTGAATAATGTTCGTAAACTGATGGAAACGAGTAAATTAACGAATGCTGTGTGTAAACCCCACAAACAGAGATTTCAAAAGTCTCTAGATGTGGAGTTTGTTTTTGCTTTGTTTTGCTCAGTGTACCTTTGGGTATCCCAAAGCAAAATGAAAACATTTTAACTAATGACAAACAATTACTTAAACAACGCGTCGAATGGTGGTCCTCTGGCTCAGCGAGTCAGCGAGTGCGAGTCCGACGACGACGACAACGACAACGACGACGACGACAGGACAAAAGGTAATTAAAACACTACCCTATAAACGCAGACACACACGCATACAGACAGATACTCCCTGTTCGCACACAGACAGACAGATACTCACTCCCTTCCTCACACTCACACCCACCCACCCATATAGGTACTTCCCCTCACACACGTCTATGGGTGTCTGAGCGTAAAGTTGCCGTTCGTTCAAAAATCGTTTGCTTTGTGTGTGTGTGTGTGGAATGTCCCTGGTCTCGTGGTTGTGGTCCTGCTCCTGTAGTTGTAGTTGTTTCGGGACCCAGTTAATGTGCGGCCCTTCCATTTTTAATGAGTCTCCAAACCACACACAGATACACCCACACTCTCGCACACCTGCATGGACCCTGCTCAGGTGTAATAAAAAACAAGAAGTAATGCCATGGTTATGTGACTCGACAATGAGATACCTGGTACTTAAGGGCAGTACAAAAGGCAGGACATAGCTCACCGAACATCTCTCAGCTGCTCTGCTTTGAGAGATTGAAAGATTGGGGAGGGAATATTGAATAAACAAAAGTTTGAGCTGCTTCGCTTGAGAGTTTCCTTTTTCCATTTTATTGCCAAAGATTACATGGAACAAAAACAATGCTGATGTGGATACAATATACCCGCTGGAACTCGAAAGAACAAACCCCCCCAGAGTACAAAAGCTTATCGCGCCGCTCGCTTTCAGGCACTCTGTCTCTCTCTCTCTCTGTCTACCGCTTGATAGACATAATGAAATGATTTTTTATATCCCTAATTGTCGTGTATTGTCTGCCAAAATCTTGGCTCTCAAATTAAAAACAACAACAACAACAAAAATACAAAAACCAATTAAGTTGGCCCTTTTTTTGCCGCAACGAGCTGCCAAATGACTTGTCAAAAAGGGGGCGTGCCCTGGTTGCGTGTGTATGTTTTATTATGGGTTCACTCACTGTTCCTATTCCGGGAATCGGGTCACAATACCAAATGATAACACAGCAATGTCGACTTTGTTGGCTTTAAAATATAAATAAAACTAAAATTAAATCGTAGAAAGTGGAGAACTATATTTTAAAGTATTTTAAAATATACTTAAATCGTTCAATTAATTGAACAAAAATATTTGAAAAAAAAAATACGAATCAATTGCTGCTATTTTAAGGCTATCCAAGAGAAAATCGTTATTTAAAATTACTAACTTTTCCACCTTATAATTTACGACAATCTTGGGAAACTTTGCAGCTGTTCAGTTTTTGATTTTACGCGTAAGATTGCGTGCCAAAGTTCGAGTATTTCACGGCTACAAGAACAAGTGTTGAATGAATTAATTATTCCAATTGTATAAAGAGATGTAGAAATCTTTTAAAGCTTTGCGAATGGTCTTTGGTTTAATAAAAACATGGAATATCAATATAGAGAATGCCACGAACTCTATCCCAAGGGCAAGAGTCACCAAAAAACGATTCATCAATTAAATTTTTACGTTGCTCATGAATTTCCCCATAAATTGATTTAAAAATTCTATTTTTAGGACACATTTTGCCATAACTTTTTTGTACGTTTTGCAATGCCGTAAGGACTCCACAGGTTGTCCAGCCATTCTTATTGTGTATGATGTCCTGGCGTCGCGTCAATTACAGCATTTCAGGCACGCACTCGAAATAACTTTTTATTTTTATTTTCCTTATATTGTTTGTTTTTGGTTTTGGTGTAATTATAATTTAATTTTTTTGTTCGCGCACGGAATATTGGCAGAGCCAATGCCAATTGATTATTTTGTGCGTATTTTGTTTGGCTCTACTGCAGGCGCACGTTTAATTAAAAACGTGACAATTTTACCTGTGGCCAATGCGGGGCATATTTCATACGCCATGTGTGACCGAAACCGAAACCGAGGGACCAGAAACCGCCACCCAACCGACCGCTGACCCAACGTCACAGAGCACCGCGGGCTGAAGGGGGGAATATATATTTAAAATGTTATTTACAATCATAACAATGCCATAGTGCCGCCATCGAGTGTCGTTACATTTCACTTTCACCAGCCGCAAATTTAATTAACTCTATGAACACTCTCGCACTCGGATGATAATGCTTATGGCTCCGAATGCAACGCTTGGCTATTGTATTTTTAATCAATGAAGCGTCAAATTGAACTGATTAATTTTTGCCTGTTTGCCAAATTGAACACAGTGTTGAATAAATACGAAATTATGTATTCAAGGCAAATTATGACACACGCAACAAGGGAGATTATGATCTACGAGAGAAAAATATTCTACGCGCCCATAACTCACCTGAAAATCCTTTTGTGTGTCCTACTGCACCAATCCTTAGTGGGTACTGACACCCTCCTGATGACTGCATCGTGGGATAAGACCGTCAAGTTCTGGGATATTCGCAATCCCCAGCCCGTGGTGAACTTTGGACTGCCCGAGCGAAGCTTCGCTGCCGGTGTGCTGTATCCGCTGGCCGTGGTGGCCTGTGCCGACCAGAACATCATCAGCTATTCCCTGGAAAATGGCCCCTTCGAGCTGAGCCGCGAGGACCTAACCAAGTCGTCCGATCACCAAACCGACGGGCAGCAGGTCCGAGCGATTGCCGTCTTTCAGAGTAACCAACGTCCCATCGGATACGTCGCCGTCACCACAAAGGTCATATGCATGTGCGGAACATCCCAGATACCACCGAGAACCGAAAGAACTACGATTTGACGTGCCATCGCCAATACAGTAGTGACGACTCCTCATGTGACATCTATGCGGTGAACGATGTGCGGGTCCTGTGATTAAAATCGGAAATCGGAGATATTTTTATATCACTGCTTGGAGTCAATGCGTTCGAACTAGTTCGTTAAATATACAATTTCAATTTAATTTGATTTAATTGTTACCAAAGAGAAAAATAAATATATATTGAAAGCGTGTCTAGATCTTCTGCCAATTAAGGAAATCTATTTCCATTTTCTGGTTTTTGAAAGCAGAATCGTTCAGAATGAGTTGCCATGAAGCTATGAAGAATCTCCTGTGGGGCAGATGTTGCCTGAGCTAAGAGAATATCTCATCTGCTCCCCAATTGCTTTCCATGCTATAAATGTATCTTTTATGCCTTGCCTGCAAATCCAACTCAATTGTTTTTTATGCAATAAAATGGATCTATCCCCCGAGATTTATTTCTCGGTGCCGCTGTATGGCATTCCTTGTTCAAATTAGGACAAATTAATTTATTAAGGTTATCAAGGATCGTAGTCCAACCTAAAAACTTAGATACTCGTACACTCTGTTCTATGAGATGTTCTATCGAGTATCAAATATGTGTGGGAAAGGTTTTCCTTCTACAGCATTTGAATGGGATTGGATTAAATCTGGAATATTTTCCTTCGTGTAGCAAGGCCTTTAAGGGAAAAGAGAAACGAAGGAGGAGAGAGAGTATTCCACGAAATAGTCCACATTCTTAAAATAATCATCTAATACTTAATTTACATAAATATGTATGCATACGTATGTATGCATACACCGTGCCGCCTGCCGCTTGCCATGAAGCTCCCTCGAAGCTCAGTCCATGATGATACAGAAGATTCGAGTCAGAGAATTGATTTCTGATTTCCTGCCATGGCCCGTCAAGTCAGGGTTCCAACACCTACGCAGATCCTGGAAGTCCCTCTTGCGAATCTCACGCGCCCACAGGCTGTAGGCTGTGTATCGCGTCTTGCCCTTGTCCTTGCGATACGGCTTCCCGGTGACCACTTTGCCAGCCTTGAGTATCTTGCGATTGTTGGTCTTCTCCCGCATGTAGAGACTCTGGCGCATGGTGGAATCGTTGTTGGTGGCCTCCGCTTCGACGCCGTCGACCAGATCCTGCACCAGGTTGTCCCATTGTCGGGGCGGGTATGTATAGTTCTGTCTCGGATAGATTGTGATCATCAAACAGCATCTCAAGCTCGAGCGCCCGCTCCAGTTCGGCCTCCCGTTCCCTCAGGGCATTGGGTGGGCGACCTCGACCTGGATACTTGGCTGGCGGCCTGCTCTGGCCGCTTCTTGCCTTCTTCTCAACCTCCTCCGGGGATTCGAAGTATTGATATATTTTAACCTAGATTAGATTCCACTATACATAACTCTCTCCATAAGAAGCTCTCATTATGAAACTTAATTTAATTAATTAACGTCAAAATATCCCGAGAAGTATAGGCAAGGCCCGTGGATTGCATTTAAAATATGCCCGCCGCATTTCAAATCTCAATCCTCTCGCAATGAATAAAGACAAGATATCCGGACATCCATCTGGAGGTAGACTCGTATAAGTATCGCAAATATATATATATACACTTTATGTGTTCGAAGTAGCTTCCCTTCCAATTAATGGATCAGTTGTTGGCCTTTCTGAAACTGATTCTGATTATATTTTTATGATTAGTTCAAAGCAAACCCTTAGTAGTTTTGGAAACGATTCAATAGTCGACCTCAAAAAGTTTTTTAGAAACAAAGCACAAAACAAAGCAAATCAACCAAAATTATTTTCAAATATAAACCAAGGATCGCCTTGTACACTTTAACAAAATGTCCGACTATTGTTATAATTATTTAAAGGGTTCTCCGGCCTGTGAACCTCCAAGCGATACGGTATCGGCACTCGAATGCACTCCCAAGACCACGACCGCCAAGTGCCTGCAGAAACTGTCTGCTCCGCTCCTGGATGTCAGCTGGAATTGTGACGGTAATCGCATCTACGCGAGCGACGTCGACGGCAGTGTGTATGAATGGAACCTGGACACCAATAACGTCTCTCAGAAGCAGATCCATTCAGCGGGAGTTCGTGCCTGCCACTGGCTGTGGACTCCCAGGTCACCCCTCCTGATGACTGCATCGTGGGATAAGACCGTCAAGATCTGGGATATTCGCAATCCCCAGCCCGTGGAGAGCTTTGGACTGCCAGAGCGATGCTTCGCTGCCGATGTGCTATATCCGCTGGCCGTGGTGGCCTGTGCCGACCAGAACATCATCAGCTATTCCCTGGAAAATGGCCCCTTCGAGCTGAGCCGCAAGGACCTAACCAAGTCGACCGATCTTCCAGAGTAACCGTCACCACAAAAGGTCTCATGCATGTGCGGAACATCCCAGATACCAGCGAGAACCGAAAGAACTACGATTTGACGTGCCATCGCCAATACAGTAGTGACGACTCCTCATGTGACATCTATGCGGTGAACGATGTGCGGGTGCATCCCTTACACCAGAGCATCGCCACCGTTGGTTCCGATAAAAAATTCAATTTCTGGAACAAGGCCAAGCGTTGCAGTATCTACAGCAGTGCCGCGATGGATCAGACGATCACAAAGTGCGCCATCAGCTGTGATGGGCAGCTCTTTGCCTATGCCCTTGGGTACGACTGGTCCATGGGACACGAGCACTGTGATCAAAATCGGAAATCGCAGATAAGTTTATATCACTGCTTGGAGTCAATGCGTTCGAACTAGCTCGATAAATTTAGAATTTAAATTAAATTTTATTTCATTGTTACTTCCTTCCGTCTTTCCTTGTTTCTAATTTCAAGTCCGGTGATATATGTAGAGAGTTGTGAGAGTTTTGATTATATGCCTGCTATGATCCACGCAACTTTTTATCTAATTAAAATGTCAGCACAAAACCTTGACAGGAATTGAAAAGCCAATATCTTTGGCAATCTTTTCGTGATGGAAGCTCTCCCTCCTGGTGCCCCTCCTTGTGGCACCTCACGCACAAAAATGAAGTGCAGAAGCGAACCACAAACAAATCAGATAAGTAACTCCCCTCCAAACCCCAAACTCGGGAAAAGCAGACCCAGACGAAGTCAATGTCGAAGTTGAAGTTGGAGACAGGCAACAACCTTAAGCAAAGGAGTCAAGAGTCAACCTCTAAGTAAGCCAATTTACTTAATTGACTTATGGCCGAGAACGAGAACAAGTTTCGACAGTTGAATGTTGTTTGGTGCTGCTTTTACAAGTGGCTGACTTTAATTTAACCACAAAAACCAAGAACCCTAATGAAGCTGAAAATATTCCCAAATGAAGGTCGTCGCTGTAGAGAAGTGATGCGACGGAGAGGAAAGTTAGGAGTGTCCTACAGATGGAGAGGTCATCATAGAGCATGAAAGCGCTGCAGAGCAGACATTAGAGTGCTATGCACTGATCAATGGCGGAGGTTCCCTGGCATACTCTCTGCTACTCTACTGTGGGTCTCTTGTGCCATTTACACTTAAATAAAAACGAATAAAATGTATTCCATTTAATCTATGAGAGATTTATATTTTACACTATTTTTCGTAGCTTTAATAGCTGCACTGGAACCTTGGATTGCTTAGCCGGAAATGTGCATGGAAAACTTGGAGCACACTTAAAGCCTTAAAACTCTTTTACACATCCAACAAACTTTCACCGAACTTTCCTAAATCTTTTTGCACCGATTTAACGCAGCTTTTCGCGCGCTCTCGATGTCAACAACAGTCTGTGGAACGCAAGGCAAAACCGTCTCTCAACATCAATTAGCACTGGCCACGGGCCACGGGGCACGGGGCACAGGGCACAGGGCACAGGCAGCGGCATCTACCTTCCAGTTACCGTGTCATATTTAATTAAGAAACTTTTCAACAATTGCTGATGAAATATTGCCGACCACGGATCCTGCCTGCTTCTATCAATGCCACGCAAAAAAAAAAACCACGGGAAAAATTTTGCTGCCGAAGATGGGATAGCAAGGGATGTACCCACACTCGAAAACAATCAAAATTTCAGTGTCGCAGAGCATGAAATTTCATTTGACATAGTTTCGGTGAGCCAAAGGCATTACATGTGAGTATAAGTGCGCAGACACATGGCAGACACACAGTCAACCACAAAAGTATGCACATGTGTGTGTGTGTGTGTATGTGTGTGTTTGGGGGAGGGATGGGTGCAAAAGATATAGTGTGTAGAAATGTCTAGGGATAGAAGGTTGCAGTTACAGTTTGCCCCTAAGCCATAATTGGTTGCGTCAGTGCATAAGTCACGAGTTCGTAGCGAGTCCTTCGACTCCTTGTCGTTGTCGTTGTCGTTGTCATAACGACACTCTCACACACACACACTTGTGCATAGATACTCATGCACACCCATACACAATACGCCCTCCCTCTCTGGCTCCAAAATGTTCTGCATTTAAATAAGATAAATGCAAGCGCCCACTAATTGAATTGCTGACAAGATTTTCCCCCTAAAAACCTTACACATAGACACACACATACAGAAACCTATGGAAATGTCTGCCTCTCTCTCTCTCTCTTTCTGTGTGGGTGTGTGTGTGTAGAAATTTTGGTAATTAATATTTTCACAAGAGCGGAAATGTGAAACAAACCTGAAGTGCAGTAGTAAAGGATCAGCAACAGCAGTAACAGCAGCAGCAAGTTTACCCCTATCAGATTGTTGAACAACTTGGGCACTCTGTCCGGGTGATGGAAACTTTTTAGTGGCTTCCAAAGTTTCCCCAGCTCATGAATGGACACATGGGGCGGAGCAGGCAAGCAAGTGACAAGTGGAGATTGATGGGTGTGTTGTGGCAACTAATTTAGACGAAAATAAAGTCTATTGAATGCACTTTGCCTACCTCTACCTATTCCTTGAGCACTTTTCAATCTATAAAGATGGGGCATATAATATTTTAGCCTCAGTATCTCTTAGGTTTTTCTGCTTTATATCTCTTGTGGTTTTTTTTTACCCAACCCTCTAACATCATTAGTCCTTTAATCTTCCAACTGCTTTTCAGCTGCTTCCCCTGCAATGATTTGCATACCTTTAGCATTTTTAATACTTTTAATTTCTAATATAAACAGCCTCTCACAAAAAGACTAACAGCTTTTCCAAAGGGAGTCCAGTCCTTCTGCCTGCCAGACAACAACGGAGTGGGGCTCCATGGGCAAACACTCTCCCCTCTGGTGGCCCTTGTGTTTTTTTTTTATTTGCATTGAAAAAAAAGGGAAAAATAAGCGAAAATAAAACTGATTTCATTACCTTGATTAGTTGGTCTCTTCAAGTTCTGGCTACCTACACCCCACCAGCTGGCTGTTTTTCTGACTTTTTTTACAGCAATGGAATACAACCACACACACACATTACTGAAATCCCACGGATGCGCTTATGATGGTAGCCAGCAAAGAGAGAGAGGAAGAATGAGATGATGATGATGAAGTCTTCTGGCATTTTTTGGGTTCAATGCAAACATTAACCTCATTAGCATTCCGCACTGAATACTGAATACGGATACGTTTAGCTGTAGGTACCTCCGCTGTACCTGTACCTTCCTGCCTTACTGCAGCTGTTTTTTTTTTTCTAATTTTTAATGGATTAACTTTAATAGTTTAAGGCGATTTGCATGTTTTCAATTGAGTTGTAAACACTTTTAAGGGTTGTAAAGAGTTTTCCAGTAAATTTTTTGTAGCTAAATTGAGAGGCTAATTAAATAAAGTCGCTAAGCGAAATAAAGAGGGACGTTGGGTTGCGTCTCGTTGGCCCCACGTCAGTAATTTAGTTTGGAATTTAGAATAACAGGAAAGTTCGTAAATTAATCTGCGGATTGCTTAGTGGAAAAGTGGAAAAAAGATAATTTTAGAAACAAAAATCTAAAAACTTAATTCGCAAAATAAATTTAAAAAATGGAAAATAGCTCTGAGAGCTTTTCTTGCCAAATGAACAAAACAATATCTAACTAACAAGTAGCACTTGTAAGTAGCTACATTTATTTTCTACACTTTTCTACAATTTAGCCAATTGCACTTGATGCCTCCTCACTTAACCTGCGTACTGTGCCGCTGCCTCCATCCTATGCCTGCGCTCCCTAGCTCCAAGCTTAGTTTCTTGCCATCCCAGAGAGAAAGAAGCTTAATTAAGCATAATAGAGCTCTCATTTCGCTTGCAGCATTCCGTTGCAAGTTCTCTGGACTCTGGAGCTCTGTGTTTTGTTTTTTTTGCTTCTTTTTCTGCCGCCTAAGTAGCTGTTCGTAATTTGTGCTTAGCCACACTCACAGACTAACGCCTCCCACTACCTCTCATCATAATAGAAAATCCAATGGGATAGCTGTGCTGTGCTGTGTGGAGGAAAGGAAAAACTTGCACAATTTTAATTGCATTTCCGCTATTTTTGATGCCCTTTGAATTTATAATGCCTTTCGTTATGGCCTTTCCTTTTGAGCACTTTCTTCCCATCATCATCGTCGTCGTCATCCTTGTTGCCTTCTGCCTTTTAACACGTCCTGAGAAAAATAATTCAATTAATTACAAAGCGGACAGGTGTACCGGCAGCTACGCTTAATATTAATCATACGCACTGTGAACCAATGGACAAAAAACAACCAAGGAAAACCCCGGAAAAAAAGAAAGCAGAAAGCAGAGCCCCCTTGCTGATACGCATTTGTATCTAATAAACATGTTTATTTCATTAGCAGCATTACACATGCGGCTATTTCATTTGCTAGTCCCTGCCCCACGCCCTCGCCACCCACTCGGGGGACAACAATTTTCCCACAGACCCCAACGATTCTCGACATGAAAAATGCGTTCGCGAAATGTTGCCCCACTCATTCGTCGTCCGTCGGTTTATGATTTGGGGATTTTTTTGTTGCTGTTGGTGGTGCCACTAATGTGCCGTGCCATAGCCGCCACGCATTTTTTTCTCTCTTACACTTTCCCATTCCCCCTCCATCAAATGGCTTTCCTTCTAGCCATGTTCTGGCTTTTCCCCATAGAGCAGGCTACAGGCTGCTGCTGGCTGCTGTCGACATCATTACAAATAAATTGAGCGTGAAAGATACATTTCGCCAGATACATTGACATACAGCAATGATAGGCACATTTCTACACAGGTTTCTCGAGGGATTGCCCAGGTAGGGGGCTGCTGTTTATTCGAAAGGTTAAGTAAGTGAGTTGCTGGCTGCGGGTTCTGCGCTGCTTATTTGACTTTAAAATTTTAGCTCTGACTTGTGGCACAATTTCGAGCAGTTTTAGCGTTGACTTGTGGCAAGTTTCGAGCAGTTTCGAGCTCTGCCTGGTGGCACACAGTTGGAGCATTCAAGTAGTTGCCACTAAAGCGGATGGAAATTTATTTGCTGCAAAGTGTTGTGTGAAAAGTAAAGGCCTGGTAGTATATTTGGGTACGAAATTGCAGGAACATTTTTACAAAATAAAATGACTGGTAAAGTATACAGGAAGTATAAAATAAAAACTGCAACTGAATTCTCATTCCCAACAGATCCTCATTCACAGTCTCCCATGTACCCATTATCTCATCAATCATTGGATCTATGAGTATCTCTGGTGGCATCAAATTTAACCTTTCCTTAGCTATTTAGCAATCAATTCAAATGCCGACAGGCCAACAGGCAAATCAACTTTAATCCTCATTCAACTCAAAAGAGCCTCAAAATAGGCTTTCCTCCTTGTGATTAGCCTTTAAGGAAATCAAATGCCGTAAAATGATTTAATTATAATCCCCAGAGTATGGAACGACACAAAAATTCAATATAAATTCAAATTTTACACTCGATGATGATGATGATGATGCCAGCCAGAGAATATATATATCGTTACGAGTATGTATGTGTGTATGTATGCATTTATTTATTTATCATACATGTTTGTATGTATTACATGTGCGACAGTTTCAAATTGCGAACACAAAAGTCAATTTGTTGAGTGGCAATTGGCAGAGAGGGACGACACGACGGTACACATTTGGCAGCAACAAATGTAAGCGTATAAACATAACCATGAAAGATATTTGATATAATAACATACGTGACCGCATTTACAATTTTCAAATCAAAATCTTAGGAAGCAGCAGCAGCACGAAAGGAGCGGAGAAGCAGGAGAAGCACGGACGAGGCCTACCAGCAGTCACATCCATTGTCGTCTGTCTATTGGTCGTCGTGCATGCGAAATGAATTGAATGCTAAAATCTGAAGAGGTTCGAAGGCATGCCATCATGCTGTGAAATTTGTTAACATTTATGCATTATCATTTCCAGGGCTTATGACATTTAATGCCATCCATGAGATGAGTGCAGTATGCAAGTGTGTGAGTGTGTGGTGTGTGTGTGTGTCTCTATGTGTGTGAGAGCCATGACATTATCATGATGCCGTTTCATGTTTTGCACAGACACTTAATGAGCATCGTCCTTGAGCATTAAAACTCTGTTGCTGATTCTCTGCTAAATATCCTACAGCTCAAATAAATATTGGCCTCTCCTCTCTCTCTTGCCATCAACAAGTTTTCATTAAACAAATTTATTTAAATGTGTTTTTTCACTTAAATAAATTAATTTCCGTTCCATGCATTATAAATATTTGCACACTTTTAGTTTTAATTAATTAAAACACATTTAAACATTAAATTATATTCAAAAAGTGCACACAGAAATATTTCAGCAAATATAAAAATGTATTTTAAAACAAATATAAAAACACTTGAGGTAGTAGGCTTCGCTCGACATACTTGAAGTGAATCAAATGCGATATATTTTAATTATAACAAAATATATAGTAGACACATTTTTTGGATCAATGCTCAAAAATCGTTTTTAAAAAAAACGTTGGACCGCCGCTTAGTAATATATTTTAATAATAAAATTAGAAAATGATCAGGTGAGTAGGGGACTCTTAGGAGTATTATTTAAACAATTTGTAGACTGTTTCATAGGTGCTGTTTTGGAGTTAAAATTCTGTTTCCCCCATTAATAATCCAATTATTTATTTCTTGTTTTCTGTTCCCCATAACACACACAAAACAAAACACTAACTAATAAGATTTCCTCATTAACTTCATTTTCAAAGCAATAATTTATCAAATGCATTCCCATGCTCTGGGTGGTTGGGGGTGGGGGAGGTAAAATTAGTAATCGCAGTCGCAATATATGTCCAGGACTTTGCCCAACCATCCAATTAGGTTTCGTGGTGGTGTTGGTGCCCGCAATGTCATATTTTTGTGTGGATATATATACACAATGCAATTTTTGACAGTTGCAGTCGGCAGACAGTGTTGGAATTGTGGTTCAGTGCATATATGGGAATTTTCACTGTGGTTCTCTTCTGTTCTGTTCATTGCGTTCTATGAACGCGGAGTAGTAGGTGGAGCTGTAGGAGGACGTTGGTAACGTGGCGTATAATTAACAATAATGAAGTCGTAAAACCGCAATGCAATCAGCGATGCGCAAAACACAGATACACTCACACACTACCGCACGCACACACACATGGACAATGGAAAAGCCAAATGGCATACAATAGGCGGCACAAGTGGGGGTGGGGGTGGGGTATACGACCACCCACAGGTATTCATTCTGCCTTGAAGTCAGGGTCATACGGACATTATAAAATATTTATAAACCATTTGCACGCATAATTAGTCTGTCATTAAATTTGGAGATTTTCGCCATTCCTCTCTCTCTCTCTCTCTCTCTCTGTGTGTGTTCGCGGGTGCATCTGTGTGCGTGTGCAGTTTGCCAGCCAATCAGGATTCACAAACAGAATCTGCTGATACCCTAAGGAGATTATATTAGCAGACGGAAAATCCTATCATTTTAATGGGATTTTACATATTATTTTGGTGTGTTTCAAATGAGAAAATGTCCCAATATATATTAGCTATATTATGCTTAAATTTTTTAATTGAAAACTGCAACTAAAGGCATTTTTATGACGCTTAAAACCAAATCACAGTCTTTAATACGTTCCTTAAATATATTAAAGATATAATTCGATGAATACAAAGCCTCAGTATAAATTTTTCCCACAAATTACAAGAAATCAAAACGAAATATAGAATTAAATAGCATAACTACGCTGGTAATCAGTTTTGCCCTTCGTACACAATAGCCATGGCTCACAGTATTACAAGTACAAGCATCATTACATAGTAATTATACCCAACCTACCGTCAAGGTTGAGTCAGTAGGGAGACGACCCATAACCCAGAGATCCAATCGAGAGATGCAGTCGAGACTGGGGTGGGGGGATCTGACTGTGGGATGGGTAGTCGGGGCTGTGGGCAGTGCCTCTGCGGGTGGGTCGTTGAAATGTCATGTCATGTTGGGACAGGCGTCGGTGCGTTATGCATTGGCCTCCCTTCGCATGAGTTGTGGGGGCAGAGTCCCCCTCTGTGTGTGTGTGTGTGCTACTGTACATGTGTTTGGCCATAAAGTAATCAGCGGAAATGTCAATGGGCCGCCGCCGTTTACTGATGTGTCGGCAACTGAGGTTTACACCGTCCGCAGCCGCAGTCCGCGTCATCGCCATCCAGCATCCGCCATCGTCAAGGTATTCTTTATATGTGTATATATATTGTACTGACCTGATGTTGTTTTTTCGAGCACATGGATCGGATCGGCTCTACGCTACGCTTTTGGGGCCATTGTAATTAAAATTTGCTCGTTGCATATGCAAGGGGCGATTGGCATGGCCTGCCTGCCCGCCGGTTTAATTGTGTGAATGCCTGTCGTTCACGCAGTCTCTACCTCAACGCCTCCCTCACTCACCCTCACTCTTTGTCTCTCGTCTCTCTCTGTGTGTGTGTGTGTGTGTGCCATGGCAAATATTTTATGGAGCCACATTGATAGGCGGCTTATATGAGAATCGGAAGCAGCGGACAGCTCACACAGCAATTCAGGTGAAAAGAAAAACAACAAACACAAGCAAGAGCATGGCCAAAGTGGCTGAAACGAACGATAATATACCCATTAAACGAACAAAAAACAAAAAAACCAAACCAAAACTTTTACAACGAAAAACAAAGAAGAAGAGATGGTCGTACAGTCGAAAGGATTTCCCTTTGCAGCTCTACAGCCCCCTCTTTGTTGGCCCCAAAAAATTTAAATATCTACTGTCTCGATGACATTGGGAAATCTGTTGCCAAGTAGCAGATCCTTCATCAATCATGCTACAGCTACAGCTCCAGCCCCCCAATATACAAACACAGAAATTCATTCTTTGCACTCCACAGGAACACTCATATGGAAAATACCAGGGACATGACATTCTGTGGCCGAATCAATTCGAAGGGTCACTTTATACCCTTCAAAGAGGTCTTCACGGATACACCGGCGGAAAAGCAACTATCTAAAATATTTGCAACACCCTCCGATGGCCGTGCCAAGGGGGGAACTATGATGGAAGCCCAGAGACCATCGCATACGTATGGCTGCACATTCCCATTGTCGCCTGAATCGCATCGTCTTGGAGCAGAGAAGGGATCGCCTACCGAATCCATTCACAAGGATCCGCGCTTGAGCATTAGGATCCGAAAGTCTCCATCGTCAAAGAAGAAGCGCATGATAAAGGGATCCTTGGCCATCCACAAATCTTTGTCCCCACCATCGCCTGGTAGTGCTCAACTGAGCATTAAACGATCTCCAGTTCAGAACATCGTCTAAAAGGTTAAATAAAGGCAAAAGTATAAAGCGATCACCGGCTCCAACTTCGACGGGGAATGCTGCAAAGAACATTAAGCAATCATTAAATAATCCCAAGCCTCCAGACACATCGTCAGCTGGTAACATTCGCAAGAAGCAGGTCAAAAAGTCAGCATCTTCAGCAGCCCCAAAAAAAGGGAAATCTCGCAAGGACATGAAACAAACACTAAAGACGGATAAATCATATGTGGTAATGGTTGGAAATAAACAGATGCAAATTACGCAATCATTGGATATGCGTAAGTCTGCATTATTAACATTCGCAGATTCGCGCAAGAAGCGATCACCAAAGCTGCAGAAATCTGCATCTTCCCAATCGCCCAAGCGGGCATTAGGTGGAAATAATCGCATGACGAGTAAACCGTCATTGGAGTTGCACAAATCTGCGTCTTCAGCAGCCACAGATGCGACACCGAATAAGGATTCTCGCATGGCCATGAAGCGATCATCAAAGATGCTGAAATCTTCGTCTTCACGTGGAAAAAATCGAATGAACAAGAAACAATCACTGGAGCTGCAGAAATCCCCAGCCCTATTATCGCCTGAAGAGTGTCCCAAGCAGAAGCGATTGTCGTCTCCAGCTTCCTTATCGCCACATGCTATAACAAAAAAATATTCTCGCATGAACAAATCAGAGTTCCAGCAATCTCCAAGAACCGCTTCGTCGGCAGAGAATTTTCGAGGGTCACAGGAGGAGTTTTCACCAATATCATCGCCTGATATGAACTATAATAGCGATATCAGGCTGTCCCTTTCGCCCCTGTACTCCGCTGCCCCTGGTGACGAGTCGCCTGGATCTCCTGGCATTTATCGCATGACCAGACAACGATCATCTGAATTTCATATATCGCCATACACATCGTCGCCGGAATCATGTATATCCAATAAGAAGCGCTCCATCTACGATTCGACATCCGATGAGCGGCGTAGTAGGAAAAAACTTTTGAATTTGATGAATGAATCATATCTGCGAAGTGCATCATCCTCGCAGCCTGAGGATAAGGACACCTTCGATTTCGATACTCCCACCAACTCCCAGAAGGGAACTCCACAGCCCACAAAGACTCAGAAGGTAACGCCCAGGGTAAGGCCCCCAATGGATTTTCCATTCTAATTTGAATTCTCTCCACAGCAGAATTGCAAAGCTAAGGCCTGGAACTGGACCTTCGACGACTGGTTTGCATACAAGAAAAAGGAACGGCAAATGGAGCAGCAGCGAAAGGAGCAAGAGCGCGCCTCTAGGGACTTTATAAAGGCAAGGCGCAAGGAAATATCACAAGGCGTCTACCAAATGTGGCTGCGGAATAAGCAACGCGAGCTGGAGGCAAAACGCATTCAGGATCACATGCAGCTGGCGGCGCTCACTGCGCAATCTTCGCTGAAGAAGAATCCCATAAAAGTGCCCGTGCGTAATATACCCCAGGATACGATCAACCAGGAGCTCGAGTGTTGGCGTCTGAAGAAGATCGAGATACAGAGGGCCAAGCGCAGGGAGCAACAATTGGCGGCTCTTAAAAATGAAGAGGAGATATTCAATCGGCAAAAGAAGTCAGAAATGGCTCTCAAGAAATGGTTCAGCACCGTTCACACAAAGCCGAAGCCGGTGCCAATGAATCAGGGCGTGGACTCGTTGCGTGGCACCATCTCCAAGCTTTATGTGAATCCCCAACCCTGGGTGGCATGTTAATAAAACTCCTTCCCCATATTTTATGCAAAAAAAAAAAAAATTCGTTTGTTTAGATTTTAAAAAAGTAAAAAAGTATTAAAATAAAATTAAAAATGGAGCACAGCATTTATGTATCCTTATTAGATTTAAGTAGTTCTACAGTTAAATAGAGTGGCACAATTCCTGGAATCCTGGCAAAATCCGCTGCTCCAGCTCGCCTTTTTTTTTGCATAAGAAGAGAGCCATATTTCACGACCTCTCACGACCTAAGAACAACAACAAAAAAAAGGTGCCAGTCGCAAGATAAATCGCCTCGTGTTTAGTGGTTAAAACAATGAAAATTCCCAATACAAATCCGCTCGAGAGGGCCGCTTGCTGTGCCCATAAATAATGCAATGGCGAAAAACCCAACGACCATTCAGCATAAGACAAAGACAAAGACAGGTGCCACAAATGGGGTGTGGTGTGGCGTTGAGGGTCATTGGAGCAATCGGTGCGGGGGGCGTTTTATGCTCAGACAATGAACCGACCAGATATTTATCACACTGATGTCGTGTGATCAATAACCAGAAGGCGGCAATGGGTACGAGCAGGCGCAGGGACCAGCAGACGCCAGCATGCGCGATGATGATGAGTGATGTGCGAGGCATTGAACAATAGCCAACGAAAAGGAAGGAATGAAGTGGATTAGAACAGCGAACAAAAATGAAAGAAAGAAAAAATAAAACTTGAAGGAATATTTAGTTAGCATTTAAAAATCAAAGAAGGATAATGGCTTATCGTAGGAATAGATAGACCAAAGATTACTAGAATTAATGTAGAAAAGAAAATATACATCTAAAAATATCATTCAAAAACGAAAGATAGAACCAAAATCTGCCTACCTATCTACCTATCTTTCTCTCTTTGCATGACTTTACTCGGATATTGCCACACCACGTAGTCCAATCATGCATTCAGCCTTACACACAGTCAACAGAGTAGAATGAGGGGGTGCAGTGCGGTGCTGTGCGGTGTGGTGTGGCTCTCCAATCTGGCCATTACTCCTTGTTCCTGGTCATGTGACTATCAAGCCGAAATGCACACTACAATAATATCAAAGCGAAAGTGCGTAAACAATGCAAACAACAAGGAAACGCCGAGACTCTGAGTGACCGACCCTGCCAGTGCTCACCCACTCTCTGGTCTCCCCCACTATCGACTCTCCCTCTCTCTTGTTTAGTTCTCTCGTGCAACAATAACATGCGTTGCAATAGCAGCAACAACAACAGCATTAAGAAGATGAAAACAAACAGCTCTGGCTGGCTACAGCAACAGCACAGTACAGCAGAGGCAGAGGCAGCCAGCAGGCAGCAACACAAACTAGTTAGTGCAAACTACATTGATGACGAATAACATGCTTCAATACCTTCCAAATTTAATCCTGGCAATGCTTTGGCAATACACCGCTTTCCCCTATTGCCCAGACATCATCGTCATCCATGGACAGCCTCTCTTCACCCTCAGCATCAGCATCATCATCATCATCATCATCATCATCATCTCTCTATCTGTAGGACACACAAACACACGGAAGAGTAAGCAGTACGGCCTGGCCTAAAATGCACACTGGTTCAAGGGGGGAAAATCAAAGCAATAGAAAGAGTTAGACTTAAGGTAGACAATGGAGACACTCTGGTACGTTTTTACGTATCACGCGTCATGGAGCAGCGCTCCTCCTTAGCGCCTTTTTGGGTCTATAACAACACGGAATTTTATTGAATTTTATTTGAATTATTTACTTTTAAATCTTTCATTTCCCGCTTAGAAAAGTTCCTAAAAAGTAAATCAAAAAGGGAAATAGATCTCGCCATTTATGGAATAACTCGAATCACTGTCCATTCACATGTGAGGAGCGTGTGTGTGTGTGTGTATGTTTGTATGTGGACAGGAAACCAAACCAACGTTGACCTCATCAAAAGGATTGCCAACGTCTTTTTGGTCTTTTTGTTTGCCGAGGCCTGTGCGCACACGGCCTTTGACTTTGGCCAAAGGGGTGGCAGTGGGGGTGTAGTAGTAGTGGTAGTGGTAGTGGAAAAACATGGAGTGTATTCCAGGGGTTAGTAGTACTACGGCCAAGAGCTGGCAAATTGTGCAAATGAACTTTAGGCCTTTGGCTTTGTTTGTTTGCATTTCGGGTTTTGCCATCCTAAAATCTCTAGATTTCCCATCTCCGACATTTAAGAGGCTACCAGAAAACATGCTTTATTTTATTTTGAACAATATAATTTTGTGACTTTACAACACACACACACACACAACAGTCCAGTGCTAGTGTTGAAAATCTAATGAAAATAGGCAGAGAGACTTTTTGCAACTTTTTGCTGCTACTCCAACTCCCATTCACCCCACACACACCATCTTCCAACGTACAACAATTGAAATCTTATTGAGTTTTCCTGTCCTCTGCAGTTTCAGAGCTTCACTTCGCTTCGATTTTTGCTTACCGCTTCTCCACTCTGGTGTTTTTCCTCTGCAAATTGTTATTTGCCACCCCCCTCCACACACTCTCCATGTGTCCTTTTCCGTATCGTATTGGTTTACAAAATTGGTTAAACCCTATTTGTTGGCACAATTGTATAAATTGACTTTTCAAATGGTTGATGATAATGTTGCGGCGAATATACGTACATACACATGTATGTATGTTGCATATACATAGAAATCCCTAGAATTTAGTAGAATAACTATTGTTTTTGTATAGATCAGAGTGTGCGTGTGGATTGCATAAAATGTATATATCTGGCAGCTATTTTTGGGAGCACAAAGTGAAAGGTTTAATAATAAATTAAATTTCTTAAGGCACCAAAAGGTTAAGATCCCTTTAAAGGATTCATCTCTCCGTTTCTACTTAAGTTCAAATATTTTTCAAAGCGCAACTTCCACATTCCTTGAATTCCTCTTATTAATTCCTCATTGTAATTTCACTTCAAATTACAATTGTAATTACTGCCAATAATCGCCAGACTTCTAGTGAGTCCAATTATCCACTTGATTTTCTTCACTCGAACAATTGCAAAGTCAATTATGGGAACACTTTTAAGTAGATCTACTCGTACTCGTGTACTGTGAACTGTCATTAGCACGCGAAAGAATTTTCAAACAACAATTAATTAAGAAGCAAATTGAAATTCATGACTAGCGCTAATCAGGCGCTCACATTTACATGAAACCAATACCCGTGGAAACATGGCGACAAAAAAAAAAGAAGAAAAAACTATTAAAGTGCTGAAAGGAAAGAAAAAAACAGGAGAAAATTATGTCAGCAATTAGGCAGGGGCCAAACCGTGGGGTATGACACTTGAAAGAGACGTACATGGCGGGACATGCGGATGGAGTTGGGATAGTGGCAGCAAGAGGATTTCAATGTAGCCAAACTGCAGGACTGTAGGACATCATTAAAAAGTCATTTACATGCAGGGCTAGGCTCTGCGTCGCAGGACATTTAGTTGGGAACGAGGACGGGACGGGACGGCCACTGACTCGCAGCCCTCTCGGTGAGTGACTCCGGACGGTTTGTTAATTTTAGATTTGAAACACGTTTCCAACTCAATTTTATCGCATGTTACGCCTTGCTGCCTTTTCGCTTTACGCCCAATGCAAACAAGCTGCGGACATTTTCCTACAATTTTCCCTGCCATATACTCCGCGTTCTCTTCAGCTGCTGCTGCTGCTGCTGATCTTACACGCTGCGTTTTCCAGCGACACTTCTTGAGGGTAAAAAATACCAATGGCAATGCCTACTTTTCCCCGATTTAAATTCTATCGGCAAAAAAGCCCACGTGCAACACACATTTCCCCCACGCACCGCACTTGACTTGCTCTCCCCGCTCCTTTGGTCATGAATTTTGATTTCAAGTGTCGCCATCGTCGTCGTCGTCGTAATTTCTATGCGGAAGAAAGCAGCGACAGGACTGAGGGGGGTGGGTGACTGGTCCAATTAGAGGGCGAAGGTATAATTTATGCGCTCAAGAACCTTGCTACAAATTGGCCATTGTTGCCATTGCTATTGATAGGTCTTTCCCGGATTCCTGGCCCTTCCATCTCTCCACTTGTTTGGAGCGGATTCTGATTCCCACATGCTGCTGCCACAATGAAAAGTTGCACAAAAGCCTCCGTTCTCCGTACTCGACAAAGTTTTAATATAATTTTTCGCATAATATTTTCTCAGTTGGAAAACAAAAAAAAAAAATTCAGGCAATTTTTGGCCTAGGCCGGGGTCCTAGGACACCTGGCTGACCGCACGCATGGGAATTTTGGCAGCTGGCCGACGGACAAGGACAGGACTGGAGTGGAAAACTGGAAAACTCATAAAGCTAATTAAGAATTGTGCCAAAGTTGCTCGGTCTCTTAGGGTGGCCATACTTTTTGGCACTCTCTCTCTTCGTCTCTCTGCGTTCCTCTCTGGGTATTTGTTAAATTTATTTAAAGCCGTCAAATAAAATGCATATTTATGAGCGGGCAGTTTTGTTTCTTATTTAATTTAAACAATTATGACTTGCATAATTAGGCAAAGGCTTAAGGGGGTTACTTTGGAGATTACAATTTGGAATAGGACTCGTTGCGTCTTTCAATTGTTTTTCTTACAGAAAAATCGTTTGCAGTCTCTTATTCTCTCCTCAAACTGCACTATTACGCACTCGCAAATGCCCACTGGCATTAACGGTGCCTACATACATACATACATATGTGTGTAGATAATGTGCTTGGCTGGCACTTCTGTTTTTCATAGAAATAACTTACTCACATTGCTGTCTGCGATTTGTCTATTTTCTGCCAATAAATACGAGTATTATCCAACTTGATGAAACGATAGGCGATAATATTTTTTTAGGTGATATTTAGTCACGAAACAGCAAACTAGCGCGGAGCCGACTGAGTAACAAACGCATGCGACGAAACTTTGCGAGTCTCTTACCTGCAAAAACTGCGCAGCTGTGTCGGCAACTTAGTGCTCTCTCTCTCTCTTGCACTGCCGCGCACTTACTTAAAAAAAAATGAGAGGGCACTGCTTTTACTGCTTAGTAAAAGCTTACTCACGAAGAAGAGAGACAGCTTAAGAGCGACTTAGTGCACTGCTTAGTGGTTATAGCTTCTACGCGCTCAATTGCTCCTATCTGCTTATCTGCTTAATGGAACTAAAGTTTTGAAAGCATAAGTTTAAGAGTTAAAAATCAATAGAATAGAATTCATTTGTTTATAATACCTTCTTCGGAAATAAAATTCAATCAGAATTTTAGCTCCTACCAAGATTTACTGCTTAATCCTACGCTGCAGCGTAGCAGCGCACTGTTAAAAAAAGTTTTTATATTTTCTAACAAAATAAATGCAGAACTTGTGTAAGCAAAGCAGTTCCTCAGTTGATCTGGGAGTAAAGTGGCCTTTTGAGATGCCAACAATTGCCAACAGAAGGGTATAAACACTACTTTGATGGCAATTTTGCATATTTACTTATGCAACATGAATACACGTATACATGGACGCTTTTCCCACTTGACCAACTTTCGCAACAGCTACGAAAAATCTTTATTTAATCAGGCATAGTTTGGAAAAGTTGTGCGAGTACCCGAGAGAGGGAGAGAGGGAGAGGGCACAAAAGTTTTGCGAGCACTGCTTGCCAGGCAATTGTTTTGCACAAAAATGTCTTTTGACATTTTGTCTGTTTGTGTGAATATTTGTCGCAATCAAATAAAAACTTTTCAGCAAAGGCAGCATAAGATTTCCCAAAGGGAATGATGATAGGCTGTAACGGTACATAAGCCTACGGCAGCTACTAGAAATTTGGGTTGAAAAATCTAATAACTGTTAAATCACCTGCAAAATGTTCATTTCACAGCGCTATAAACACGCACTCGAGCGGGGCTGGGGATGGGGATGGGTTCGTTGTTCGTCGTTCGTCCTTAGACGACTTAAACACTTACAAGGACTTAAGCACCTTTTGTTATTTCACCTGCGTAGCCCCCTGTCTGTCACTTTAATCTGGTTGCCGCACGCAGCAGAAGAAGCAGCAGCAAAGGCTGAAGGAACGTAGCAAAATCATGTGAAGGACACTCACTCACACATGTGCGGAAAAGTTAGCATGGAAAAGTTATTAACACGCGGCTGCCGACTTAAATAAGTCATATTTCCTTCGCTTTGGCTGCTGGCTCCACCACTGACTCGACGCTCTGACTGACAACTGACTTGTTTCTGCTGCTGCTGCTCGCAAAGTGAGGTCCTGGCGCTGTCCTGTGGATTGCTTATTAATTGCACGACTGCTGGCCTGAAAGTGAAAGCTCAGCGCGCTGCAAAAGTTTCCCCACATAATGTGTGGAATGTGTCTCAAACCTGTGCTGATGGATAAAATATATATATATACTTTGGCATACTTTAGAAGGGTTAATGGGGTTAACTAAAGAGCAAATACTTAGGGTATTCCCTTAAAATAAAGTGGGAATAAAGTCAAGTGTATTCCCAGAAATAAAAACTCCACCTACCTACGCTACTCCACTCCACTCCACAAATAATGATATATGCCAAACAATTATCCATCGAATGACATTTTATCGACACATCTATCGATGAACCGCATTTGTGTAATACAACCAAAAACTAATGGAATTTCATGTTGATTCCATGGGGGGCAGCCTGCCCCATGGATTCAGCAATTTCCATCTGCGTCTGTTACTCCATAAAGGTAAACCGTGTTGCAGACGTCGCGTCGTGGGTTGGCGTTGTGCGACTTGTTTGTAAATTATAAAATAATGTCGGTTGCATGGCCAACGATGTCTGCTGCATGCTGTCTGTTTTTTTCCCCCCAGTTTTCCAGTTGTAGAGTTAAAGGGCATATTATGCCAGAAGAAAGCTGCAAGAGGGCTTAGTTCTGTCAAACAATAATAGAAACTGTGATAGAACCCTGTGATCATAGTGACGATCATTTGGAGATACCCCTGATATTTCGCCCAAGAGTATATAGAAATTTCTGTGTTGCAGCTCTTAAAATTAAATATTAGCGGGTATTCCATAGTCGACTAAGTTCCACACACTTTTGTGTGTGTTTTTTTGCATGCGGTTGCAGGCTGTGTTTGTGGTGTGTGTGGCAGGAGGGCATGGAGCTGTGCAATTTTTATGCCCCGCTCGGCTAAGTGGCACATTTTTGGCTTAGCTTTTAGACATCACGACTACGACTACCGACTACTACTGTGGACTACAACAGCCAGTTTTGTGGCTACTGCGGCGAGACGAAGGCTTTCCCAACATGGAAGAATGGCAGAAGGGCTGCTCCTGCTCTGCTGCCAACCTCTTGCATGTCTACGCCGCCGCCATTGCACTCGACTGTCGGTGCTGTCAAATAACTGACATTACCTCGAAGCCGCTGCTGCCACCGTTACCACCGTTGTTGCCGCCGCCGCCGCCGTCGCCATTGTTTTCGTCATCGTTGCAGCGTCGCGTCGCACACATTTCGTGACTTTGAACAATAAAAAATTTCGATTAGAATGTAAAAGCGGCAACCAGCAACAGCAACCAGCAGCAGCAACAGCGGCAACAACTGCAACGGCAATCAAATTGTGCGAGGCCGCCTCGCCCCGTCCCTGCCGAAAGTGGAGGTGGAGCCGTATAATAGCAAAAAATCGCTAAATTGTATATTAATAGAAAATGAAATCTAAAAAAAAAAACAATTCAAAGCAATTCTAAACTTTGTGACTTTGTAGCTGGATGCGAAGCGAGCGGGGGGAAACCAAATGTTGAGTGACCAATTTTGGGTTTACCATTTGGTGTTACAGTGGAAAATGTTATCCTCGAATTAGCAATATTTTCAGCATTTATTGAAACAATTTCTCTTTTTAAAAATTCTACACAAAAAATCAGGAAAAACATCTTAATTTTTAGTCATTTAGTAAGTAGCTAAATTCCCAAGCAGTCTAAGCTAAGCTAAGCTTATAACTTTGTATACATATACTGATAAATAAATCTTCATTCTGCTCTACAATTTATGGCCTTCTCCTATAAGCCGTAAATTATTTTTAAGACTTATTTTCACACTTAAAAGAAAATAAATGTAAGCTACAAAGTAATCGTTGCTTTTGCTGCTACGTTTATTATGGAATTGCTTGGAAAGATTTCGTCATTCTATCGTTAGACACACAGGAACACAGCACACAATAAAAAAACGCTCAGACAATATACAAAAAAATATATACATTTAAATATTCGCATTAATTCCAAAAAATAGTCTTTCCACAGACTACGTGTTGCAATAGTTTGAGTTCAGTAATAAGTAAAGTAAGTCTCTGCTATTTAGAAGTTCTTTCATCAAAAATACTCAATTAAAACTCCATCCTAAGCCCATTCAAAAGCAGCTCTGACACCATGGCCTTTCTGGGTCGCCTGAATAATCGGGGTGTTCTGATTAATTGCGAGATCTTCAGTGGCGGGTGCTCCAAAGCTTCAAGCAGCGCCTCCAATGGCAAACAGCCAGAAGAAGAGGCAACAGAGGCAAAGCAACCCGTGGGCAAAGCATCCAGAACTTTCATCAAGACCTACGACGATGGCAAAGCCGTGCCGGCCATGGACAGGCCCAGCAAAGTGCGTTATGTGGGCAGTTCCATTTCGGGCTCGGATGGCAATTCGATGGCCGAAACGGATGTGTCCACACTGCGCTACTCTACTGAGATGGAAACAGAAACGGAAACGGAAACACTGTGTCGGCAGCAGGAGGATGACAGCCGAAGCAACTCAAATTCTTCGCATTACGAAGAGACCATGGGCATGTCATTGGGGGATTTGATGCTGGACAAGGGCTCCACCACATCGATATGCAGCTGGGATGAGATCATTTCGAAGGAGCAGAGTTCAGGGGCCTCCATCGATGACGATCCATGCGTTAGCGTTCCCTCGCTCAAAATACGTTCCAGATCGGAAACCGAAACCGAATCGGAGGTGTACTCGCCCACATACAGTCAGACGATGAAAACCCTCAAGCTGGAGCGTCCGGTCAAGGAGGCCTACGACACTTGGCTATCGGCGAAGCGCGTGCAACACCAGTACAAGGCTCAGGAGGAGCGCCGCAAGGAGGAGGAGCGCCAGAAACAGATTGCCGAGCGTCAGCAGTTAGCCCACGAGCGCTACGAGCGTTGGTGCTTGGAGAAGTCCCTGCAAAAGTCAGCGTCCAGCTCCAAAACATCTGTAAAGGCCCCCAACAGTCCCGTGAAGAAACCGATTGTTGCGCCTCGTCTCGACGCGGCCGCTCAGCGGCGCCTGCAGGAGTGGGAGATGGAGAAGGTGAAGCAGGCGGAGAAGCGTCGCCTGCAGCAGCAGAAGGTGGCCCAGAAGCTGCACCAGGAGAGCGAGCTGCGCCACAAGAAAGCCGACGAGGCCTTCGAGAAATGGATGCAGAATGTGTCGCAGCGCCCCAAGCCGGTGCCGCTCAATCAGGGCATGAAGTCGCTGCGTGGCACCGTCTCTGAGATTTACATAAATCCCAATGAGTGGGTCGACTGAGTGCCATGCCAAGAGATACAAATAAAAGCCCGTTGTTGTTATTTAAGATGTGTTAGAAGTTAAATTAGCTAAAATGCAGCTAAATCCGAACCCTTTACTGACACTGGCTGAGAACTCATTAGCAGCATTAAAATCAAAGCACACTCTGGGTCAAAGCTATTTATAATACCCACTCCTACCCCCCACCCCCCCTGGAAACTCAAACTACACTCCGAAACGCACACCATCAGCGCATGCCATTAATGAGCTCCGCTAAGCCAGCCACAAAGCAGAGCTGTGTGGGGGGTGTTGCCGTTGGTTAGGAATTATATCACATCTCACATAGCTCTATGCACACAAACACTTCAAATCAAAACATACGCAAGCATTCATGGGGGCATCCAGCAGTAGCAGTAGCAGCATCAGCATCAGTATCAGTATCAGCATCAGTGTATCCTTTTCACAGGCTGACGCTCTCAGAATGCGAGTAGAATGAAGTCCTTCTGGGCGTTTGCTTTGGATGTCTACTTTAACGGTACGAAAGCACACAGCTGTAGCTACATATTCATACTGCTGTGTGTAGGATACGTAGTTACGTAGCTGACACCTTTTGAGGCCTTTTGATTTTGAATTTCATTGAAGCGGCTTGCACACCCAGCCTCTGGTCTATGGCACATATAGTTTGAGCAGCGTCCTCTTGCTTGTGGAATAGTTTGAGGCTTCGCTTGACCTGTTGAAGGTCAGTTTTGAAGGGTTTATACTACTGAATTTAGGCGGGGAATATGCGCATATCAAGCTGCGGCTGGGACTTAGCTTTGCCACTGTTTGGCGCTCCAAGTAAACGAATTTTTAGGTGCTACAAAAATTTATTATTCTCCCAAACAGAAAATATATATCACTATGTGCCTTGTAGCTAATATTTCTGTTTTTACCCCTTAAAATATATCCCATAACCGCTCTATGCCCACCAAGAGTATTGCTTAGTCATCTAACTTTTACCTGTACAGATTCTAAAACCCATTTTTTGTAGGTCAAGTGCGAACATCTCATCAGTTTAATTGGCTGCACTCAAACCAGCAACTCTCCCTCTCTCACGTTAATAAAGTAATTTCCAATGGCAGATCCAATGCCTCGCCCCTCCACGGAGCTCCGGGCTGATTTATGTTTAATTAAATGGCCAAAGTTGTGTCAGCCTTTTTGCTCATCGTTTTTCGTTGTGCCTGTTCTCTTCTTCTACTGTGTGGAGGAGTCTCTTTAAACTTCAACAGCTAAAACGCTGTGAACTTTGCCACCTGTCGCTCAGGTGAAACAATCAAACGAAGGGAAGGGAACAGAACGGAGCGAAACGAAACGAAACGAAACGAACAAGAAGCTGCTGGACAGAGAGCTGCAAAAATATATACAAAACTTATTTAATATGAAAATGGCGTGCAGGCAGAAAAACAAAACAAAAAAAAATTGTATTATTTTATTTGTGCTTCGGTTGCCCCGAGGACCGTCACTTGCCCTTAAGCGATTTAGTTCCCTACTTCATTTCGTTCTTCCCGTCCTTCCCGGTTTTTCTTGTTTTTTTGTGGATAAATTTCAAGCTTGCAGAAGCGTGGAAATTGAATCGTATACGAGATGGAAATTGACAGACGGCCCGGCCCGGCCAAAAGAATTATATATACTCGTATATTTCACCACAAGTAATGATATAATTATATTTTCATTGCCCAGCTCCTGTTCATCAGCTCACGGATAATTTAAATGTTAATCAAATTAAAGTCTCGTCACGCACTTTTTAACCCACCGCCCAACTGGATTTATATGGGGCCACTCGTTGCCGAGGGTGAGTTGTATTTTTTGATATTTCGCTCTTTCCTGTTTGCTTGCCCGCCGACCATTTTTTAATAATTTAATCCACTGCAATTGAGCGGCATGGCGTGCATTTCAAGCCTAGACAGATTTATCCTGAATATATGAACAATAACAAGAGATCACAACAGCAGCCAGGGACATCGACAATGGGGATGCCCATTAGTTGGTAAAAAAAACTTCCAGTGCAAGAGAAACTAACTCTGATACTCCTTCAGCATAATCAAAAGGCTTAAGAAATTTTTAATTCAATAAAAGCTATAGAAAAATAGTTTTAAGTCGCCCAATAAATCCTCATGAATTATAGGAGTACTTTAATACAACTAAAGCAGACTTCCCCTATCCTTAAAGGCCAACTAATTACTCGTTTGCTATTATTATTGTGGTATTTATTTTGATCATTTATAAGTCTTGATATTGGCTGGCAGCATAGACTTTACGACTGCCAGGTATGAAGACAATCCACCGAGGGAGAGAGATCCTGGCTAAGAGTGTGGAAAAAAGGTGAGAGGCAAATATTTTTGCGCAAACATTGATTGGCAATCGGCAGTGAAAGGTGAGTGGTGGGTGGATGGATGGGTGGATGGGTGATTGGGTGGTATGGATGAAAAGGTGAAAACACAGACATTCTGCGTGTTAACACACACCCAGACATATGTAAATACACACACACACACGCACACAGAGACACAGCAGCAATCCCACCCATACACGTAAAGTCATGATGATGAATAACAGACACAGACACGGTTCGAGTGTGTGACGGACATTGGAGCTGCACAAAAAGAAAGAAAAACATAAAATCAGCAGGGGGGCAGAAAGCAGAAACCACGGAGAGGAGCGGAGAGGAGAGGAGTGGTGCAAGCAGTAGAATGGAGAATGGAGAAAGAAAAAAGGACTTGTTTTAATAAATGAAAATTCATTGAAAACTGATAGCGTGTGAAAAATAAACGAAATGTGCAGTCGATAAAAAAACACACACAAAATATGAAGTGTCAATGGTTGTGGCTGCATCGGAAATCTGTAAGAGATGCGCTAAGAAAGTTATGGCTTATGTGGAATATAGGCATAAATAATATAAATATATTTGTTGGTACATTTATTTGTTGAAACGATCAACTCACATCTAAATTAAAATCTCTGCTAGTTATTTCACCATTTTATAAATCAACCCTCGCTTGTTTAAGCCCGAGTACACACCAATCCCTTTGATTTCCAATGATTTCTATATCATGGCAACGACTCTGCATATGCATATGTATGTCAACTACTGTTTGAACACAAAGCCTCCATTCAGCTAAGTCGCTCTGTCGTGCCATTTTTCTAGTGGCAATTAGCAGCCACAGCTCACGGTCCCAAAATCGCAACGATTTGCTTTCACGCTCAGATACGAGCATGTAGCTACAGCTATCAGCTGAAATATTAATTAAAATAAATTGCCAGCATAGGCCAAAATCGAGCCAGCGGCAAGAGTGGTTTGCTGTCAAGGCAGTGGAGCGACACAAAGTGCCAGAGAAGAATTTCTATGCTCGTAACATATGTTAAAATCAAATTTTATGTCATATTTAGATTGAAAATAACTTGTGAAAAGGTACAGGCGTATATTTATTGAGTATTTAAAGTTGGCTACATATAAATAGGAAATTTATAATTATTACTTTCGTAGGATATCGTAGGAGACATTGCCACTCACGATTTTGATACTCTTTCTGATTATTTTGTTGGGGTTTTATGTTGCGTTGGTATCCTTGAGTAGCGTGGATTTTAAAATTCAAATATTATGTTTATTTTTATACCCGTACTCAAAAAGAGTTAAGGGGTATATTAGATTTGCGGTAAATGTGGATGTGTGTAACGCAGAGAATCAAACGTTTCCGACCCCATAAAGTATATATATTCTTGATCAGCATCAATAAAGATACGATAAAACTAAAAACGCAGTATCGTAGAGAATAACCATATCTACCAGACTGACGAATCTGAATCAGATCGGATCATAATTATAGCCAGAATGAAGAAATTAATTTTCAGTTGCTTCCCCCGCCGCCATCCCGCCAGAGACTCGCTGCTCATTCTTTTTCTCGCTCGCACACTCTGCCGCGTTCAGTGCGCGAGCAACCCCTAGCGGAGGAGCTGTAGAATATAAATGGTACATGTATAATCTACATGTTAGCTGTAAAATATACATTGTAGATGTAGATGTAGCAACAAAATGTAAAATGTGCAATTTTTTTAATTCTAAAATTCTAAAAAATCATAAGCTCAAAAATGTTTATTCTGACTGAGTACGGGTTTAAGTAGAGTCGCGTCCCCAGAAGCGACTCACACGTTCCTTCTCGTTATAGTATTAACTGGGGCGCAAGCTTCCTGCTTACCTGCTCACACCGAGACACGAGATTTTTATATATATACAAGATGTTGTATTAATGTTTTGCACACACATCCAACTTGTAGTACTCAAAGAGTACACTAGAGCGCGGTGAGCGCGTACTGTCATGACTTTTACTCATTGAACAGTTGGATGGATGAATATCAATTAATCAGCCGCTTCCGAGCACAAAATATGAGTTAATTAATTGAGCACACAGATGACAGATGAAAAATATCCTATTTGGGTTACAATATTTGCCATCATATCGAGAACACGAAATTCTGTGATTTATATACGAATAAATGTATTTACTACAGATGCAATATGCACTCATTGTTGCTGTTTAACTGGCAGTCTATTTAGTGTAAGTTTAACCAAAAATGTAACCCAATATGTCTAGAATATTTGAGAGTACATCAACCATCGGGGCTGTCAGCAAACTGACTTGAAATAGTTTGTGTTTAACCGAATATTTCAAAGTGGCTAGAGACATAATCTTAATTGCTACTATTTTCACCTCATCTGTATTTAAGCCTATATATGTGCATGGTATATTCCTGTCCACGAACCGCCAGTTTGTGGGAAATAATAATTTAATTAGCCCCAAAACTACAGACTACAGCCACGAGAGAGGGTTGAAATGAGTGTGTGCGAAAAAGGGAACAAAGAGTGCCAGAGGTTATGGCCTTCGAAACGAAAATTTGTGTGCATATCAAAAATACCAATTATGGCAACATTTTGTTAAACCAACCCACCCCTCATCCCTCAGCCCTATATTAACCCTTCTCTGAAC